CCAAAGTACCCTGCCCCAGAGAAGTTTTACATGAAGCACACAAAATAGTATAATTTCAAATGGTTGAGGTATGAATCTGTACTTTCAAAGCAATTGAGTTGATTAATGTAAAATATGCACATGTAACAACAAATTCATCATAGAAAAAATATGAAATAACTTGTGTGAGTAATTAGAAATATACTTAAGCCGTTTTAATCACTCAAAATAATTACAAAAAGGGAGATAATTTAAGATAATTTAAGATGGAGTTATGATTCCTTTGTCATGCACTCTCTCTGTCTCCCACTGAAATCTATCTACCTCTATTTAAATTTTCACTTGAATCTCTACTATTGCTACTTTTTGGGTTTTTCTTTGGACAAAAAAAATACAGACTATGTGAAGCTTTGCCTTAACCTTGTTGTTTGGGGTCTGGCTGCTGTGCATGACACACTGTCTTAACATGGTAAATATTTGTGCAAACTCACTTCAAAGTCCTTTGATTGTATGGAAAAGTTGTGGACCTGATACAAAACAGGCCATGATTGACATATTATGATTTGACCTATAAGTGTGACATTGACCTTAAAGGTAGAAATCTAGGTGTTGTGCATGACACATTTTCTTACTATGGTGAGCATTTGTGCCAAGTTATTTTTAAAATCACTTGATGGATGAAAAAAGTGAAAAAGACAAATCCCATTTCTACTAATTGAATAAGACATCGAATTTCTACCACTCTTTAATTTCTTATTGCACAATCATTTTGATGTTTAATACAAATTAGCTCTAACACAGGAGACATGCAACATACTATAATATATTATACCAATTCTTTTGAAAATAAACATTGAATACTGATACCCACATGCACAAGTCATAGTAACCACATCTCACTGACCCAAAGAGAAAAGGAGAGTTTTTTAGTTTGATTTTTTTGTCCCACCAATATATTTATTAGTTGAGGACAAAATTAATGGTGACTTTCAAACTTTACAAGTGGAGGAACACCTCAAGTGCTCTTCCGTGCATTATTTCAGACTTGAACAGGCACAAGAGTAGAACCACTGATGTTCTTTTAGCTAGCTGGATAGCTTGCTCACATGAGAGAATCTTAAGTCCCTTGTGGAATTCAAACCAAACTTGGTGTGGGGCATGTGGTTTTAAGTCAACAACCTTTACCCCTCAGCCACAGACGCCCAAAAAGAGCAGAGGCAAACAAGAACAAGAGGGCCATGATGGCCCTGAGGTCGCTCACCTGTATTTAGGCCCCCGGAGTGGGGCTAGTTTAAACCCCAGGGCTTTTATTTGAACAAAATTGGAAGACACTCATTAGAAGATGTTTCATGATGTTAAGTTTTTACTACACAAATATAATGAAAAACAATGACCCCCCCCCCCCTTTGGCAGGGCCAATTTTAACCCAAGGGCTTTTATTTGAACAAACTTGGTAGACACCCACAAAAAGATGATTCCCGCAATCTAACCTCTAGCTCATTGGGATTTTTAAAAGAAGATTTTTTAAGTTTTTACTATACACATATAGTTAAAAACAATGACACCTCTGGAGCGGGGCCAGTTTTAGCCCCAGGGCTGTTATTTGAACAAACTTTGTAGACATTTACTAGAAGATGTTTAAGCTTAATATCTAAACTCTAGCTATTTTGGTTTTTAAAAGAAGATTTTTAATTTTTTGCCATACACATATATGGAAAATCAATGACCCCCAGGGCGGGGCCAATTTTGACCCCAGGGCTTTTATTTGAACAAACTTTGTAGACACTTACTAGATGATGTTTCATGCTAGATATCTTAGCTCTAGCTCCATGGGTTCTTTAAAAGAAGAATTTTAAAGTTTTTACTATATATTTATAGGGAAAATCACTGACCCCCTGGGGCGGGGCAAATTTTGACCCCAGGGCTTTTATTTGAACAAACTTGGTAGACACTTACTAGAAGATGTTTCATATTAAATATCTAAGCTCTAGCTTTTTGGGTTTTTTAAAAGAAGATATTTAAAGTTTTTTCTTTCGGTTGCCATGGCAACCAGAGTTCTGAATGGAATTAAATTCTTTGAACAATGTTTAAAGGTGACCACCAAAGGAACATTCCTGTGAAGTTTGGATGAAATTGGATTAGTGGTTTATGAGGAGATGTCAATTGAAGCAAAAGTTTACGGACGGACGGACAACGGACAAAAAGCAATCACAAAAGCTCACCCTGTCACTTTGTGACAGGTTAGCTAATAAATGATGGCTCAGAAATATGACCAATGAGTAACTTTTTGGAAAGTGTAAAAGGACAACAAACCCTTTTTTAAAATAAAAGGTTTTAAGGCTTCATTGGATTTAATTGCAGGGGTATTCAGAAGCTCACTCATAGATGATAAAAATTGCTAAAACAACAATATGAAAACATCAACAATAAGATTGATATGCTATTATTATCTATCAGACATATGACAATTAAATTCTAGAAAGGTTCCTTACAATACATCTAGATTAGGTGAAGTATTTTTCTCTTATTGTTCATAGCTAAACATCTAGATATGTTTTCTAAAAACATTTATAGGTATCTTTATAAATAAAATGTCATGAAAATAATTGTTCTTCTGATATATATACAATGTAAAAGGATCCATTAAAATCAGTTTGGCCATGAGGGATGGCAACAATACCAATAAAGATACACTTGGCAATATAGGAACATCAAACTAACAGAAAAGAAATCTTCATCAACATGTTATTGCAAACAATATTATGTCACCATGCAACTGTATATGATCATATTTTAGAATCCATATTCTATACAACATGTGGCAATTGCATAAAATCAAAGATTTTATAGCAATAACATATGTTGCTCACATGTGATTTGTAAAGAATAAAGGAACATTAAGGTATACAAATGTTCTGATTATACAACTTTTATTAAACATATGTTCCTTAATGAAATTTGATATATTGCGTATAAACTGAAGGACACAAATAGCTGAATAAAATTTTAATGAACATTTTTTTATGCTTCTTTTTTGTGTGGCCTTCATCTAAAATATAAACTATTGTGTGCGATGTCAAAAAAAGAATATTTGAATCACAGATGTACTCGTTGTCAAAAAATATAAAGGCTAAAGCATGGTCCTTATTGTAAACTAAGCTCTAAGCTCTAGCTCATTGGGCTTCTTAAAAGAAGATTTTTTTTAAAGTTTTTACTATACACATATAGTTAAAAACAATGACACCCCTGGGGCTCGGCCAGTTTTGACCCCAGGGCTTTTATTTGAACAAACTTTGTAAACACTTACTAGAAGATGTTTCTTGCTTAATATCTAAACTCTAGCTATTTGGGTTTTTTCAAAGAAGATTTTAAGTTTTTACTATACACATATAAAGAAAATCAATGACACCCAGGGGCGGGGCCAATTTTGACCCCAGGTCTTTTATTTGAACAAACTTTGTAGACACTCACTAAAAGATGTTTCATGCTTAATATCTTAACTCTAGCTATTTGGGTTTTTTCAAAGAAGATTTTTTTAAGTTTTTGCTATACACTTATAAGGAAAATCAATGACCCCCGGGGGGTGCCAATTTTGGCCCCAGGGCTTTTATTTGAACAAACTTGGTAGACACCTATTAGAACATGTTTGATGCTAAATATCTTAGCCATAGCTCTTTGAGTTCTTTAAAAGAAGATTTTTTAAGTTTTTACAATATGCATATAGGGAAAATCAATGACCCCCGGGGCTGAGCCAATTTTGACCCCAGGGCTTTTATTTGAACAAACTTGATAGACACTTATTAGAACATGTTTTATACTAAATATCTTAGCTCTAACTCTTTTGGTTCTTTAAAAGAAGATTTTTTAAGTTTTTACTATATGCATATAGGGAAAATCAATGACCCCCCGGGGCGGGGCCAATTTTGACCCCAGGGCTTTTATTTGAACAAACTTGGTAGGCACCTATTGGAACACATTTGATGCTCAATATCTTAGCCATAGCTCTTTGAGTTCTTTAAAAGAAGATTTTTTAAGTTTTTACAATATGCATATAGGGAAAATCAATGACCCCCCGGGGCGGGGCCAATTTTGACCCAAGGGCTTTTATTTGAACAAGCTTGGTAGACACCTATTAGAACATGTTTGAGCCTAAATATCTTAGCTCTAGCTCTTTGGGTTATTTAAAAGAAGATTTTTTAAGTTTTTACTATATGCATATAGGAAAATCAATGACCCCCCGGGGCAGTGCCAATTTTGACCCCCGGGCTTTTATTTGAACAAACTTGGTAGACACTTATTAGAACATGTTTCATGCTAAATATCTTAGCTGTAACTCTTTTGGTTCTTTAAAAGAAGATTTTTTAAGTTTTTACAATATGCATATAGGGAAAATCAATGACCCCCCGGGGCCGGGCCAATTTTAACCCCAGGGCTTTTATTTGAACATGCTTCATGCTAAATATCTTAGCTTTAGCTCTTTGGGTTCTTTAAAAGAAGATTTTTTAAGTTTTTACAATATGCATATAGGGAAAATCAATGACCCCCTGGGGCGGGGCCAATTTTCACCCCAGGGCTTTTATTTGAACAAACTTGGTAGACACTCACTAGAAGATGTTTCATGCCAAATATTTAAGCTCTAGCTCTTATGGTTTTTTAAAAGAAGATATTTAAAGTTTTTTCTTTTGGTTGCCATGGCAACCAGAGTTCTACATGGGATTAAATTCTTTGAACAATTTTAAAGGTGACCACCAAAGGAACATTCCTGTGAAGTTTGGATGAAATTGGCTTAGTGGTTTATGAGGAGATGTCATTTAAAGTAAAAGTTTACGGACGGACCGACGGACGCCGGACGAAAAGCGATCACAAAAGCTCACCCTGTCACTTTGTGACAGGTGAGCTAAAAATAAGCCAAGTTATAACTTTTCTTCTGTCCCTGTACTGCAAGGTCCATACAGCAGTACTGATTTGGGGTGAAAAAAAGGACAGTGATTTGTCCAAGTAACAGTGAAAAGGGAACAATATGACTTTTTGTTCTTCTATTCCTAAAGGTGGAGAGGCTGTGTATCATTTGACTGATGCACAATATTTTGCTTACAATTTGATATTCACATTCACAGATCGTCCATTAAAGGAACTCATTCTTAATATACCTTTATACTTGTTAAGAAATTCCTCTAAAGTATACGAAAACACTCCTTACAGCTTACTTCAATTTTGTCCCCAAATATGTCATTTATATAACATTGTACCAAACTATAATAATGCATTGTTCAAAATTGGCGCTGTTTATTCATGGTTAAGTGTGAAAGCGTTCAGTCTGGCAAATCCCTACAATGTGTGCAGTCAAGCATGTCCTGAACGTGCTCTTCCACCTGAATTGTTGTCTCAGTGATGCCAAACTTTGTTCTGATCATATTTGACGCACGCTCAAGGACTTCCAGAGTGTTTGTCGTTCTACCTGTAACAAATCAGTTCTTTTTTATAATTTAAGAGTTGACCACTAAACTGCAATAATTTATTAGAAATAAAGAAGGACTTGCAACAGTTTTGCATTGAACCCTCAATACATATCCATGATTTCAATCGATAGAGTTTTTAATCACACCAACACTAAAACAAGAGGGCCATCATGGCCCTGAGTCGCTCACCAGAAACAACTGCTTACCAGTGTTGGAATGTCAATATATTCTATTAAATTTAAGCATATAATATGTTTAAACAATAATTTGAAAAAATGCCATGACCTGAGGCATTTAAGCTTTAGCTTAAACAGAGCTAATCAAATTAATATGAGCAAATTTGATAAAAGACTGCATAAGACTGCTACTAAGTTTGGTGATCATCTATCAATTAATTCAGTAGGAAATGATGTTTGGAGGCTTTTTCTATTCTTAGCTCTAGTGGCCCCTAAAAGGGGCCAAACAAATTAATATAAGCAAACTTGATAAAAGAGTACCCAAGAAAGCTACAGACAAAGTTTGATGATCATCCATTAATTAGTTCGTATGAGAAGATGTTTAAACGTATTTCTATTTTTAATTTTAGCGGCCCCTAATAGGGGCTAATCAAATTAATATGAGCAAAATTAATAAAAGACTACCCAATAATGCTACAGACAAAGTTTGGTTTTCATCCATCAATTACTTCTATAGCAATAGACGTTTCAATGTATATTTTGTATATCTATTTTCAATTTAAGCGGCTCCTAAAAGGGACCAATCAAAATAATATGAGCAAACTTAATAAAAGACTACCCAAGAATGCTACAGACAAAGTTTGGTGATCATCCACCCATTGGTTCTGTAGAAGAAGATGTTTAAAGGTTTTTCTATTTTTAGCCCAAGAGACCCCTAAAAGGAGCCGATTGGAATGATATAAGCAAATTCAAGTGTGACTGTCACAAGGATGCTACAGACCAAATTTGAAGTAAATCTGCCCAGTAGTTTCAGAGAAGAAGACGATTGTTGAAGCATGACGACTGATGACGGACGCCGGATCATCTCCCTTTGATATTAATAACTCACCCTGAGCCTTCGACTCTGGTGAGCTAATTAACATGTATGGATTATGGTAATATGGCTTTCTGGTTATAGTGGAAGGTGTCTGGTGCAACTCCTTGCATTATTTCAGGCATGAACGAGCGCCAGAGTAGAACCACCAACCTTCTGAGAGCTAGCTGAATATCTCGCTCACATGTTAAGATTGCAAAGATCCTGGCAGATTTGGACCCCAATCAACCACCTGAACCACATAGCCACTGACAAACTTTGGCTTACAATTCTAAATTACACTACAACTGAACACAATTTTTTTTTTAAATGAAGCATTTCTTCATAGATAAAGAAAGCAAGCATCCTATGAACCTTTTCTTCGCTTGAAAACTAGTTACAAACATGTGCATCTTTACAGATTAAACAAAAAATATGTCCCAAAATTATTATGTTTATTTATCAGTATTTTCTTTTATTGAAAAAAAAGTCGCTCTACCAATGTGTCCATTTCCCTTCTTTAAAATATTTAAAACAAATACATGACTTTTTTCCTGAAATCATACTTACTGACAGCTAGATGTACAGACAAAGCCACTTTATCCATGGAGAGTGACCAGATTCTCAGATCATGTATATCTTTAACTTCTGCTATACCCTTCAAACTGTGATAGATTGCTTTAAAATTCACAGATCTTGGTGTTCCTACAATAATGAAAACTTTAACTCTAATTTACTCTACTAACTTCACACTATTCCCTTATTTAACAGAAAGGGCAATTAAGGGTATTAATACACAAAATATGCACAGCATAAAAAACGAAAGCTTGCATGTCATATGATGTCAGATATGATATCAATAAAACAAATGATGTCAAGAAAATTACTCTTAAGCCATTTAAGCTCAATGTAGTTCAACATATTTTATCAACTCTCTTTTTTGTAAGAATGTTAGAATGGAAATAAATATCAATTTATCTTGGATTATAAAATAAAATTGCATGGTTTATCATTCAAATGCTTTGTAATTAATCACTCCAAGCTCTCGGCCTTGGTGAATATATTCCTACACATTTCAACACAAACCATGCATTTTTCTACATCAATGCACTCAAAATTGATATCTATTTACAATTATTTCCTAATTAATACATTAAAGGTGTATATAAGACTGTGAAGAAATCTTAATCTTAATCTCAGAAATAATTTAATGTCTTCAGCTTTTAAGACAAATATCTGTTTGAAATTCATTTGAAACTTTACTTTTCACTGGTAGTTTGAAAACTAACTAAAGAGACAAAGCATAATATTTTTTTAGGGGGAAACCACAAATCTTTTAAGCCTTGTCTTGAATCATTTTATTATTTTATAGCCTATTAATATATGTATATGGCACTTAATAATGATGAGACAACAGAAAACAGTTTTGTGTGAAAACTGATAATGATTGCATAAACGGTTGGTCCATTTATTTGTCCCAGAATTTTAATGATTTGTTTGTTGGGTAGACCCACTGCCACAATCCATAAGCTAGCTAAATATGAAAGAATCCAAAGTCCCTGACAGGGACCCGGCACAGTGAGGGGCAAATGATTTGTACCCAATAACCTTAACCACTAAGCCATAGAAGCTCATTGCAGGTTTCAACACGTGAAATGGTGTAAAATAATGAAATATAAATTGACGAACCTTCCATGAGAACGACTAGAATATCACGTAATATGGTAAATGTAGTTATAAGTACTATCACAGAAAACACAAATGTACAGATAGGGTCGGCTATCTTCCACTCTGGCTGTAAAAGAAAAATAAGTAACCTTGTTGTATACTTATAAATAAAATACTGATGAAATAAAATGAGTATTTTCATTTTTCGTATTTTCACTGTAAATATTTATCTTTCAGTGCAGTGATACATATTTTCTGTATTTTCACTGTTGCCTTGCCAAACTCCTTTCTTCTAATTACAGATAATCATACACAAAATTGTCATGAAAATTAGCATGAATCTGGAGGCAAGCTGCTTTAAGAGTAAAATTTTACCATTAATTATAAAGTTATGACAGATTTTGTATATTAAGATTTTTTTTGAGAAATGAAATATGCTGTAAAATTTCTATTACAATATAAAGACTGGGCAAACCATTACACAAATTCAAGGTTAGGAATGGATCAAGTTTTACATCATGTTTACCTTAAAATAGATAATAAAAGCTGCCACCAGAACACCCACACTCTGTAAAAGGTCACCAAGTACATGAATAAATGCAGCCTTCACATTGATATTGGCTTTATGGGAATGACCTGTGACCTTGGTATCAAGACTGTCACCTGGTAAGTAAAACGTTACTTTCCCACTGATTATATATGAATATACATGAAATCAATTATTGTTTACATACTATAAACAAGTTAAGGAAAACAAACAAATAACATGATAAGTACATAAAACATAAATGCCATATACATGTACCATGTCTTTTCATAAAAGACAAATTTATGATAAAATTTCCTAAATTTTGTAAATTTGACCTTCAAGGTCAAAGTACAAAAAATAAAAACAGACATCGCATAATGAGACTTAAATGTTATACATGTATATATAATCAGAGCATCTTACATGTGTAGGAGCAATATACTTATCTTGTTCAGACAAGTAGTTTAATCAAGTGTTTAGTTATTTTCTTTTGAGTATCATCTTATTATAAAGTGGTAGACACTTGATAGGGAAGAAATATATGTTGTTTACTTATCTCACTTCAGAGACATGCCTTAAAGAATATTTCTCAAAAATAATATATATATATTTCTCTTCTTGGAAAAGGGAAAACATTAAATTTTTTAAATAATGATTGAAACATACTTTTTTAAAAAAAAATTGTTATAACTTAGTTAAACTAAAGGCTAAAAAAGCATGTCACATTGACACACTGTGTGTAGTAACAATTCAATTTAAATTTATGGTCATTTTTCACAATTAGAATTAATATTCTGGAAAAAACGAATGAGTGAATGATCTGAAATTTTGCACAGATGTTATTTGTCTAGGTCTTTATCAAATGGATTATATTATTAAGCTTGAAAAATTATTTCATGGCCCATCATGTCAAAAAAACCTCAGATGAGTCCCTTTAACCTTTTCAAATCAATACACTCTCTACTCATCAACAAAGTTTTAATCCTGAAAATTTCAAAAAACAATAAACCTTTGACTCGTTATTGCTTTTCCCAAATACCAAGTTTAAAGTATATCTGCTGTACAGTTTAAGTAATAAACTGAAAGGCTTTGCCAAAAGTTAATTTTCACCAATAGGCCCATCACCAATATTTTCATCACACCATACCTGAATAGCTGCCCGACAGAGCCCCGTAAGATCCTATAGTCTCTGTCTGTATACTCTCTGATGCTGTTAAACGCACCTTCTCCTCATCTGAGTCAAAATCTCCTGAATTATTATCTAAACTGTGTGAGTGACCATGACCTCCTGGATGCAGGCTACAACCCATTCTATAAATAGAACACTCGTTGTCTTAAGCTGCTTTTGACATTTTTGGTAAAAGAAAAAGTTAAATACACATACTTTTAAAATATTTCAAATACTATAATGGTCATCATGAATCTATATTGATTAAAAAGGGGGTCATTATAAAAGTAACTTGAATGTGAATAACCACTCACCCTCAGACTAGTATAAAATATACAATGTTGACATTCTGTAAAATTAAAACACCCTCATATGTTTGTTGTTGTTATTTTGAGACACAATGACACTGTAGGTGTTTTTCTTTCATATTTTTAGACAATTCCAAAACAATGACCCATTCCAAAAGAAAGTTGTCCTATAATTTCCATACTTGAAAGAATTCCTTGAGCCCTAAGCAGGAAGGGTAAATTATTTGTTTCCAGTGACTCTACCTCAGTCACCTGACTTCACATTCCAAGATTTCATAATTTTACTCTCTAAAAATCTTTAACCCTTTTCACATGCTGAATTTCTTAAATGAACCTGTCCAATTTCCATTTTTGGAACTGTCCATTACCAAATTTCGGAGTAACAAGAAGAAAATTTAAACTTTGTCAGTCAATAGTATAGTGCCTGGTCAGACTGCACAGATATCCAGTCTGGGCTATCTCTAGTATCAGGTTTCAACTGCTTATCACTTTCAGCAAGGTAAGAGTTACACACTCCATAAATACTCACACAATGTTGAAAGCTACCCCACAAGCTGCCGTTATCAACATTACAGTGGCATCCACTTCAAAATCCATGCTGACAACCCGTTCCACCGCCATGTAACACAATACACCCGTAATTACCCACAAGAACAGAATTGACACCAATGCACCAAGAATCTCTGTAAGTAAAACATGAATATACACAGTTGATAGTGATACCATACAATTATGAAAGGATTAAGCTAATAACTACAGTAAAACCTCTGCAATGCGACCGTCTGAAGAGCAATAATTTCTCTACAACAACAGTATTATTTCTTCCCAAAGTAAAGATTTCCAGTTTGTTTTACCACTGTACAGTAATGACCTCTAAGCAACAACCAAAATAGTTATCTCCCAAAGAGTGTTTGTTCTACAGAGGTTTTACTGTATCTCCTTAACCAAAGTTCATAAAATCCATGCAGTTATACATGCATAATTTCTGTTGGTTTTTATATCACACAAACAATAAAACAGTCATTGAATTATGATTATCCAGCTTTACTGGACAGGAAAGACCTCAGGTGCCCCACTAAGCATAATTTCAGTCATCAACAGGCACCTGAGTAGACCCACCAACCTTCTATAAGCTAGCTGGGTAGCTATCTCATATGATAGAAATAGTTCCTGGGGGGATTTGAACCTACGGTAGTGAGGGGCAAGTGTTTTAACATAACATATAACAACCACAGAGGGTCTCCAGATGTTGTCATTAAAATATAGCCGAATGTAGAAAATGATACAACTCAACCACTGTGTCTACTCATATTTAAAATCTCAATTACTTAGATATCAAGGTAAGCTGATTGTCGTAATAAATCAACAAAATCTATTATCAGTCACTATCACCTGCTCTATACCAGCCAAAGCTTAGCTTCTTTGTGGCACGTCTAGATGCCAAGTACAAAGCCAAAAGGCTTATCAGGAAACTGGCAAGATCTGTCAACAAATGGGCAGCATCAGACACTATGGCTAGACTATGAGCAAATACTCCTCCTATAAGAAACAAAACAAAAATGTTATCAGCTATGATACAAATGTATTTCATATCTGACCACATCATATTGGCTGGTGAAAGAAATTGTCTAAAAATACAAGTCTTTCTTTAGCATAATAGCTATATGTACATGTATGTTGATTTCTTTAGAAGACTTTTTCAACCTTTTTCTTCCCATCCACACTGTAAAGATCATAAGGGGAACTTCCAGCTTCATTGGTTGTAAAATCAGCACCATTGTTAAATTTGCTTGGTTTAAAGTCATACCAATACTGTAATGATTTTATTGAGTCGTTCTAGCTTTACTGGTTTAGAAAGACCTCCAGTGGCCTTTTTACTTTATTTAGTATATTAGTAGAACCACAAACATTCTGTTAGATAAGATATAGGCTTTCCAGGTTTACTGATGGAGAAAGAGCTCAGGTGCCCCTTTCATCATTACATGTATTTCCAACACATGAGTAGAAGCACTGACATTCTACTAGGCAACTTGCTCACTTGCAAGAATTCAAAGTTCCAGTCAATGCATTACACCTGAATGGTATCATTATTTCAACTGAGTAACAAAAGCTTAGTTAATGAATTTTTTCTATAAGTATATATCAACTCACCAATGACTTCTGCTATCATAAAAGTCAGTGACAGTACACAAGCTATGAGAAGTTTCCTTCGGGCTATTTTATCAATGTCTGGTCGTGTTTTACTTTCGTGACAATGGCGTTCTAAAATTAAAAGTATTATTAGCTGTAAACATACCATAACTTAACATAGGGCTATTTATAAATAGGTAGGTAAAGGGCCTTTCCTTTTATTTTAGGGGCAAATAGCACAGATTCCTCTTCATTTCCCTTTATAGTGTGATTAACATAACTTTCACACCTTTTCTACTGAGAGCATGAAATTATTTTTTATTTTAAACTGGATATATATACTTAAGCAACTAAACAGCCTAAAAGATTTTGTTGACACAGACAATGCAAAATAAGTGGTCATTAATATCAGGAACATTGTGTTTAGATGTAACAATGTCCCTTATTAGTGATTGTACATGTATATGAAACAGAGCTAGTGTGTTCAATGTTTGGTGCAGGTAACACAACATAGTAATGTCTTGTAGAATAACTCACTGCAGAAAACAATGTAACATGCAAATGCACACATACAAACTTAACAGCTTTAATTTCTGCGAGTTTGAAATCAGCAATATTGTCATTCCCAGAAAAAGGGTTCTGCAGAATATGATAAATAGGTTTCCAGCAGAAATAAGAACTTATGCAGTACAAATGATTTTCTTCATTATATATCTATAATTGTTTTAGTTCTGACTTCCATAACTTTATATACATGTCTAGCAGTACTATAAAATCTGTTCGTTGAAGTCTCTTTAGCTATAATTGTATTTACCTGGTGATGATAAATTGTCTGATACATGGTGAAGAGATTCATATTCAGTTGGTCTGAAAATAAATTGAAAACTGATTATAGAGTATTCATTATTTTATCTTTTATTGAGATTTTTGATATTTTAAACAAGTTTTATAATATTAAAATGGATGCCTCATTTAAGTTACAATGTAAAAAGATTTTATTGACAGATGACACGGTAATTCGATGACGTCAGGGGCTGGGTCTGACCCTCAAACTTCAAAGTGTTTGTGTTAATGAACTGCACATTTTGTTGGGCTAATCTTCATTAGTGCGAATCAATATCATTTTATTTTATCTTTGCTGATACTTGCATTTTATTTTCGTCATGCACCCCTCCAGAACACGAACTACATCTTCTTCTTCCTGGAGCTATGTCAATATGATTTCTCGCATTTCGATTCTGAGTTTGCACACCCGATTCGTCGTCCGCCATTTTCATGTCATGTGACTAGTTTACTTTTCACCCTAAAGGAGCTTTAAATACAAGAAAGTAATATAAATTACATACACATTAATATCACAAGCATCATCATTATTTAACTTGTAGCACTTGCTAATAGTTTATAAGCAGTTAGTACATTTTGTACATCTTCACATTGTCCAAATGTGCTTTTGCTGTAAACTCTTTTACATTGTTGATGTTTATTCGACATGATAATCAGCCATAATAAATTATGTCAATAGGCTTGGCACATGGACAAAGTCGTCTGCTCAGTATTATCATAAATCTTTTGAAATAACTACGATGTCAAACTGAAATTCCTAAATCACTAAAATATAACGTTATTATATACGTACATTCAGTCAAGAAAGGAAAACATGTTTGTCAGTGCGTGCGTTTGTACGTGTGTGCGAATATAATAAAAAAACAAGTTATCGTTTTCTCTACATGATGTAAGTGCACGTGTCTATAAAATGTTTGTGAACTATAACTGTACAGTTTCATTGTGATTTCAGTAATATGCAAACCACTTGGGTATGCAAACCAATGTCATAACATAAATTTGAGCTATTATACAATGCTGGTAGCTTCAGGCCTTCAGCTGAATTAAATCATATAACTTGTGATAATAAAAACCTTAATCTTTCACTATTTATTATAAAAAACCATACATAGTATATATATTGCATTAAATACAATAAAGCACTGAATAGTTAATTAAACTATAATTCCTTTTGTTAGTAAACATAAAATGTATTCATAATTCGAAAGAAGCATACAGAACACACTGGTTATTTCTATGAAATTCATAATTTACAACAAATATGTGATTAAAATGAATATTATGATTAAAAAGAGCCAAAAAAATGTAAAATGAAGCATGGATATTTTTATGATGTGAAAGACGTCCACCCTGGTTTAATATAAAGGTATCACGAGGTAGGTTTATAAATAAACAATCAATAGACTCGTATTAGGCCAAAGTTCATGATGATTTAAATGACACCAAGGTCATCATGTAAAAAATTTATTTCAATATGACAAACAAAATCCACAATTTGATTGAAGGGAATTTCATATCAGTTTACTTGTAAAGAATTGAATCAATCTTTGCATTGCTAATTCAGCTTGTTCTTTATTATACCGATGACAATTTGGATCACAGAATGCATGACCAGCTGGATACATGTACAGTTGAAAATCACACCTATCACTCAACAACTTTTCAAGATTCCTGGCATCTTCTGGCGCTGCAAATCCTTTAAATGTGTCAAGTTCACCAAAATGTGCTTGTACTGGAACCCGAATGCAAGCAAGGTCACAGGTTCCCGGCTTTGGCAGACCATAAAATGGAGCAGCCGCGGATATTTCACAGGCATGCGCAGCGGTTGCAAGACTTAATGCTCCACCCATACAGAATCCCGTAACACCAACCTGAAATAATATAAAACGTACAGAGATATATTTGAAATTGACATGTCATAAATAAGGAATAATATCGAAAACACAGTTCTAAAGTATCTACATAAATACAGCAAAAAACTTGCATGTAGGTAAAGAAAAACGTCTACATTGTAAAATGTTGAGGAAAGGACTTAAAATGTTGAGGAAATAGTTTAGAGTTTTGACAAACCTTGTTTATCCCTTTCGAGTTCAAGAACCTAGCAGCGCCTTGAACATCTTTAATAGCCCCTTGCCAGTCTAAAGTATCCATCCAGTGCCCAGCCTCCTCATAGTCTTGTGTAACTTTACCCCTATATAGATCTGGAATGAGAGTCACGCATGCGCATTTAGTATGTATTTCTTTTGCTTTCGATCTTATTTCGTCAGTAACACCCCACCATTCCTGAAAGTATAAAATATTCACTTATATAGCTAGATTGCAGTAAAGTTGGAGGTCATTCTGTTTACCTATCAAAGTAATAACTACATCTTCTGTAAAACATTCCAAATTTCAAAAAGCAGCCATGAATGATGACAAACATGTGACCAGACACTACTACTGTAATATTTTGACATCTAAGTATAACCATTAGATTTCTAACTAGTAGTGAACTGGAAACCATTTTCTATTAGTGACAGAGAAAATGACAGTGACATAATGGAATTTTGACCGGAAATTCCTTCATTTTGAGAAATCTCAATAAATGTTTCAATATAAAGGGTTTGTTTGAATGTTAAGCATCGTTTGGTGGTAAGATTTTGTTAAAACTTAAACTCGATCTGTAGTTAGAGTCCGTTAAGCGACATATTTTCTCCATACGCATTTGTCTTCATACGCTTTGCATATTTTGGGCACACCAGAACAATGTGGCCATACCACGTGACTTTTCGGGTACGGAACACGCCGATTTTTCACCCGATTCAGGTATGTTTTTTATTCACAACTTATTTATTACTCAACCGATTTTGATCAGATAAGGCTCAGAGTACCCGTAATTATATCAGCTATCCACGGTATATCAAAATTCTGAAAACCCCTGAATGTTTTTTGAGAACATTCGAGTACAGTTTTCTTTTCATAGCCTGGGCCGAGGGGAACGGTACACACTCATTTGTCATAACAAGCAATTTCTAGCAAGTTATATGTTTTTTTAACTCTATTTCATTGAAAAATACATGTTAAATCTGATATATTTACTATGTCCAATGTATCGAGTGAATGTAGTGGTGTTTTAGCATATTTTCATAAAGTTATGTTGAAATGATACGGAACACACTGTTATTTCAAAAGATACGGTACACACACAATTTCTGTCTTTGTAATAATTCTAAAATAAAATATATCTAAATTTAATTTAAATTATAATGTGAGTGATTTTTTCATAGTTATACATTTTATTAATTTAAACGAGAACCCAGGGACCTGTTTTTGCAATGTATCATAATGCTTACTTTTAATGTTTATATGTATTTGTGCACTATATTTCAAGAGATCACGCTTAACATTTACAACCTCAATGTAATTGTCCTATTTAAAATCACCTAGGGTATGTCAAACACTTCGATCTTCACAGAATCAGGTAGTAGCGATCTATAGAAAGAAAATGTTGTTATAAAATGCTATGTTTATTGTTGTTTTTTTTTAATTATTTTAGTTTAAGTGAAGTAATATATGTTTTTTTGCTTCATCCTGAAAAAATAAAACAAGGTCATGACCTAAATCGCTGAAAAGTATCATTACTTGATAACAATTTATATATATATTTATATTTTGTTAATAATAAGCAAGTCATTAGGTACAATTTTGCAATATCATGGTCATGTTTAATTAAATCAAATCACAGAAGTCGCTGAATTTGTTTGGGTCTCAGAATGTCAGAAGGGTGAAGGCTGTGAGATTGTAAACCAATTTGTTTTTGTATAGTGCCACCAATGCTGTTTCAAGTAACATAACTGTAGTAAATTGGCTATAAGGCTTATTGCAACACTGATATGTAATTCATGGTTTATTTGGCTTAAACAATTAAAAACAAAGAAAAAAAACATGAGTCGCCTTAACTTGGATTTGAACTCAGGACATCTCTCTTCCTAAACGAACGTGTAACCCCTCGACCACGGGGAAGTTATAAGATAACAGCATGAAGAAAACCATATCATTCTAAATTAGGGTTTGTAACCCTTAGTTTGTTTGTTTGTTTGTTTGTTTCATTTTACGCATTTTCCCAACAGTATTTCAGTCATATATAGGCGGGTAGTTTCCTAACCATCGTTCCTGGAGAGTAACACCAGTACTAGACTACCTTCCTCCGCGCTAAACTACCAAAGCATCTCCCGGGGATCGAACCCACGCCAGAGAGGTAACTGGATTAGAAGTCATCGACTCTAACCCCTCGACCACGGAGGCGGTTTGATTAATTTCCTTTGACACTGATGTAAATAACCATGGAGCTTAATATTACATGTATATCTGTAAAGAATTACACAATGTTTGAAATCTTTGACCAATCGGGAACTACTTTTCCTTCTCCCAAGAAGGCTTGAAAATTAATGCGCCCGTCATTTGACAATCTTAACACAGTGATCCCCCCCCCTTATTTTTTCAGCGTAAGAGTACATATAAAGGTAAGTAACCGCTTCCAGGGGTTCGGACTACTTTCTTATTTTGCAAATAAGCATATCAGAGCCTGAAATTTCGCTACCATTATTTGTTTGGTCTGACGACCCAAACAAATAAAAATGTAGTCGCCATTACTTAAATTTTTATAATGTTTAAAGGCATGAAGCTTTAAAAATAACTTTTAATTCATGTAATTAGGTCAGTTTTGGTTTGGTTTCACGGCTCATAAAACTGACAATATCATGTGGAGACTTTCGAGTTTTACAAGTGACCCTTTGGGTATAAATAAAGGAACGAACGGGCACCTGAGTTAAACGACCGACATTCTGTACTGTAGTAAGAAAACTTTCTCACATAAAAAATCGAAACATCGAAGTCACTTGTGGTCTCGTACGTACTTCATGTAGTATATTAAACAGAATGCAGCCTCCAAAATCCATAGCATTTGATTGACAAAATGGGTATTATCAAAATATCATTTTATTTTTAACACAAACACGCAAGCACACATAACATCGAGTGTTAAATGCATCTTGAAATGAAAGTCCAAGATAGGCATAATTTTACCAAATTTCCTTACATGTATATGTAACAAGGTTACCTTGTATAAACTACGTTTCGTTACTTAACAGGCCTTGTTCCCATATGGGTTCTTCAAATTATCAAATTATTAATTTTGATTGCACTATAACTGCGAAATATTTGTCCATATGTAGATAATTTGATAATTTAGATACATGCAGTTAGTTTGGGACCCTGGCAGATGATTCATACCAAATATCATGTAGCCGAAAAAAATTTAAACTTTCCGTGATTTAAAAAAATCTACTTACATCAAAACCAGCATTTTTTCTCCAAATTCGATTATTTAAACAACATTTTACAAGGAACATATATTTCCAACTTACTCCTAACTTCTTATTTGTTTATATATTCATACTATGTTTAGACGGTCATTTATATATTCGAACAAACAAATTAAATGAAATAATAATCGCACATAACAGATGTCCTTGAATTTCACAATTCGTGTTATAATCCAAAAGAATATACCTATTTTTTTCAAATGAAAATCAAAACAAAACAAAATTTTGAATGTCTTCCGTATCCCTCCCTAAGATTTTAAACATTTTATAGCCAAATATTAATTGCTCAACATATAAAATCGAATTTTGCGCAACGTACTCTCAAGATGTTATTTATTTTTTGAATAATCCTGTTTACATCAAACTGTAGGCATAATGATACTTTGGAAAACAGGTCCCAGGGTTCTCGTTTAAATTAATAAAATGTATAACTATGAAAAAATCACTCACATTACAATTTAAATTATTTTTTTATGTATTTTATTTTAGAATTGTTTCAAAGACAGAAATTGTGTGTGTACCGTATCTTTTGAAATAACAGTGTGTTCCGTATCATTTCAACATAACTTTATGAAAATATGCTAAAACATCACTACATTCACTCGATACATTGGACATAGTAAATATATCAGATTTAACATGTATTTTTCTATGAAATAGTGTCTAAAAAACATATGACTTGCTAGAAATCGCCTGTTATGCCAAATGAGTGTGTACCGTTCCCCTCGGCCCAGGCTATGAAAAGAAAACTGTACTCGAATGTTCTCAAAAACCATTCAGGGGTTTTCAGAATTTTGATATACCGTGGATAGCTGATATAATTACGGGTACTCTGCGCCTTATCTGATCAAAATCGGTTGAGTAATAAATAAGTTATGAATAAAAAACATACCTGAATCGGGTGAAAAATCGGCGTGTTCCGTACCCGAAAAGTCACGTGGTATGGCCACATTGCAGAACCCACGACGGAAAGAATATCTCGAAGAAGACTGAATAAAAACCCGAACAAAAATGGGTTTATATAGAGAAAAGCCAGGAGGGCAGAATCACATTTCTATTTTCTTTAAAAAATGCTTTGTATTTTATTTAAATGTTTTCAATGGTGAAAACTTACCCTAAAACTAGCCTATTTCTCCTTCACATATCGAGTTAAAGCTCAAACCGGAGCAGCGGAAATTCACATATATTTTCACCTATGCTCAATTTTGAGACAAATATGGCGTTCCACCCCTGTGTTTATGGACTAGGGGAAACTACATGCATGATTGTCAGGCTTGATGACGTTTTTCAACAATGGGTATATCGCCACGGATAATGTAAATAGTGTAAGTAAACAGGTCCTGATGTTATAAAGAAATTATCTAAGCTCATAGTGTGAGCAAACAAGCCCTGAGGTTATATGCATTTGCTTGGTTAGATACAGCCACAGGATGTTCACTGACCAATTAAAGCCCTGAGTTGTGAGATATTACTCAGAAAAATATTGCATAACCTCGAGGAGGCCAGAAAGTCGTCTGCCACATATGAAGCTTATTCACTAAACTACGCAAACAAGCATCGACTTACGGCGGGCAGACCATGGTGACCACTTTTGTTATGTTTGAAGTTTTTCAAAGAAAAGATTTTGTTCTGATATTTTCACCGTGCATATCCAGTAATGCAGAAATGTACAATTAACGTAAAATTCTAACACATTTTTCCCTATTGAACATAGAAGAACAGAAAGTGTGTGTAATTATGCAACAGATGCACAGTTTGACGTTCTATATTTAGACATGTGACGTAATCATTATACACGTGACGTAACCACTAAAAAACGCTGAAAATAAGTACGGAAACAAATCAGGGGCAATTTTGCTAACTATCAAGTACGGCAACATTTATTTGTTGATGTTGTGTTAGAATCGAAATAATATATCCAAATCAGTGATTTTATCGCTTGATAACATCACTGTTTGTCGTTGGGATGCGTATCATTATATCACTCGGGCTACGCCCTCGTGATATAATTCCTCGCATCCGAACTCCAAACAGTGATGTTACTGAGCGATAAAATCACAGTTTGCGATATATTATTTCTTAAGTAACGCCGAATCTGTGCAACGCTATTGCTAAAACGAATAACACAGTAAGTAAACGAACCAAAATATTTTATTCTAAATCAAATTAAAAGAAATGAATTAGCGCATACGGCTGCTAAGACATTACACTTTAGCCAGCATTACATTTTTTTCAGGAATATGTTTACTGTTTTATATCATTCGTGAGAAAGACAACCTGATTCATTTATGTTTTGAATGTGACTTCTGTGTTTCGACAAATAAATATGTACATAAAACACATTTAAAACTTTGTTTTGTTTATACCTAAGACATTTGTCAAACTACATGTGTCGTATAACAATATAAGGTTTAACCTCATTTTTGATGAGGTTTAAAGTAAAATGTCTCAGCAACCGTATGCGCTAACTCATTTCTTCCAATTTGGTGTACATTAAAAATTATTGGTCAATTTACATATCGCGGTGCTCGTTTTATCCACTAAATTGCACAATTCTGCGTTACTTTTGCACAATTCCTGCGTTACTAGATATACACGGTGATATACATGCTACATTCCCATTACTGATGTAATATTTTGAACATGACAGCTAGGACTATTATATAACCTCGACCGGTTTACTTTACCCGTATGATTATACCCAAACTTTAAACATGTTATCAGATACGTAATGCAAGTCAACATGACCAAACATTTAAGTATACATGTACATACCTGCAACACTATGACCGCGAACGAAGATGATGATAGGTCACCAAACATTGTACCTGGACAATCTCCCGCCACATTCTCCGAGGAAAATAATACACTTGTCATCCTGAAAACGTTTATTATATCACTTGAAAGATAATGCTTTTAAACAAACCAAAGCTGAAGTGAATGTTGTATCAATAGTCAAGAACGTGTGTCGAATAACTATGTTAAAAAATAAGTACATGTGGTTTAACTCAATGTACGTTTATCTATAAACGTCAGTGGGATTGCGTTAACGTTCCTTGCCATATATTTACATATTGAACACGCAGTAATATTTAATCCGTGACATTAATAAAAGATAGCACATTCATTAAAATTTATTATAATTTTAAGTGTGTATTTTGAGAGAAATTTTTTTTTACAGTTAGTGAATTCATAATCATTATGTTACGTTGAAATGGTTGTTCATTACACAGACGTGTAAGTTCATTTCGTGGTTAAGCATGTTAATTTGATATTCGGGTTGAAAGGTTAATAGGACTACTATTTGAATGTAGTAGTGGGGGATTATCTTCTTACATGATGTGAACACGTGTGTAGAAAATCAGATAGTGCAGAGTATCAGCTATTGTCGTACTGGTTCATATCTTAAATGAATAAACTGTAACTGTTTTTCAGTGACACGATCACATTACTAAAAGAGCGAACCATAACGTGACTAACCATGTATAAGTCCCTAATTTACTGATAAATAAATAAACAAATTTATGGCCCTGGTTTTAAAGAAATGATAACTACGGGAAGATATGTCATATATGACCTTATGATCCCGTAATAAATTTGAATGGAAGGATTTGGCCATTTTTGATAGGGATTCTTCTTTACTTCATTATTCTAACTGTTTAATACCGTCAAACATTTAAGAAAAGAAGTCGCCTTTACGCTATAAATTATAAGTAAATTAATTTTCTAACTCTGCTTCATGTACTGTACTGTATATGCAATTACATGTAACTTGATAAAGTGTGACAGTGACCTAAAGCAGGGTGACCCTGCCTAAAGTGGCTAAAGTTGATATAATAATGCAAAGCTTTAAATACACGTGCCCATTTGTCCCAAGACCTATGATGAAAACCACAGAAGCTTGAAATTGTAGCAATAATTGCCAGATTTCAGTGAAGACCAATTTTCTATAAAATACCCTATCCAAAATGGCAATCTATTTATAAAACACATAAGGGATTGGGTGTTTAAAACTGTTAAATATAGAAAATCAGACTTCTTTGCAATTATTGTTCCTGTGACGTTGTGCTTAACTTTAGTGATATAGATATGAAACATTTAAAACATGTAATTTAACACATCTGTACCTGTTTAAACGTAATACTCCCTTATATTTTGATACAGTTCACTTCAATAGACAATCAGATAATGCTACGAGTTATGTTTACATTCGTACAAATGTCGTTGATATAAACAGGGGAGTTAATCTTTGGGTACAGCGCCGTTATATTTAACTGAAGTAGAAGTTTTTTGTTGTTGTTTTTTTGTTTTGTTTTGTTTTGTTATTTTTTTTCTTCGTTCGATCATTTCATGCTCGGATGCATTTGTGACTAATCTCATGATTTAGCGCAAGAAACACACTGGCAGTAACAAAAGTTATCATAAGAACTCTAGGACATTTGAAAAATCGGGTATAAATTTGTTTGCAATTTTGCATTTTAATTAAGTAATTATATATGGCAAGGATAAAAAGCCATAAAAAACAGGTCAATATGTGCGAATTGGCAAATATTTTGGAAATATTACTCAAAACTTCCAGCTTTTAAGCACGAGACGATGAAAACTGGCCCTTGACTTAGTTTTTGACTCATAATACAAGATGTAAGGCAAGCTTAAACATTAAAAATCAATTTAGCACCTAAAACTAACTTTTTAAAGATGAAAATTACCATTTTTGACGAGTGTTTCTGCAGCACCGACGAACTCCGTGTCAGTTATCACAAGAACTCCTGACAAGTTATCATTAAAACTCCATCCCTCGTGTAACAGTCCTCTCCCGTGAGCGTAGCACCAACGGTGTCAGTAGTCCAACTAATTACAGTTGTCAAAACGACATCGAGATAATTCTGAGCGGGCGATGTCTTTTTTCCAAATCGTATGTGAACCGTTCACGCCGAATTAATTATGAAGCGCAATTTAGGTGCGTTGAGTACTGTATAGGCGTGTTCGTACATTTCGAGTTCGAATGTTTGCACCTCATTTTAGCGTTTAAACTAGTGGTGCCAATTGATTTAAATGTTTTATCACGTGAAACATATTCTTAATTATCATTTGTATGATTTTCATAAAACATATCAAAATGTCTTTACAGAATTTTTTTTAAAACAAACGCGACATTGAAAATATGTGTTAGCTCAGATTTTTGAAATACTCTATTTAAATGTAGTTCAAAAGGTAAATGCCCTTTGTCTTTTTACTTGAAAATGAACCACATTATCAGATAAGACGAGGTCATATATGCAAAGGTAAAATACGACAGACAAAATCAGGAAACAGTGCTTTCGAAATTATATTCTGATTCGAACTTAAATAATTTTATTTTAATTACATATAAAGATATTGCCCCTTAATATAAATTAAAATGACCGTAAACTAAAGTAAACTTACGATGTCGATGTGTACCTTGTCAAGTAAACAATTTAATATGAGTATGTCGGCCTCGGACGATACAAGAATTTTCAAATATATATTTGCTTTGCGCTCGGCACTAAAGCCTGTTTTGCACCCGTGTTTCATTTATTTCATAATTTTACACTCGTGTTATAATCCGTGGCTTGAATAGATAAATTAACTGTCATACTGTTTGTTTTTCAAACTCTACTGTTATATATATATATATGCTCATCATACGATACTCAAAAAAAGGCGTGGAATGATCTAAGCTAGAAGTGCATGCTCGACCGTTTTGTTTGTACTATTCTTAGTTTTCTTTAGGCTGTTAGGCTGCCAACTTCAGGCTGTTAAGGCTGCTAGGCTGCCAACTTCACGAACATGCTCATCATGGGGTTAAACACTTTTATTGCAGAACTTAATTGAAATCTGAGTATGTCCAATTTGAATAAGACAATAAATAAACTATGGTTGGGATGCAGCACTCCCTATTTACGCTTTGGTTAATTTGGTGATTTCTATTTTTGTTAAATCACCTCTACAGTACATAATATATATATATATATACATTATGTGTTTATCTATAGCTTGTATATGATTTAAAAAGAAACATATCTTCTCTGTGTGGATTCAAGAGATATTTATTTTTCATTTAAAAAGAGACTGTACAGAAATTGTCAACATTGAGCATAATGTATCTTTAAGAAGCATTCAAAGGTTGTTTTTGACCCATTAAGCCTCCAAAATGCTATAATTTTCTTTCTTACAATTGGTGTCCAGTTACAATTTCCGTGAAAGAACTCATTTCCAATATACGCAAGACATATTTTACATCTATAGCTTTTTGACAATTGATACATTAATAGTTATTTAGTATTTTGTACAGAAGTCAAAATACCATGTATATACTTCCTTCCTGCTACCTCAATAAAGTTGTATCTTACAAGGCAGAGATCTGCAGATTTCGTCGTCAACATAAGGACTTTGACGGAAAATGACGAATGTGGCCGAATATATACGAAAACTTAGTTTTTCATAACGTATGACTCATGGTCCTGATTTTCCCACAGTCATGTAAGTATGGATTCATATAAATATCAGGCGTTTATTTTATATTATTTCATTACACATATTACATTATATTGGTGGGTTAAGTACATTCTGTGATAAACTTTAGAAAATAAAGGAGCAAATGTTCCATTAAAGGTATACAGATTATTGTGATGTTTAGGTTTACAAAACATCCACTTTATTGGCGACGCCGGTGAGCGGCGTCGTCTATTATGGAACGCTTTTTATTTTTGCCTATGGAAGGAGCTGTTATTATTAGCAGTTAATTTCATGTTGTGTAAATTAGTTTTATTTTGATTCGTAAAAATCAAGTAAACAAATGTGTTGTTATATTTGTATTTAATAACTTTATGTAAAAAGCATGTGCATTGTGATATTATTTTCACGAAATTGCGGGTTAAGTTTAACAGCTTGTCCCTTAGTTTTAATGACAATACTAAAACCCGGATTTCGAATATCGTTGTGGTCTAGATTGAGGCCGTATCATTTATACATTTTCAAAATTTTCCTATAAGAAGAAAGTTCACCTGCAATTGAGTATAAGGATAGGTAATGGAACTGTTGTAAACGATTATCCTATTGATTTTATCCTTATTACATTTATCTGTTGCTCAGAATGGTTGTTTTTACAAAGTGTACCAGTATCCGGATGTTGAAAGCTATCCGATTTTCTGCAATTACTGCTGACACATGGCCATCTATTTTTTTATGAATACTTTACCATTAATTTGCATGGCTTGATAAAATTGAACCTGCAACATTTCATAATTTTGCTGTTTATCGTGTTCTTTTGGGTTTCAGGTTTTCTTTATTTTAAGGGGAAGTAACTTATGTTTACTAAATTATTTGTTCTTTTCTGTCTATCTTAGGTATTACTTATAATACTATTTTTGTTGTATATAATTCACCAGTTGTAAGGTCATCAAAAGCATGTTAATGTTAATGTTAGGATTTCATATTAATTTAATATAAACTGGGAATTATTAATGTTATGTGCATGTACATGTATATCTTAGACAGTAGTATATTGATATGTTGAGACTTAAAAATTTTCTGCATTTAAAGAGATACAGTTATGTCATTATTATTAAAGGGATGAGACTTTCATTTAAAGTTATAAATGATAAAACATGTATTGATTGAAAATGTCCTTAAACTTGGATCAAGCAATATAATTAATAAAGTCTCAAAAAATCATATTCTGAATAGTTATTCTATTTTTTTTCTAACATGTGCATAGTTTGAAAAGGACAGCTTCTGTCTTATCTATTTGTAATGAAGAGACACCGGTCTCAACCTCCAGGTCTCCTGAGTCAACGCGACAACAGACTGTACATAGAGTAGATTGTTACTTGCCCTTGAATAAATTTGTGCACTAATTAAATTTATAGTGGGTGATTTGTGCCACATGAAAACCAACATAGTACAAAAAGTAACTGGGCGCCAGATGAAAACATGAAAATACAATCTACCACAAAGTGGTTTGTTTGTTGCATTTTCATGTTTTTGCCCGGTGCCCTTGATGCAAAATACAAATCAGCCTTCATAAAATTTCTTATGTTGGTCACAGGTTAATGAGTTCTGGTCAAGCTCAAAGTTTTTCTCATCCTATGACTGCATATAAGCATGAGTTCAATTTCCTATGCTCTGTAACATAAGAAATTCACGACCACAAATCGATATAGTGGGGAAATATGTTTGTGGTTTAGAACTGTTTCATTATTAAAGAGAAAATGTGTAGCAGGACGGATAGCTCAGTTGGTCTTCTGAAAGTCATGGGTTTGAGTCATGGTCAGGCAGTTTCAGTCAGGGTTTAGAAGTGGTTTTTCAATTGACACATGTTTGATTCATTTAACAGATTGCATTATTTGAAATGGACAAAGGCAGTATTGCATGATACTTTTAGATCTACAAAGGGCATTTGATACAGTTGAAACACACTATCCTGCACATGAAGAAGTTGTTTTTCTTCTTCTTCATGAAACTTCAAGCATCTGCCATATATAATGACATTCTTACATGGTTTAAGTCTTATCTCTGATAGTAGCTGGTTGATGTGGCTGGTACTTATTCTACTACTGCTCTGAGTACCTATGCTGTCCCCCTGATGTTCATTTTAGGTCCTCTTTTATGTCTAATATATGTCAATTACATGTCTTCAACCCTAAGCAATAAGCTTTTATTAAAATGCACAGGCACGAGTATCAGACCTTGGATGAAAAAATATGGCCAGATTGATAAAAAACCTGTGTTTATCTTAAAAGTGTCAACAACCAAAATAAAATGTAAATAATGACCCCCTTTAAAAATATACTTCAAGTTGATAGTATATTTTTAAAGGGGATCATTATTTACATTTTTTGTTTTGGTTTTTATAAACACAGTTTTTTTTATCAATCTGGTCATATTTTTTCTTCCCAGGTCCGATACTCGTGCCAGTGATTATATGCTGATGACTCATAAATGAAATCTGAAGAAATTCTTTCTTATAACATGAGTCTTATAAGATTGCTTAATTGACTATAAATTGCCTTTGCATCTTGGCAAGACAGAGTCTATTCTTTTTTGGTTTAAGTTTCAACTTAACCTGGCCATAGCTTCCAGGTCACATGTAATGGTACTGCTATAAAGTACACATCTTTTGTTAAGTATTTAGGTGCAAATCTGGATCAAATTCTTTTGGCGTCGCCCTTTGATGCTTTGCATCAATGCTTTTCTTGTTTTATGTACTGTAATACTATTCCAACTTGATTACATTGCACTCAAGACTACATGTAAAGTTTTCGTCGCCAATCAGAATTGCACAATAAAAAGCGTTTTTTTTTTCAGTCATTATTTCTGTTGACTCTTGCATCTTAAAGTAACTGGTGTCAGTTCTTTCATAAACATAACAGTATTGCACCCTGCTTTCTTTAGTTTTTCTTAAGATCGTGTTAATTAATATCGCTTAGGAAAATTAGAAATTAACACGAAAAATGTAAATATTCCATTTGAAATGTATGTAAATCAAATGTTAAAGGAACTCCACTAAAAACCTCAAAACATTAAATTTAGATTTCTTACAAAGATCAGCTGGGGCACTTAAAACTGAAGGATATACAAAAGATAAGTAATTAAGAAGTATTCCCAGAAATAAATTGAAAATCGTATTTTTGTGTTGTTCTAAGCTCGATTTGACTAGAAAGCGTTGCAATGTTTTTCAAGTGTGGCTCATTTTTAACAATATGAAAAGTTATTTTGGAAAAACGGAGTGAGAGAATGATCTGGAATTTCGCACAAAAGTTACTGGTTTAGATCTACATCAAATGGAACATTAATCTTGAAAATATATTTCCAGTCCCATAATATTATCATGTCAAAAACTCAGAGGAGTCCCTTTAAATGATTAATCTGATTCAGGTACTTCTGCATCACTCAGAACAAATATATTTAAGCGCAAGTACCTAATCTTTAAAACTTAATCTCTAATACAAAGAAAACATTAGAATTACGTCGTTTCGTTTTTACCGTGAAATTCTTAATAAAAGATGTATATGTGATTCGGAATGTCTTTAATAGATTCGGATTGGCTACACGCATATACTTAAAAATTTACAATATACTGGTAATACACTATAAACAAAATTTTGCGCTTTGACAATTTTAGAGCTTACGAAAATAAATTGTGCTGGTATAATAAATTGTATATAAATACAACGTACAATAAACCGACAGTTGCCAGACTCGCTATAAAAATATACATAAACTAAACAAAGTTGAACTTTTCACTTTCAGTCATAGCTGGAAACCGATGTAGGATAACGATATATGCAAATACAACTTTCCAAACTGAGCGTTGAAGCGGCTGAAATAATGCAATTCTATTTTATATTTGCTGGATTTATCTTGTCTTTTACTGGGTCAAGTTCAGGCCTTGTGGACATAGACCCGGACGTGTTTGAAGATAAGGTCACCAAATATGTGAACGCTGGCCTAGGATGCCACAACAACCCAGGATTAAGTTTATCTGTTGTGAAGGATAGGAAAATTCTTTTGGCGAAAGGGTTCGGACACAGAGCGTTGGATAAACTCGAACCTGTGACCAACGAAACTTTGTTCGGGATAGCTTCACTTTCGAAAGCATTTGCGGCGACTCTACTGTTGAAGCAAATCGAGGAAAATGATTCGTAAGTAGTAATTGTGCTTTCAGATTTCTATTTCATAATTAAATACCGAGATGTGTATTGAAACTGTCGTAAAATGTTGAAAAGTAAAAATATTTTAGAATCAACAATAGTTTACTAAAATTCACCCGGGTACTTTGTAAACAGTATCTCAAAGATAATATACATGCACTTCATATTATCTATTATATTATTCAAGTATATTGGGCAGGTAATCATTACAATAAATTCAAGTGGTAATGAAAGTTTTTACTACATTTCTGGCATCATGTTCTTAGAAAGTTTCGATTAGGACACATTTTATAATTTCCTTCAAACTTGGTCATTTAGAACAAAAGAGAACTCGTATTTCTTATCATTATGGCAAGAATGACTTTATTTCAAACTACAAAAATGACACATTTCTTCTTATATCAAAAGTTGATATATCTACCTAATGCCTAGTAAAGATTAGACGAAAGTCAAGTCGGACACACAAGAGTATACCATTGGAAACATAAATATTTAGTATAATACAAATCCTACCGAATTTGTGTATTATATATGAAGAGGGCAAACATTAAGTTTTATAATGATATTCACTTTATATGTATACGTATGAAAGATGTTGTTACAGATAAAATTGGGTTAACTACGCGTTCCGATCTAAATTACAATCACCACAATCTCATCATCTTGGTTATCTAACGATATTAGCCGGAACATACGGAAATAGCCGATGTTTAACGAAAACATCATCGGATATTTCTTATGCTTGTCTGCCATATTGTTACAAAGTACAAAAAAAAAAAAAAAAAAAAAAAAAAACAACATGAATTCATGAATTCATATATATGACTGATATTACAGTTTCTCATATGCGAAATTTCGCGACAGATATTTATATCACAATCTATATATGCAAATTCCGAAGAATAATTCAGATACCACATTTTTGGTTCATTCCCTCATAATAATTATTTTATTTTGAAAAATTAAAAATACCCCCATAATAAACATGTATGTAGAAAATACAAATTTTCTTCATGTTCATCAACTTTTTTCTCAATTTGTTTCAGAATGACTTCTCCAGCTTAAAGTATATTTCTTTGTTATCGTTTGCAGATTTTTTTCCATTTTTTCAGACGACTAGAATAATAAAATAAAACGCTGCATTATAGATATAACATACAATTGCATGGCACATTGCAGGGTTTACAAATCTCTTTGTAGTTATACATGTATATGCCTGCTACGTTGTTGTTTGTTATTATTGTGTTGTTGTTATTGTTGTTGTTGTTATTGTTGTTGTTATTACATGCATTATTATTTTTGTTGTTATTATTGTGTATTTATTGTTGTTGTTCTTCATCATCATCATCATCATCATCATAATAATCATCATCATAAAAAATTATTATTATTACCGCCTCCGTGGTCGAGGGGTTAGAGTCGATGACGTCTAATCCAGTTACCTCTCTGGCGTGGGTTCGATCCCCGGGAGATGCTTTGGTAGTTTCGCACGGATGAAGGTAGTCTAGTACTGGTGTAACTCTCCAGGAAAGATGGTTAGGAAACTACCCGCCTATATATGACTGAAATACTGTTGGAAAAAGGCGTAAACTGAAACAAACAAACAAACAAACAAATATTATTATTATCATTATTATTATTGTTGTTATTGTTATTGTTGTTGTATATTCTGCTGCTGCTATTATTGTTGTTGTTGCTGCTGCTGCTATTGTTGTTATTGTTATTGCTGTTGTTGTTGTTGCTGCTGCTGCTGCCTCACAATTTCACGACCTCTTTATTTCTTAAGATTATAATAATTCAGTTTTTTTTAGGATTTTACAAGTACATTAATAAGTAAGTCAAGTTTTTAATCTTGTTATTTTTTATTTATTTTACAGGTTATCCTTGTCAACAAAAGTAAAAGACATACTTAATCGAGATGACATATTCGAGGACTATCTCAGGTCGAGGTATACTACATTAGAAGATCTACTGTCACACCGGTTGGGTATCCCTAGCAACAATAACATTCGTCTAGACGACACTCTTACACGAGCAAATTTAGTCGAGTAAGTTATATGAATAGTTTGAATGATGGTGGTTCAAGCGATTCACTTATTTTAAATTTATAATGATTCCCCAATGAGTCACTCAATTTCTTTTTTTTTAACAAAGTAAAATACATTACCTAATTGATTCAAATAGTATATATGAAAATGGTATACCTTATTTTTAGACTTACATGTAAGTGATGCTTCGTAGATTGACTTACATTTAAATGAAGTTTTTATAAGAAAAAATGATTTTTATAAAGGCGTTACATTCAAAAAAGAATTAGATGTATGTCTCAAAATAATCATATTTCGAAATAAAAAATATTGAAAATGGACTATTTTGATATTAGCTGTCTCAGTTTGTATATTGATATACAGCGCATCTATAGCTTAATTAAGTTCCTTATTGTCACGTCAAAAATTCCCCCCCCCCCCCCCAAAAAATTTGGATTTTTTTCATGTGGGAACTATCCAGCTAGCTAACTGAATGTTGGGGGTTCTACTGGATTCTCTTCTTCCCTAAAAAAAAAGCACTAGGGCACCTGAGGTCTTCCTCCACAAATAAAGCTGGAAAATCGGCATATGGGCATTTACGGTTTTATTTAATTAAGGGTTATTTTTATATTAAAATTGTCATGAAACAAATTAAGAAAATGTCTACCCCTTTTAGGTTTTTTTTAAGGTTATTTGGTTAGGATAAAGAAAATAATGGAAATAAAGAAATTTGGGGATAAAACCCCCAGCCCCTTAAAATATATTCAAATTAAAAAGCCGGGGCCGAGTTTTTCATAGATATGATTATTGCCGCATGACGACAAAAGAAGATGAGCCACAAACGTGCTTTCAAAATATAAAAAATTTAAATATAAAATTATTCAGCAAAGGGTTTATTTTACATGCTTGCGGAACTGAGTTTACATTAATGTGTGCATTCACCTCACATACTTTTATTATTTAAATGAAAAAGTACTTCTACATGATAAATAATATATACATGTAAGCGACATGTAAATAAATTAATCACGTGATACATGATCTTAAGGGAAACAGATGTTCATTACAAGTATTTTAAGATTTGTATCCGAAATTCTAAACGATGCATGTTTTTTTCTATCTTTCTTTTTTAAAGCAGTGTAATTGCTTTTCCCTCGCATATTTCTCAGCAGAACAAAGAGAGTACTTATTTTCAGAGCTTGCGTTTACGTTCATCTGGGCAAATGTTTGCAAAACATCTGAAATTCTGTAATTGAACACGGCGTTAATGTAGGCTAAACAAATGTCTAATTTATGTGCCTGTCAATCACAACTCTAATCTGAAGTAATAACACAGATATAATGGATTAAATTATGAAGAACATATATATGAGAAAACTTATCTTCCGAGTTCATAATTCATATACGATGTATAAATGTATACATGTATGTGCGTTGTTTAGCAGTTTTATTTATCATGTCCAGTAACCTTTACAAATGAAAAAGTATATGAAACGAAAGGTCGTAAGTATTGAACAGAGAAATATGCTTAAAGGCTCATTAAGCCCCCGAAATGCTGTCATTGTTATTTGTTCAAACCTTTTTTTTATGTATTATTATAGTAATCAAAAATACTCATTGGCCATATAGATGAACTATTTTTCGCTTCGTTTGCTCTTTAATTAACAATTGGTATAATTATTATAGTGAACTAGTTTTTGGGAGTCAAAATACTACTCTGTTTATATGCATGATATTTGCTATTTTCTGTAATTGTTTAACATCTAAGATGCTGTAAATTCATAATCAAAATATTATTTACATATCTGACCTTTCTAAAGAATTAAGAAATATTTTGATTTCTGAGAAATAATATGCCTGCATGCTAGAATGCGTTATGATCTTACAAATACCAATAAGTGTGCATCTTATTCGCCGCTCTATGTGACTTCCTTGGTTTTAGTATTTGATTCAAAAACGACAAAAAAATGCTTTTAAAAGGATTTTTTTCTAATGTGATTCAAAATTATTCAAACCTTATTTTTAGCCGTTTGAAATTCCTATCACCGAAAGGAGGGTTTCGAACGTCATTTACCTACAGTAACCTGATGTATGGCTTGATCACTTACATCTCTGAAGTTCTTGGTAAAAATTCTTGGGAGGCGCTCGTAAAAGAGAAACTATTCGATCCACTAGAAATGACGTCATCAACCTTCGTTACAACGGCAGAGTCAAAGGATCTCCAAAATTTCGCAGTCGGGTACCAAGACCGATATGGAACGCTGGTTCCAGTACCATTAGAATTTAGCAGGTAAGACAAGTACAATAAGTGACAATTTCTTGGATAGGATTTTGTAGCGCTCCCAAAATGTTATTCTTCTTAGAAATGTATACATGTAAAGCAATACATATTTCCATTGACTTTTAATTTAAAGGAGATTTACGATCTCCCGTTTTAAGAAGATTTACAATTTTCTTAATTTTCTACATTCTAGAACTAATCTTAGATTATTCTCAATTACAGAAATTCTAAATTTTCATTAAATCACAAATTCAAAAATGATATTAAACTCATGTTTTTTCCAATATATTATACATGTATTTGGTGTAAAAAAAACTTGCGCATTAATCTGTTAATGTCCATTTTTTAAACGTACAGACGTTGGGGATTGTTGTGTGGCTCTGGTTGCGTGATCAGTAACGCCGTGGACATGGCTAACTGGATGATATTCCATTTAAACGATGGCAGAAACAAAGACAACAGACGTGTTCTAGATTCAAGTATATTAGACGATGCTCACACACCACAGAACAGTCTCTCGTACTCGAGTATAGCGAAATACTATACCCGACCTACCACCCCAGTCACTCTTAGTCATACTAATTATGGACTTGGCTGGAGACTAGGTCATTACAGAGGTATGCCAGACTTATGCTCACTATGTCGTACTAAGCCAAACTTCTCTCACCTGTTTCGTGCGTGACGGCTACTTCTGTGCTGATAAAGGGGAGTAACCGCTGCAGGGACATGCTCCTGTAAGACGCACCTATAATAATTCGAACGTATTTTGTGCAGCCAACAACGTATTCATTGGGTTCTTTCCTTAAGTTCATAACTTCTTTATTCAATTTGCTTTAAATACACATACTGATAGCCAGGTTAAAATGAAAAGGTTGAATGTAAATTAAGCCCGTCTTGGTGATGTTTGATTTTCCGAAACCATCAGATGATAGCTACATTTTGCTTAAAGCTAAAATACGTGGATATTACATGGATTTGAACAGAAAACTATTCCTTCTGTATGTTTGATGCTGCGTATTTGAAATTGTAAGAACGAACGCGCCCGTTATAAGTGAGCCTCTTCTTGATTACTAATAAACACTAGCTTTATATGTGATTTATTTATAAATATAATTAAGCTTGTGCAATGTTTTTTTCCTAGATAAATGTAATGTTTTCCGTCTATATGAAATTGTATGTGAACATCTTCAATATCGGCAAGATTTTCGTTTTAAATGATAATACACTATGAAAAATGAAATATATTTTGTGTGTGCCTTTAAAGTACATACATGTATGACATTGAAAGAATTTATTTTTCTATTTATAGGGTATCCTATTATAACGCATACCGGGTCAACCTACGGATATCGGACCATGGTTACTTTGATCCCAGCAATAAACGCAGGGCTATTCACATCTTTAACAGGAGATGATCCGAGCTTTATCTTCCGTACAAACATTCATCTTTACATGGCTGACCTTTTACTGGGGCATGAACCATGGCTTGATAACGCCACCGTCTGCTCCTTTCCCGAGCCATGGAAGACCAAGCCTGACGATTCGCCTAACAAAAGACCAGTAACCGATATCGCTGCAGAGAAAGAACTTTCTGAATACGAGGGACAATTTTCTAATACAGCTTACGGTAAAATCGAAATTTATTTGAATGACAGCGCCGGATATTTGATGGCGAAAGTTGGATATGGCCGATTCATACTATATCCTAAATCGAAAGCAGACGAATTTTACGCACAAGGATACGAGTTGATGGAAAATATACGTGACTTTTTCACTCTGCAGTTCTCCTTTGAAAATGGCGCTGTTACAAGTTTAAGAATTCCAAGTTTCGAGTCCAAAGATCCTCCAGTATTTAACCGAATGGAAAGCAATGCATCTAACGGTACAGAACGGCCAAAAAGAAGTTACAATGCCAGCGACAAAACCAGTCTAAACATATTGTGTTGTCTAATTATACTGATAGCAAAATTGTTTTAACTTAGGATAAAACCTTATAAAATGAGAAAGGAAAAGGTTGTTGATCCATCAGTCCATTTCCAAAGCCAATCCGCATAATATGCATCTCTACCTCTATATACAAGTAGTTACAAGTAGTGTGTTTGTTTTTTGTAAAATTTCATATTCATTTAGATATTAAATTTTAAGAAAGTCTGTCAAGTCCAACAACCCTTTTTACAATACGATTTGTCCATAGTAACAGATGCTGCATTTCGCGCATGCGCATTCTGCATAGGACACTATATACGTATCCCTGCCTCTGTTTACAAGTAGTGTATTATTTGTTTGTTGTAAAATTTCATTTTCATTTAGAGACTGAATTTTAAGAAAACCTGTCATGTCCAGAAGGCTGAATCTCATGACGTTATTTTAGAAATCAGGAAATGTTAATTATTACAATATACGTTCTTTTATATCATTATTAAAAACATAACATAATTACTGCTTGTACTTTTATGAATTCTATGCAGGAGATCGCTAATGTTAGAAGCATTAAAAGTAATGCACTAGTTTGTTGTAACCAAGTATCTTTAGAAAAAAATGGAAAGGTAAGGTAGCCCTGCTTAGCAAAATAAATCGATTTCATTAAGCTGTCTGCACAATGTGCGGTTTTATGGCAAACGGGTCCTTCCTCGTTGTCTGTTTTTTTCCTGGGACCAAAAGGGTTATATTTTGTCTCAGGTTTTCCCAAGTAGGCATAATCGTTCTGGCCTATTGGTATGGACTTCAGCCTGAAAAACGACTCGGCAAGAAGGGTAAAAAATTGATTTCCTTTTGTTGAGTTTCTTTTATTGGTGCTCCGAAGGTAAATAAGCAAACACATAATCGTAAAACGGACGAACTTAAAGGGACACCACTGAGGTTTAAAAGCCTAAAAATATAACATTTGAATTTCTTACATAAATGAGCTGCCGGGCACTTTTAACAGAAATATATGCAAAGATAGTTAAAAAATGTACTTTGAAATAAATTGAAAATCGTATTTTTATGCTTTTCTTAGCCCGATTTGAGTGAAAAGCGTTTAAACGCTTTTCATTTTGGGTTAAATTTTGCACAAAGATTAGTGGTCTAAACCTACATCAAATGGTACATTTATCTGGAAAAGATATTTTCAGTCCCATCATGTCAAAAAACTTTAATGTATCTAAATCTCAAAAGATCTACAGTTTCTGTTAAAGTTTGGAATGAAGTGAAATAGATGAATAACCTAACCTGATACACTTACTACGAGATACATGAATTTTGTATATGTACGGGGACACAAATATCTTGAACAAAGCGGGATATATGTAACTATATAATTATAATACATGTACATGTTCCAGAAGCCTCGGGTGTTACTTCAGTTCGGTTTGCTACGCACTAGTGCCCTGAGAGACACGTGTTATTTTCTTTATTATAGCGAACCAACCGAGGGTGTTATTTTTTTCCAGTTCAATGGTTACTTATACATGTATGCACTATGTGTTGTTGTTTTATATCATACCGAACCATCAACATTTTAATGTAATTTTTTCACCGAGCTATTGGGGTTTTTTTATATCAGGGGATTGCGTTTTCATCAGCCTATATAGATTACTCGCCCCTGGGGAATATTGCAAAACCTATTGACCGGATGATAATTATTCATTTCCAGGATGATAGATTGAAATAATACAATGCGACGTCACGGTAGGTTATATCGTAAAGTGTTCTTGATGTTTAATAATAAAAAAAAAACACCATCTTATTCAGTTAATATAGATTGCGAATAGACAACATGATTAAAACACTTAATTTGGTAACGCAAATAGGTGTATAATATTCCTGATTTTTTGGGTAATGGACATGACTCAAAACTGAAAGTGTTAAATGTCGAGTTGATAGATTTCAGTTTTAAAATGCTTTCACAATTTCTTACACTACAAGAAGCCCAACCAGCGTTACGAATTAAATAACAGATACTTTGCACATACAAACTATAATAAGTCAACAAGATATGCGTGATATCCTTAGATCGCTTACCCAAGATCCATTGCCAATTCAGTGTGAAAGTATTTTTGGGCGATACATTTTTTTTTACCCCCAAGGGCATGATTAATAAAACTTTTGTAAAGGTTCATTAGAATATGTAAGCTCTGGGCATTATAGTTTACTACAATTTTCCAATTAAAACTAGTGAACAATAGGGTAGTACCAATTTCAATCACAGGAACACGATTTTTAGAACTTTCAGAGGACCAAAAAGGCAAAATATATCTATAGGCTCTTGGCTTTCATATCCTATTATTAGTTCACGTGACCTACTCGTGCATCGGACTGGAACCATTTATATATACCTTTTGTAAATAGTCACTCTGTGTAATTCCTTTGAAGTTTGGTAAAGATCTACCATATGGTTAAAAAGGTGATGTTATTGATAACTGCACATGGTGCAAGACGCTCATAAAAGCATGTGGTCATAAAAGCACTTTCTGCTCAGGTATTCTTAAAACAAAGGGTGTGTGTATATGAAAGAAAAATTTTGAAAACTTCTATCCAGTCACTTAAATTTTATTTCACATTTCAAAATATATCATTTGAAACACACTTTATCATACATAATTAACAATAAATATTGCACTTTTAAAGAACAAATAATTAACAAAACAAATATAAGCATAAATCTTGATTGACAAGATTATTAATTTAAACAATATATACACTTTAATAATCACAATATAGCATGATCACACTAATTAATTTATAAGGAATTAAAGGCCCAAATGTAATTTTCATTTCTTATAAGCTCTTTATTTTAAGTGTTATGTGTTATGTAACAGTTTCTTAAGACGTTTTTATAATTTCTAAAACATCACTTCAAATTTCTTATACATCACTTTATTCACTTTTTTTTTCAGAAAAAAAAATCAGATTCAACACAGCTCTTTCTCTTTCATTTTTACAAAATAAGCAATAGCAACTTGCTATATTATACACGCATTACAAAACACAGGTTTGATCTTTCTTCATAGAAAAAATCACAATAACAAGCATTAAGTTTTGTTAGTTTACAAATAACAAATATATATACATGGATATATAAACATTTGAGCTGCGTCACGACAAAACCAACATAATGGGTTTGGGACCAGCATGGATCCAGACCAGCCTCCTGACCAGCCTGCGCATTCGCGCAGTCTGATCAGGATCCATGCTGTTCGCTATCAGTTTCTCTACTTGTAATAGAGTTGGTAAGCGAACAGCATGGATCCTGATCAGACTGCGCGGATGCGCAGGCTGGTCTGGATCCATGCTGGTCGCAAACCCATTACGTTGGTTCATTCAATGAACACATCTTTACTAAATGTATGGCTGTTTAAACTCACCCAGCTTTGTAGTATTAAATAACTCACATTTAATTAGTCAAAACACATTACCAAGTTAGTCAAATTGTTCAATGGAGAAATTAATACGAATGTCTTTGTAAGTATTTGACCGCTGTTTTTATCTAGCTTCTGAAAATTTTATTTGATCAAATTTGGTAAACACCCATGAGAAGTTGATTCATGCTTAATATCTACGCTCTAGCTATTTGGCTTGTTTTTATAAGAAGATTTTTTAAAGTTTTTTTCTATATACATATAAGTAAAATCAATGACCCCCTGGGGCATGGCCAAATTTGACCCCAGGGCTTCTATTTGAACATACTTGGTAGACACTTACTGGAAGATGTTTCATGCCAAATATCAAAGCTCTAGCTCTTTGGGTTTATTTAAAATAAGATATTTTAAGTTTTTTTTTTCTTTCAGTTGCCATGGCAACCAGAGATTTGCATGGGTCTCTAAACAATTTTTAAAGGTGACCACCAAAGAAAACATTCCTGTAAAGTTTGGATGAAATTGGTTTAACAGTTTATGTGGAGATGAATATCAAGAGCAAGAAATATATTTCTGCCATAATCTCTTATGTACCAAACAAAAAGTTCAAAACAAAGTTCAAAACCAACAAGAAAAGTACAATGCACTGAAAGATAACTGTAAAATGAACAGATTTTTCATAAACATTAAAAAAAGCAACCTTGATGGCTTATTAAAAATTTTAGGTAATTATAAATTATGGATAATCAAGTATTTTCTATAAATACAGGATTTATTTTCATTGAGTGGTATGAAAATAAATATTTCACAAGTTGTGATTGACTTCCCCTTTAATTAAATGTTTTGTGTATTGTCTGAATTTAGAAGTTTTCCAGCAAGACACCAGTGAAAATGCGGAAAATATATTTCACTGCAGTGAAAAATAAATTTGTACAGTGAAACAAGAGGGCCATGATGGCCCTGAGGTCGCTCACCTGTATAAAGGCACCCGGAGCGGGGCCAGTTTAAACCCCAGGGCTTTTATTTGACCAAACTTTGAAGACACCCATTAGAAGATGTTTCATGATGTTAAGTTTTTACTACACACATATAATGAAAAACAACGATCTACGCCCCCTCCCCCCCCCCCCCCCCCCCCGGGTTAATTTTAACCCAAGGGCTTTAATTTGAACAAACTTGGTAGACACCCATAAGAAGATGTTTCATGCTAAACATCTAAGCTCTAGCTCATTGGGTTTTTTTAAAAGAAGTTTTTTTAAGTTTTTACTATACACATAAAGTTAAAACCAATGACACCCCTGTGGCGGGGCCAGTTTTGACCCAGGGCTTTTATTTGAAAAAACTTTGTAGACACTAACTAGAAGATGTTTCATGCTTAATATCTAAACTTTAGCTATTTGGGTTTTTTTCAAAGAAGATTTTTAAGTTTTTGTTATACACATATAAGGAAAATCAATAAGACCCGGGGCGGGGCCAATTTTGACTCCAGGGCTTTTATTTGAACAAACTTTGTAGACACTCACTAGACGATGTTTCATGCTTAATATCTTAACTCCAGCTGTTTGGGGTTTTTTCAAAGAAGATTTTTTAAGTTTTTGCTATAAACATATAAGGAAAATCAATGACCCCCGGGGCGGGGCCAATTTTGACCCCAGGGCTTTTATTTGAACAAACTTGGTAGACACCCATTAGAACATGTTTCATGCTAAATATCTTAGCTCTAGCTCTTTGAGTTCTTTAAAAGAAGATTTTTTAAGTTTTTTGCTATACACATATAAGGAAAATCAATGACCCCCGGGGCAGGGCCAATTTTGACCCCAGGGCTTTTATTTGAACAAACTTGGTAGTCACCCATTAGAACATGTTTCATGCTAAAGATCTTAGCTCTAGCTCTTTGAGATCTTTAAAAGAAGATTTTTTAAGTTCTTTACTATATGCTTATAGGGAAAATCAATGACCCCCTTGGGCGGGGCCAATTTTGACCCCAGGGCTTTTATTTGAACAAACTTGGTAGACACTCATTAGAAGATGTTAAATATCTTAGCTCTAGCTCTTTGGGTTCTTTAAAAGAAGATTTTTTAAGTTTTTACTATATGCATATAGGGAAAATCAAAGACCCGCTAGGGCGGGGCCAATTTTGACCCCAGGGCTTTTATTTGAACAAACTTGGTAGACACTCATTAGAAGATATTTCAAGCCAAATATCTAAGCTCTAGCTCTTAGGGTTTTTTAAAAGAAGATATTTAAAGTTTTTTCTTTCGGTTGCCATGGCAACCAGAGTTCTGCATGGAATTAAATTCTTTGAACAATTTTTAAAGGTGACCACCAAAGGAACATTCCTGTTAAGTTTGGATGAAATTGGCTTAGTGGTTTATGAGGAGATGTCATTTAAAGTAAAAGTTTACCGACGGACTGACGACGGACGAAAAGCGATCACAAAAGCTCACCCTGTCACTTTGTGACAGATGAGCTAAAAACAAAAAATGATAATACAGAATTTATTTCATCAATATTTCTTTGATAAGTATATAATATATGAAGTGATTCATCACAAATTATAAAATTATAACATCAATAAGTTCTAAAGTGTCAGGTATCATATTGAGACAATAAAAAGAGACATTTTCCACTTAAAAATGACAAATTCACTTTAAAGCAGCACGTCTCTAGATTCTCGTAATTTTCATAAAAAATTTTGGAAATGTATTTAAAAGTAAAATAATGTGGTGAAAAAACAAAGTAATTTACATATTGCAGTCAGCACTTAGAACCCACAAAAATTACCAAACATTGGTTAATATATGCAAAAACAGCCCTTACGTTAGTAACACAGTAGAAATATATACTGCAAAATCAGTGTAAACCCGCCGGAAAATGTAAAATATAACTTGGATCTTAAATGTTTTTACCTTTCTTAAAACTTTAGTGCTTTTTTCTCAATATTGATTTTCTTGAAATAGTTTGGCTCATCTGGAGGCGTGCAGCTTTAAAGTACCTTTTTTGTAAATATAAAGAATAAACATCTAGCATCAATTAAAGGTTACCCTGCAGAATTTGGTTTACATATTAATTTTAAGGAACTACATTGAAGTCTATAAGCTTAAAAAACTAAAATTTAAAATTCTAAAATAGATCAACTGGGGCAATATGAAAATATAAAGATATGAAAAAAGATATTTAAAACAAGAGGGCCATGATGGCCCTGAGGTCGCTCACCTGTATATAGGCCCCCCCAACCCCCCCCCCCCCCCCCAACAAGGCAGAGCCAATTTAACCCAAGGGCTTTTATTTGCACAAACTTGGTAGACACCCATAAGAAGATGTTTCATGCTAAACATTTAAGCTCTAGCTCATTGGGCTTTTTAAAAGAAGATTTTTTTAAAGTTTTTACTATACACATATAGTTTAAAACAATGACACCCCTGGGGCCGGGCCAGTTTTGACCCCAGGGCTTTTATTTGAACAAACTTTGTAGACACTTACTAGAAGATGTTTCATGCTTAATATCTAAACTCTAGCTATTTGGGTTTTTTCAAAGAAGATTTAAAGTTTTAGCTAAACACATATAAAGAAAATCAATGACCCCCGGGGCGGGGCCAATTTTGACCCCTGGGCTTGTATTTGAACAAACTTGGTAGACACCTATTAGAACATGTTTGATGCTCAATATCTTAGCCATAGCTCTTTGAGTTCTTTAAAAGAAGATTTTTTAAGTTTTTACTATATGCATATAGGGAAAATCAATGACCCCCCGGGGCGGGGCCAATTTTGACCCCAGGGCTTTTATTTGAACAAACTTGGTAGACACCCATTAGAACATGCTTTATGCTAAACATTTAAGCTCTAGCTCTTTGGGTTCTTTAAAAGAAGATTTTTTAAGTTTTTACTATATGCAAATAGGGAAAATCAATGACCCCCCGGGGCGGGGCCAATTTTGACCCCAGGGCTTTTATTTGAACAAACTTGGTAGACACACACTAGAAGATGTTTCATGCCAAATATCTAAGCTCTAGCTCTTTGAGTTGTTTAAAAGAAGATTTTTAAGTTTTTACTATATGCATATAGGGAAAATCAATGACCCCCGGGGCGGGGCCAATTTTCACCCCAGGGCTTTTATTTGAACAAACTTGGTAGACACCCATTAGAACATGTTTCATGCTAAATATCTTAGCTCTAGCTCTTTGGGTTCTTTAAAAGAAGATTTTTTAAGTTTTTACTATATGCATATAGGGAAAATCAATGACCCCCCGGGGCGGGGCCAATTTTGACCCCAGGGCTTTTATTTGAACAAACTTGGTAGACACTTATTAGAAGATGATTCATGCTAAATATCTTAGCTCTAACTCTATGGGTTTTTTAAAAGAAGATTTTTTAAGTTTTTACTATATGCATAATTATAGGGAAAATCAATGACCCCCGGGGCGGGGCCAATTTTCACCCCAGGGCTTTTATTTGAACAAACTTGGTAGACACCCATTAGAACATGTTTCATGCTAAATATCTTAGCTCTAGCTCTTTGGGTTCTTTAAAAGAAGATTTTTTAAGTTTTTACTATATGCATATAGGGAAAATCAATGACCCCCCGGGGCGGGGCCAATTTTGACCCCAGGGCTTTTATTTGAACAAACTTGGTAGACACTCACTAGAAGATGTTTCATGCCAAATATCTAAGCTCTAGCTCTTATGGTTTTTTAAAAGAAGATATTTAAAGTTTTTTCTTTCGGTTGCCATGGCAACCAGAGTTCTGCATGGAATTAAATTCTTTGAACAATTTTTAAAGGTGACCACCAAAGGAACATTCCTGTGAAGTTTGGATGAAATTGGCTTAGTGGTTTATGAGGAGATGTCATTTAAAGTAAAAGTTTACGGACGGACGGACGCCGGACGGACGCCGGACGAAAAGCGATCACAAAAGCTCACCCTGTCACTTTGTGACAGGTGAGCTAAAAAATTTGTTTGAATTAAATAAAAAATGTTATTCTGTGCTTATCTGAGCCTTATGCAGTTTTCAATTTTGAATCATTTTTCATAATTCTATTACTTATTCTGGAAAAACATGGATGTAATGCAATGAGTGAATGCTCTGAATTTATGCATATAAGTTTTTTGGTCCAGACCAACATTAATGATATATAAATTTAAAAGAAAAAAATATTTCCAGTCCCATCACATCAAAACACCTCCTGATAGTGAAAAAATCTTGTAGCATATTTGAAACAACTTTTGAGACAGCTTTCTGGAACTAACCAGAATGAGGAAACATGTTTGGAAGTCTCATGACCACAATCGGGCTTGAACACGCAATCCCTGCTGAATTTGTATAAAAATGCATGCCCTGTTTTAAATTTGGAACAGCAAATGGCTAAAAATAGAATCAGGTCAGACAAATATATTGACTGGCATGGTTCTATACTAGCAGCAATGGTATGTAAGTAACCATAACTACCAGCGGCAAAGGTATGTAACTTGTAATCATATCTTCTAGCAGTAAAAGCATAAATATGGTGAATGTTTTCAATTTTATGGAATGTGAATGATTCCTGAATAACAATATAGATTATCATTATTATCCTGTTCACATATCCTAATTTTATAACAAAGCTAGTTGACTTGCTTAATAAGGAATACTTTCAGTAAAGATTGTTGAAATTCAAATGAGTTAAAAAAGTATCAAAGATATGTCCAAAAGTCCAGGAAAAAAACTTCAGTTTCCAGCTCAATATCAAAGATATGTCCACAAGGCCAGTAAAAAAAACTTCAGTTTCGAACTCCCATCTTTAACCTCTAGCTGTCAACGTCTCTTCCAAGACCTGTCCACTGGTCAGGTACAGGGAGAAAATACTTGGCCATGGCGTCCAGGAATCTTGTCCGGTACACTTCAGGGGAGACAACTGTAGGCATTTTACCTGTGAGAAAAAATACACTAGTTATCTCTTTAAAGTCATATTTGGAGTTACATGTATTTTATATGTTATCATTTAAGACATTATTTGAGACAATTGTTTTTATCAATTAATTAGGAAGGAAAAAATTGCTAAAATTGCTAATTTTAGAAGTAAAAAAAGCTGGTGTAAGATCAGACTTTTTTTAAGACTGCATGGGTTTTTAAAAAAAAAAAAACCATTTGGAAAAGCCTTTACATAGGCCTTTGTTATGTAAGGTGAAAAATTCACTGATTGCACGGTCTTAATTAATATTTTATCAATATTTAACTCCCTGTGTGATTAGCTAGATAGCCTATACAGATTTTCAAACCTGTATTCATGTAAGAGGAAAAGTCAATGATAAAGAAAAATCTTACCTTGCCCACCAAAATTTGTCTTTATGATAGTCTCCAACTTCTTGTCCCAGGTAAAAGTCCTTATATAATCTGTAAACATCAAAACAGCGTTTCAATGTTCATTATTTATTTGAAATAAACAACTTATTTATTTACTTTGTATCTTCACTTTTATCTTACTTTGTAACTCAATGAACAGCATAACTTAAGTATCAGAAAATTTATATGTAGATGACAAAATTTCATATATATATTTTTTTTACATAATCATCTCTGTTTCCAAAATAAAACATTTAACAGTAGCTGTACATCCTAATAGTTAAGTACCTTAATCTATCAAAAATAATGCAAAGATGGATAGATGGGGATTTCTCCTCTAGTACAGCTAAACAAAAGGGTCATGATGGCCCTGGATCGCTCACCTGACACAACCGCATCCAAGCAATGTCTAAAACAAGCATCATGGCCAAGTTTGATGACAACTGAGTCAAACATGTGACCTCAAGTGTGTTATAAAGATTTTTCCATATTTGGGCAATGTGACCTAATTTTTGACCGGACACAACCCATATTCAAACTTGACCTAGAAATCATCAAAACAACCTTCCTGACCAATTTCCAGGAAATTTGGATCAAAACTGCAGCCACTAGAGTGTTAAAAAGATTTTTCTATTTTTAGCTCCTGTGACCTAGTTTTTGATCGGAGATGACCCATCTTCAAACTTGACCTAGATATCATTTAAACAACCTTCCTGACAAATTTCCAGAATATTTGGATGAAAACTGCAGCCTCTAGAGTGTTAACAAGCTTTTTCTATTTTTAGCTCCTGTGACCTAGTTTTTGACCCGAGATAACCCATCATCGTACTCGATCTGTATTTCATTGAGACAAACATTCTGACAAAGTTTGATGATGATCCAATCAAAACTGTGACTGCTAGACTGTTAACAACCCAATTGTTGACAACGCACGATGCACGACGACGGACGCCGGACATAGCCCCATCACTATACCTCACCTTGACCACTTCGTGGTCAGGTGAGCTAAAAATTACCAGTTGACTTTATCATTTACACCATGAAGTGATCGTGGTAAAATATTTTTGTACTCTAGAATTAGATTGAGAAACCTAAAATTGCAGAGTTCCAAATAATATCTATTCACCACAGAAAAAATAGTTTACTCCAAGCTGTCTATCACCAATCCAATAACCAAAATTTACTAAAAAAAACACCACATTCTCACCAATAATTCCAACAACAAGTTCTTGTTTTTGCTCGTCCAGGCCGACTAGGAGAGAGTAATCCATTACAAGATTACTGGACAAGAATTGTGAATCATGACTGATGGCCAGCATCAACATCGTCTTAGAATGAGACAAAATATACAACGGGCAGTCCACACTCACTGAAAATATACAACACAATATGTACATGATATATACATGCTTATCACATAAACCAAGGTGCAGAAGTGTAATAAAAGATATCTTTAAAAAAATGATATTATATTAGCGTAATAACATTTTGATGTGATGTCATTTGCGTTACATACAAATATAGCTATAAAGCGTGCTAATGTTATTGTTAAACTATCTAAGACACATCAATGAAAAATGACCCTTTTTATCTCTAAACCGTTTTTATTTTGAATGTGATAAAAAGAATATTATATTCATTTCAATATTTGATTTATTGATCTTGCTGAATAATATGATTTATTCAACATGTTAAATAAATTAAGTATAAAATCTACCATCATTCAATATCCTCTATACATGTATATTGATTGTCATACTGACTATACAATGGTAGAAGATGAATTCTGAAACATTGTAAATGAAGTAATTGCTGTTTAGTTCATGTACATGTATGTAAGGTTTATTTTTTTTTGAAGTTATCTACTAAACAAATGCTCCTTCATTCTGAGCTAATGTTATCTTATTTCCTGCAACTGCTAAGCTTAAAAAATTAAACCAATGTATTTAAATTGTCAGTGGATAATGTTAAAACCTTGATTAATTCCATTCTAGAGTAGAATGCCCTGATCTTGCTTTGAATTTGGAACAACCCATCATAAATACTTTAATGAAGAACAGTCCTTTTCATTTCCAACAGTTTTTTTGGAAAAAAATCGGCCAATGTCAGTCTTTGTTGGTATGTGCCGAGCAAATCTCAAGAGTTCAATATCAAAATACAGTACTACGGTTCTGCAGCCAACAAAATGGAACCTGGTCAGACTGTACAGTTAGCAGAGTGCATGACCCTGTACTGCATGGAAAATATCTTAAAATGGTAAAATCTTATCATGCTGAATACCTTCAATGGACCTGTCCATTTTTCAGTCTGTACAAAAACATTGATCATATTTATGAAAAATTGTCAAAATATGTATTGATTGCATAGGGAACAAACAGCACAGATCATGATCACACAGCACAAATGTGCTTACTAATGTAGGTCAGAAATGATGGCATATATAGAACCAACTGCTGCCTGCTGGCAAAGGGTTAAATCAGGGTTCGTACAGACATCCAATGCCAAAATTCAAGGACTTTTTAAGCACTATTTAAGCACGATTTCCCATTTTTCAAGCACATTTGTTGCACACATTGACACAATCTTCAACCTATGATGGATAGTTTGTTCACCATTTTTTGTTAAATACACATTTTCTAACATTATAGAAGAACAACTAAGGGTGCATCAAGTACAGATTAGTTCAAAACTGCAATCTGTCCACTTACTGTTACCTTGAGTAAACATTTCATTGATTTTGATACTAAATTGGATCTTTTTTTTATTTTGTTAACTGTTGATTTTTATCATAACTATGTCTTTCTGTGATTCAAACATTTTCAAGCACATTTTTAGCAAATTTAAGCACTTTTTAAGCACTTTTCAAGAGAGTAATCAAATTCAAGGACTTTTAAGCACTTTTTTACATTTTTAAGCACTTTTTAAGAAAGAAACTCAAATTTAAGCACTTTTTAAGACTGTACGAACCCTGTAAATACATTGCTGTTTAAGGGTTCAAACACAGAAAAAAATACATAGCTGTAATGATATGTTTATAAATGAGAGTTTACCTTTTACAGCAGCAAAAGTAAAGTATAAAAACATAGAGAAACAGACTAACATCAACATTCTTAACCAGTTGGGTATCATATAAACTTGAGAAATTTTATTTTACCTCTTAGAAAGTTTTCATCAAGGAGTACCAGCTCTTCATCTCGTTTGCGTGTTGGTTTCACTAGACGATTTCTCTCTGACCCCTTCAAGTCAAATGTCTGAATCATATAATGATAAGATTATTTAATATTGTTTGCTAATTTAAATCTGTACATATCCTGCTAAGTAATGATTATCTGTGGGGAACTTATTTTCATGGTTTTCATGGATAGGTCAATCCATCAATTTAAGATCCAATGAAATTTCATTTTGTTTGCTGTAAAAATTATTTTGCATTGCATTATTTACATTTTACCTTTTGGAAAAAAAACGGTCCATGAATTTAAGAACCCATAAAAATGTTCTTTGTGACAAACTATCAAATTTAATGTCCATGAAATTAAGGGACTTGACGGTTATAAGGAATTACATTAAGAAATCTGCAATACATGAGGGCTAGCTTGATAATTCTAGGCAGATCTCTTTTTTGTTGGTACAATAAGAACACACTATACTTAATCATACAGACATGTTAAAGTGTATAAAGCTATATTTTGGATATGTTTTAAGTCAAATCAACACTGTCACGGTCATAATTTATTGTCACTTTCAAGCATTACTAGTTGAGGAAGACTTCAGGTGGCTCAGTGACCCTCCATGGATTATGCTAGGATTATGGAGCTGGCACCTTGTAGAACCATCAGTATTCCATAAGTTACATTTAGATGGATAGTTTCCTCCTATGAAAAAATCCAAAATCCATGTAGGGTTAGGATTAGATTTAACTCTTAGCAATGAAGTCCAAATGATTTAGTGACCCTTATCACTTGCCCGTAATGGCCCTGAAGTTAGGTATAAACATTTACCTGGGATATACACCGGTTATAGAATAGATTCTCCACCACCAATAAATCTTGTTTCATGGCATTGTTGGTAAACTGATTCCTGAATCCAATCCTATATACACCTACTATCTTAGCTAGAGCTGTTGGTCTCTGAAACATAAGATCACATGTTTCTCTACTGTTTACAACATTATGTTAATTATATCAAATTAAAAGCCATAAAATTGAATAGCATTTTTTATCACACAGAATTATTACCACAAACAAAGTAGATACATGATTATTACCACAAACAAAGCATTTACATGATTGTTACCATAAACAAAGTATTTACATGATTGTTAAAAGAACTATAGACCAGAATTTATGCTTTCTGTCCTATTTTTTTTTTTTGGTAAAACACACCACTCTATCTATATGTGTTGAAAACATTCATTGTTAAAATTAAGAAAATTTGGCACGAAAAAAAGCTCAAGTGAACAGCCAACGTAAATAGAGTCTGGTCAGACTGTACTGGTGTGCAAGCTGGGCTGGCCTGGCTCTATACTGGTGGCGGTGGTAAATCACTTACAATTCCAGCAGAGTTAAAGGTTAAACTAACTGGTAACTTACCTGCTGTTTTTCTACACTTGACATATACTGGAAATATTCGGGTCCAAATCTTTCAAATGACTCGACCTCCATGTTTGACATCTGCTTCAGAATGAATCTATCATCTAATTTTAGAAAGAAATTTACTAAGTAACTCAATAATGGTACAACTAAACTTTATGCATACTTTTTAAACAAATGTTACACAGAAGTATAGGAGTAAAAGAAAGATCTGTAAAAGATATCTGAGCATCCCACAGACTAAATTTTTGTATTTCCTTGAAAGGAGAATTATTTTGATTATCGCACTCTGTCATTATCAAGTTGATATAGGAACTTTTCAGCTTTACTGAGGGAAGAAGACTTTTTTTTTTGTTTTGATTGGGTTTTACATCACATCAACACAGTATAGGTCAGATGGCAACTTTCCAGGTGTTTTGGTAGAGGAAGACCTCAGGTGCCCCTCCATGCATTTTATTTCTGGCACTATGGACACCTGAGTAGAACGAACGACGATCTGTAAGCTAGCTGAATAGCTTCCTCCAATTTTAAGAGGTTAAAAACTCACTCACAATGAATCATTCCATAAAATGTCTGCACTTTATATCACCAATTATGTCAAAAAATTTCAGGCTTGCAAAACATAGAATTTTTTTCTGAAAATTATGTAATTTCTCCAATGTTAGATAGGATTTTAATAGATGTTAGATATATTTATACCATCTGTTTTGCAGAATGATGAACCAGATTTGCCTCCCTTTGCTTCCCAAGGTTTACATCTGCTCAGTGAACGAATATACCTGCAAATAATTATTATATGAAAATGTATATAAAATATAAAAATAAATTAGCTTAAAATAACCTTTGCAACCTAAAGATAGGAATTATGAAATAAATAATAAACATAACTTTTAGCTAATAATATCCAATAGATTTAAGATATATTCAGAAAAAAGTACAACTATCTTGGAACAGAGGTCTAATAAAAGAACAAGGAACAATGTAATAAATTCTACCTAAAATTTTCAACTTCATTGGAAAAAAAATATACTTAAGTTCGTAACTGTTTTCCCTTTGATTGTATCTCAAGTCTCACCTACATTTTACTAAATTATTCATTAAAATCATTGTAAATAAATCTGATCCGTCAATTTTACCATATATTGAGAACAGGATATTTATTATGTCCAGTGTATCAATTTAACATGGTAAGAGTTAAAAGGCTTTAAACTAAAGTGGTTACATCCTCCATCAATTCATCAATCGCTGTTTCGTCAAGTACAATGGAGACTGCTGTCAGTGACATGTATGATTTTAAAGTCATTAGACAGGTCTAAATTACAGATTTTGGAGTAGATATTATTGGGGTCGTTAAACATATCTCACAGGGAGTGGCTACAGGCACACCAGTTTTAGTACAATATGCTTCAGTAGGGATATAAAAAGGGTCACTGTAGTCAGAACATTGCTGAAACAAAATATTGGTAAGACTGTCATAATTATGTTCATAGGAAATATGACTGAGATATCTAGTTAGGTGTAAATTTACTTTGTAAAAAGTAAATTTAGTCAAAGAGGAGAAAAGAACAGAATTCAGCAAAATCATTTAAAACGTATATATAGTATTACATACATAGGATAGCAAATATTTCAAACAGATTTCTGAAAACTACAAGTTGGTTGAAAAGATCTAGTGAGACGGAAGAGTTAATGCTACATGTACTGGAGAATAAAGACGGAAAAATAAATAAAGGCAGTGGTGTTTGGAAAAAGCTGTTTTGAAATATTTTAAATTGAAATGAGCAGGGTTTCATATCAACTATTTGGGAATTTTATGTCAAATTCAAAGTAGAAGTGTTATGTGTCAACTATTTGGAAATTCTACATGAAAATCAAAGTAGAGGTCTGGTGTTTGTTGTCTTTTCTTTAAAATTTCCTTACAGATAATTTTATCAATACTATCCATGTGTTTCAAAAGTGTCTGTTAAGTTATAAACATGGCATTTGTCTAGTAATGGAGGGTACAAATATAGGAGATGATTTTCGTGTGATGAAATGTAGCATACATGAGGACAAACTAGTCGAATATTTCTGCGAGAAATGTGAGATTGTTTGCTGTGAGCAGTGTATACCACTTAAACATCATCAATGCCTCAACGTAAAAAGTATAACAGATATGACAAACAATTTCGAAATTGATGACAGTGTAAAAGACATTAGTGATGATTTGAATTCCATGTCACTTGAACTTGAATACTGTGGCAACACCATTGACTCTAACAGACATTCTGAATCAAACCTCCGGAAAAAAGCTATGGAAACACTCCAACTGCAAATGATCCAAATGAGAAAAGACTTTGACCATTTTGAGAAACAAACTACAGAAAAGATTAATGAAATTGGAAACAGGAACCACACAACACTTGATAATGCTGTAAAATTGCATGAAAAACTGCAAAACAAGATCTCCAAAATTAAATCTGATCTTGAAGTCAGAAATTTCAATGAAAATCCAGCTCAACTTTTTACTGCAATGATGGATTACAAGGCAAACATGAAACAAGAAATAGCAAGTGAAATTGAAGACTTGAAACAGAAAAGTAACGTTGAAAGATATAATTATGTACCTTCATCTGATGCTGGGAGAATTCTACAAAGATTACAGTTGGGTAATATACAGATAAAAACATCTGAGCAGCAAAAAGGTTTCATCTTTTGTTTTTCTCTGGACGTATTTGCAGGCAATGAAAAGGATCATGCGATACCTGAACTTGTTATTGTAAACGATACATTCATCGTTGCTTGGGATAAAAAGACCAAATCTATAATTGCCATTGACACAGTTAACAGGTGTATCACATCCAAGTTGACTGGTATACCTGCAACATGCTTCACAAGAATCAATGAGAACCAGTTTGCTGTATCAATACCAGACAAGCAAATGATCCAGTTTATAAACTTGTCACAGTCTGGAATTTTATCTCTGGGGTGTGACATCATCATAAAGGATGAACACTTTGTTCCATATGGGCTACGATATTGTAATGGTGTATTAATAGCTGCATGCCATTCTCATGTTAGAGTTTTAGACATGGACGGTAATGAGATAAGAATAATTGCCAACAACTCCACAGGAGCGGCTATGTTTAACGCAGCTTTCTGTGTCGCAGCAAGCCCCGATAATGAGACAATCTACATACTTGACTACTACAGTTTCAGTTACTGTCCCTCTCTGACTAGCATGACCCTGGATGGAAAGGTCAAGGCCGTATTCAAAGATAAGAACCTTGTTAAACCACATGCACTGTCTGTTGATAGAAATGGTAGCATTTATGTACACTGCCAAGGTTCACCAAATATCCATATGCTCTCTGCAGACTGCAATAAAGTCCAAGAAATAAACTTACCAAGTCTATACTTTGCGTTCTCGATGAAGAGCAATACAGTGTATTTGGTACAGACCCTGGCAAAAGCAATACATTAAAACTAAAAGGGAAAGGGCCTTTTTTTTGAAAAAAAAAAAAGATAAATACTTACAAACCAAGGAGAAAAGGCAGGTGGAAAAAAATTAAAAATGAAATAGGGATGGGAAATGGTATTTTAAAATACAAAATTTTTAACTCAAACTGGAGGAAAAGTTCTCTATAAAACGCATTTGAGTGTATGCCAGACAAGACTATGTGTCATAGATTAATATTTTTCAAATTGTAAACCTAGGTGAATTTGTAAGAACTGAGAATGGAACAAAATCTGAAATTAAATTAAGAGACTACTGAATGATGCATCACCAGCTCCAGTGTAAGGCAATACATAGTAGTACTGAACATGATTATTGCTGGGCAAAATAAAACCCTGTCTTAAGACATTTTTTGTACAAATTACCGTACTGGACATTCAAAACTGAGAGCATGCTTTTTGATAAGATTTTGTGTAACTATGCATAAACATGACAATGTAATGTAAGTCTGATAGAATTAAAAGATTATAAATGAAACTGATTTCTTTCCCATGTATGTTGTATGTTTTTTTTGTGTTTTTTTTGTAGGGGGTGGGGAGGGGGGTTTGGTGAATCTCACCAACACTGTGAAGATCTGATCATATGGTGATTTACTTTTATAGAACAACATGATTGCCATCTGGGTAAAACTACTGACCTTATGTAAGTTGGTTATGGTGTGAAATGATAATAACATATTTTAAACACAGAACACATAAACTTACGCATCTTCACCATCTGGAAATATATGCTTGCGTAGATGTCTGAACTGATCAGCAAAGTACACTTTACAATAGAACCTGGCAGTGGTGTCAGCAAACTCTGTAAATATATACATGACAATTATAAACTATCCATAGGCAAGCAGACGTTGGATATCAAGTTGCTTTATCAAGATAAAAAAAACCTGCTAAATATTTACGATAAACTCGTCCAGCGCTTTAATTTAATATGCTTGATTGTTAGATATGAATCTCACAATCTAAGTGTCTTTAAAATAAATATTGCAGAGAAAAATCCTCTACATGTAAACAAACAGACAAAACATTATATACCACAATATTTCCATAAGATACGTTGTACTGCACGATGGGTTTTCTTTCTTTCTTTATCACAAGAGTGTAATAAACCCATTTACATTTTGTATTAAAGACAATATTACACTAGTGTCAAAACAACGATATTACACTAGTGTCATAACAACGATATTACACTAGTGTCATAACAATGATATTACACTAGAGACATAGCAACAATATTACACTAGTGTCATAACAACGATATTACACTAGTGTCATAACAACAATATTACACTAGTGTCATAACAACGATATAACACTAGTGTAATAACACCTTGATGTGAAGTCTATTGTGTTATATATAAACATAGTGTTAAGGCACATTAATATAAGCGTGTCAATGAAAAATAACTCTCATTTAATGGAAAACAGTTCTTATTTAATACATGTCATCAATAGAATATTATATTCATGAAGATTCAACACTTAATTAAATGCTCGTTGAATAAAAAAATGTTATGCTTGTCAGAGGCTCCCATCAAACCATTTTATTCAACTTTTTCGGTAAATTTAGTAATAAATCTGCACTCATTTAAAAATCCTCTACTTCTTAAATGCTTATAAAAAGGGGAAAATAAGTTAAACGAAAGATAAAGATAATATTTCACTGACAAAATAACAAATGTTGATATACTTACGTAATTCTATATGATGATTTAGAGCTTGTTTTCCTGTTTTAGATTTATCATTGATCTCTTGCCCACTTTGTAAAAGCATTGACAAATCTGCTTCATCTGAAAAAATTAAACAAGTTATCACTTTAGAGTGCTAAAACCCAAAGTGATAAGTGATAAGTTTGGCGGCATGGCCAAGTGGTTAACACATCAGACTAGTAATCTTCTTTGTTTCTTTGAGCAAGAAACTTTACACTCATTGCTCAGTACTTGTTGGGTTCCAGGAACAGAATAGAAAGTGTGTCTATAAGCTTATAGCTTCCTACACAATCAAAATGAAATAAATTCATTAAGAAATCATGTTTTGTTTTTAATCTATGAAACTCAATATAACAGAAGAGACAAACATTCTTAAATAAACACACAGGGTACATGTATCTTACCTAGTGGACTATCTAGTACAGTACTGTCTACTTTATTCAGGAACCTAACAGAGTCTAGTGTATCAGCCCTGTTTACTGTCTCTTTACTGCTCCCCTTGAAGAATGACAATTTACTAGAAGATGGTCTCTTAGCTGTAATAAAAGTTTAAATAAAGGGCCATAATTTTGTCAAAATCCATGTTAGAGTTATGGGTCTTGGATAGTGACCGCCTATTATGCTCTGAAATAAGTGTGTGGTGTCTTCATGGAGATACCAACAATAACTAGCATGTAAAAATGAACCATAGTGTAAAGGCAAGGGTGTGTACAATAGCTCTTCCTATTCTTCAAATAATGGAGCTAAAAAAGTAAAATTGAGAAGCCAACAGTATTAAAGGAACTCCACTTAGGTTCATAAGCCTAAAAACATAAAATTTAAATTCCTTACTAGATCAGCATAGGCATTTAAAACAGAAAAATATGCAAAAGAAAATTAAGAAATATACTCTGATCTAAAGTCAAAATAATTTTTCTGTGCTATTCTTGCCTGATTTTAGTGAAAAGCGTTGCAAGGTCTTTAAATTTTGGGTCATTTGGCACAATAAGAATAATCATTCTGGAGAAACGGAGCAAGCAAATGATCTTAAATTTTACATATTTATTGGGCTAGACCTACATTAAAATGGAACATTAATCTCAAAAAATTTTTATTTCCAGTTATATCATGTCAAAAAAATCTCAGTGGAGTCACTTTAAGCCTGGTCTGAGGCTGGCTTCATTTGATTCTGTTGGTACAAATAAGTTATCGTCCCCCATTAATATTCACAGATTAAACTTAATTTCTTACTACAGAATTATTCTTATATGTATGTAACAAACATACACAATAAAGATTTACCTACCTAGCTCTGCTTGTTCATCTTTAGAAAGTCTGTTGGAATTCTCGATATCTGATTTGCTGTGTCTACAAGGAGGAATGATGTTCTACAGTTTATTGCATATTTTATATACCATAAAACTGTATGATCTGGACAATATACATTTATCTGACATATAAACTTCATTAAGAAATTTAAGGTAAGTTATAAATAATCAATTAAAGGTTAAAGGTTTACTATATTACTATAAATAGCTTAATCATCCTAGCAAAAGTAGAAATCTAGTTACATTTGAGCATACTAAATAAGGATGGTGCTATTGAATGAAACTTTTCAGTAAAGAATTTTCTATTGGGTTATGAGATGAATTGGTTTAACAGTGTTTCTTAAGTTCAACAGCCCAGGAATGGGCCTACTTGATTCATTTTGATAAACTAGATAAGGAGCCTTTATAAGATGATACATATCAATTTTGGTGAAGATTTATCCATTACTTCATGAGAAGACTTTGGTGCAAAGTATTTAAGAGTTATCCACACCTTCAATCAACAAAATTTATTTAAACAAATCTGATAGAAGGCTATTTAATAATAGAGCAAATTTAATAGAGTGTCAACATGCTTAAATCATCATTATACCTTTGTGCGGCTTGAATCTCAATCAATTTCATGTGGTAGTCATGGCAACTGAAACAAAGTAGAACATGTATAAGTAAGAATGTCCTAGGTTTACTGTAATTAAAAACATGAGGGCCATGATGGCCCGAGGTCGCTCACCTGTATGAAGGCACCCGGAGCGGGGCCAGTTTAAACCCCAGGGCTTTTATTTGAACAAACTTGGAAGACACCCATTAAAAGATGCTTCACGATGTAAAGTTTTTACTACACACATACATGTATAAGGAAAAACAACAATCTACCCCCTCCTTCTGCCCCCCCTCCCCCCCTGGCAGGGCCAATTTTAACCCGAGGGCTTTTAATTGAACAAACTTGGTAGACACCCATAAGAAGATGTTTCATGCTAAACATCTAAGCTCTAGCTCATTGGGTTTTTTTAAAAGAAGATTTTTTAAGTTTTTACTATACACATATAGTTAAAACCAATGACACCCCTGGGGCGGGGCCAATTTTGACCCCAGGGCTTTTATTTGAACAAACTTTGTAGACAATTACTAGAAGATGTTTCATGCTTAATATCTAAACTCTAGCTATTTGGGTTTTTTCAAAGAAGATTTTTAAGTTTTTGCTATACAAATATAAGGAAAATCAATAACACCCGGGGCGGGGCCAATTTTGATTCCAGGGCTTTTATTTGAACAAACTTTGTAGACACTCACTAGAAGATGTTTCATGCTTAATTTCTAAACTCCAGCTATTTGGGTTTTTTCAAAGAAGATTTTTAAAGTTTTTGCTATATACATATAAGGAAAATCAATGACCCCCGGGGCAGGGCCAATTTTGACCCAAGGGCTTTTATTTGAACAAACTTTGTAGACACTCATTAGAAGATGTTTCATGCTTAATATCTAAACTCTAGCTATTTGGGTTTTTTCAAAGAAGATTTTTAAGTTTTTACTATATGCATATAGGGAAAATCAAAGACCCCCTGGGGCGGGGCCAATTTTGACCCAAGGGCTTTTATTTGAACAAACTTGGTAGACACTCACTAGAAGATATTTCATGCTTAATATCTAAACTCTAGCTATTTGGGTTTTTTCAAAGAAGATTTTTTAAGTTTTTACTATATGCATATAGGGAAAATCAATGACCCCCTGGGGCGGGGCCAATTTTGATCCCAGGGCTTTTTTTTAACAAACTTGGTAGACACTCATTAGAAGATGTTTCATGCTAAATATCTTAGCTCTAGCTCTTTGGGTTCTTTAATAGAAGATTTTTTAAGTTTTTACAATATGCATATAGGGAAAATCAAAGGCCCCCTGGGGCGGGGCCAATTTTGACCCCAGGACTTTTATTTGAACAAACTTGGTAGACACTCATTATAAGATGTTTCATGCCAAATATCTAAGCTCTAGCTCTTGGGGTTTTTAAAGAGAAGATATTTAAAGTTTTTTCTTTCGGTTGCCATGGCAACCAGACTTCTGCATGGAATTAAATTCTTTGAACAATTTTTAAAGGTGACCACCAAAGGAACATTCCTGTGAAGTTTGGATGAAATTGGCTTAGTGTGTTATGAGGAGATGTCATTTAAAGAAAAAGTTTACGGACGGACGACGGACGGACAGACGGGCGGCCGGACACCGGACGAAAAGCTATCACAAAAGATCACCCTGTCACTTTGTGACAGGTGAGCTAAAAATGGAGTTTATCTCTTGAAGTGTCAAAATACCTTACAAAAGTAGAATTCTTTTACTTCAGCCATAATTCTGTCAAAATTCATGTCAGAGTTATAAGCCTTAGAAAGTGAGACCCTTATAAGCTCTCAAAGGTGTGTATGAAGAACTCAACCCATTTCCTTCAAAAGTTTTGGAGATACCAACTTGCAAGCATAAATTGATAAAGTAAACCTACTAAGTGTGACGTCCACTCCAAGTACAACAGTTCTCCTTATTCTATGGATAATAGAGCTAAAAAGTCCTTAAAACAGTCTGCAAAAGTCATTAGAACTTGAAAAACATTAACAATCAATTGTGCTAGAATTCAAGCATACTTATAACCCTGAATACAACCAGAATTTATTGCAAAAGATCAGAAAAAAAACCATACCTGAGGGAATAGGCGATGACTGAGCTTGGTTCATGATCATATACTATCACAGGTACACGATCACATGCTGGTAATAGATGATGATCACAGGGGTCACTGAAATATACAAAATATTATAACATGTTTAATAGAGTAATCCCCCTTTGTTGATCACATGGGTCACTGAAATCAGTGTATATTTGAAAGACCCTGCTGATATATACAAAATATTATAACATGTTTAATAGAGTAATCCCCCTTTGTTGATCACATGTGTCAATAAAATATTTAAAATATAAAATGGTTATTAGAGTAATCCCCCTTCGTTGATTTTATAGGATAATATTAAACAACATTATATTGATAGAGGCAGTAATCTCTCTTTGTTGATCACATGATCCACTGAACTATACACAAATTAATTAATCAATATTAATAGAGTAATATCCCTTTGTTTATCACATATGTCACTGAACTATAGGCAAATATAATCAATAGTAACAGGGTAATCTCCCTTTGTGATCACATGGGTAAAGGAACTGTTCTCCATTGTAATCAATATTTTTTGTGTAATCTATAATATGATAGTATACTCAAGTGAAGGTCATGTATGCTTGTGTGGAAGTGGTGTTCGCTTGTGTGGCAATCATAAACCATCTAGACACTGTTTCAAAGAAGCCAGGTTATAGCAATTAGGGGTGTTAGGGACATTCAAGGATCAGCAGTATTAACCCTGCTTATTAGAGAAACATGATAGTACATTCAACTGATGAAATAAAGAACATACAAAGGCATTTGTAACTGGAAGGCACCAGATCCCTGCCAGATAGTATTCCTGATAGTCTTCTTAATAACTGTCCCTAATTTGTCCCCTACTGGTCCCTCTGTCTGGTCTTCACCACCCACTGAAATACCAGATATTCAAAATGCAGCAGGCATTCTTTAGTTTTCATTAATATGAAAGTAGGTAAGTCTTATCAACAGGGTCAGATAAAAAAAAAGTTGGTTAACATTTTATTTTACATTTTTTTTTTGTTTTAAAGGAATCATTTGGTATTTCATGCACTGCTTTCATTGGTTTTTAACAGCAGTATTATTTCAAACTTGGCAACAATTTATCTATATTTATCTAAATTCAAATTACCTTTCTTTACTATAACATTGTCAGGCATGTTAGTAGTGCTATCGGGACCTTGTACACTGGTAGAGTCTGTACATCCCTGATTTTCTGTAGCGTCGTCTGCTGCCATATTTACACTGGTTTCTATGGAAACATTGTTTTCTGTCATCCTTTCTATAGAGTTTTCTAGGCTGGCTGGTGGAGGGGACAACACTGAAAATGTCTAAGATGAAATTACATTGTATATAAAAGCCAAAGTAACATTTTGTTATATTTTTATAATAGTTGGAGGTATCTTTAACCTAAAGATGACAACAAATAAAGATATGGACACAAAATATATTACTTACAATCAAATATTTATTGATATCTTTGTTTTGATAGGATTTCATTTTTAATTTGTAATAAAATTGATAGCAGAAATGTTATTGTTCCTAAAGATATCCTGTTTAATACTTAAACATATACCTGTACATTGTTTAACCTTTTACCCTGTTAAATTTGGATCACCAACATGCCATTATTTGAATTTGGAATTGTCAATTGTTATTTTTAAGTTGTTTCAATATTGATAAGCTTAGATTGAGCAGTTTCCAGTATATATTTTGGTGGTACTTCATGTTTATATAGGCTGGCCTGACTCTATTTTGGTGGTTAACAGGTCTGTTATATGAGATGCTAGCATAAAAAGCATAAATGCTATACAAGAGGGCCATGATGGCCCTGAGGTCGCTCACCTGTATATAGGCCCCCCCACCCCCAACGTTGCAGGGCCAATTTAACCCAAGGGCTTTTATTTGCACAAACTTGGTAGACACCCATAAGAAGATGTTTCATGCTAAACATCTAAGCTCTAGCTCATCGGGCTTTTTAAAAGAAGATTTTTTTTAAAGTTTTTACTATACACATATAGTTAAAAACAATCACACCCCTGGGGCCGGGCCAGTTTTGACCCCAGGGCTTTTATTTGAACAAACTTTGTAGACACTTACTAGAAGATGTTTCATGCTTAATATCTAAACTCTAGCTATTTGGGTTTTTTCAAAGAAGATTTTAAGTTTTTGCTATACACATAAAAAGAAAATCAATGACCCCCGGGGCGGGGCCAATTTTGACCCCAGGTCTTTTATTTGAACAAACTTTGTAGACACTCACTAAAACATGTTTCATGCTTAATATCTTAACTCTAGCTATTTGGGTTTTTTCAAAGAAGATTTTTTAAGTTTTTGCTATACACATATAAGGAAAATCAATGACCCCGGGGCGGTGCCAATTTTGACCCCAGGGCTTTTATTTGAACAAACTTGGTAGACACCTATTAAAACATGTTTGATGCTAAATATCTTAGCCATAGCTCTTTGAGTTCTTTAAAAGAAGATTTTTTAAGTTTTTACTATATGCATATAGGGAAAATCAATGACCCCCCGGGGCGGGGCCAATTTTGACCCCAGGGCTTTTATTTGAACAAACTTGGTAGACAACCATTAGAACATGTTTCATGCTAAATATCTTAGCTCTAGCTCTTTGGGTTCTTTAAAAGAAGATTTTTTAAGTTTTTACTATATGCATATAGGGAAAATCAATGACCCCCTGGGGCGGGGCCAATTTTGACCCCAGGGCTTTTATTTGAACAAACTTGGTAGACACTCACTAGAAGATATTTCATGCCAAATATCTAAGCTCTAGCTCTTATGGTTTTTTAAGAGAAGATATTTAAAGTTTTTTCTTTCGGTTGCCATGGCAACCAGAATTCTGCATGGAATTAAATTCTTTGAACAATTTTTAAAGGTGACCACCAAAGGAACATTCCTGTGAAGTTTCGATGAAATTGGCTTAGTGGTTTATGAGGAGATGTCATTTAAAGTAAAAGTTTACGGACGGACGGACAGACGGACGCCGGACGAATAGCGATCACAAAAGCTCACCCTGTCACTTTGTGACAGGTGAGCTAAAAAAGCCCTAAAAACATTAGCATAAAATGCAAATTTCTTGAATTTACATCCAAGGATATGAGCATCACCTTTTGATATTGATGGTTCCCATTAAATTTGTTGAAATGCAGTCAGCAATTGCCAAGAAATAGTAGAGAAATGAGTATAACTCAAACTCATACATATTGATACTGGACAAGATACTACACCCAGTGATTATGATTTATAATTTGTTCTGTTGACTACTGTTTGGACCAATGAGATTTCAGATATTCATAGATCATACAATAAGTATGGCAATGCGACAAAACCAGCTACCCATACACCAAATAATGTGGAAAATACAATTATACATACTTTATTGTTCAAATACTTTGTTATAATATAACTGTGCATCAGAACTAAAACTATGCACCACAACCATTTAGTTTTCAACACAGACTTGTTATATGTTATGTGGAGCACTTGGAACTTTTGTAGCTAATTAGGGTTTACAAACAAACTTTCACAGTATTACACTAACTCCTAGCAAATCCATGTACATCAAAAATAAGCACCACACATTGTAAAGTCTATTTTGAATGGTAGTGTACCACAAAGCTTGAACATTTCCCCCTAGATTAGATGGGGAAAAAGACCAACATTTTCTAAGTTCTGGTTATTGTCTTTTGTGACATCTCTCCCAGTTAATAACTAACTCCTTTACATTCATTCACAGCAAAATCAAAACATTTCACCAAAAAGTCAAGTATGTCATACAGGAATGTAAGTTTATGTGTCTTTTGTTTTATATAATAGCCAATAAATAGAAATCCAAAACACCACATACAAGTAAGAAGTATGCAGAACTTATACATTTTGTTAACCTGAAAAAAATTAAAGTTTGGATATCAACTGTAAAACTGTATTGTAATATCAAATTTTAAAACTAAAAATCTCGACTTATAAACTTATTTAAGGCTGAAATATATTCAAGACTGAAATTTACTCAAGGCTAAAATTTATTCAAGGCTGAAATTAAAGCTTCAATTTCACATTCAGGTTTCCAGTACCCATTTTAAAGCATAATTCACACATTACAATTCAGCTCAAGTCTTAAGTTTAAAAGCTGCAAATTAAAGAATAAAGCTACAATCTAAATTCAAAGCTCCAAAGTACACTTTAAAGCTCCACCGTAACATTTAAACACTTCAATTTAAAGCTGCAATAATTATGTAAAAGCTCTAAGGCTACAATTTTAATTTTACAACTGCAATCTCAACTTGACAGCTACGTTCTTATCTTCAACATGGACTGAACTTTAAGGCTGCAATTTGAAATTAAGATGGTAACCAGTATGTTAACAAAAAGTTTATAGGAATCAAATGTTAACTGTTGTAAGTCCTTCTTTATTTCATATAAGTTACTTCAGTTTTGCAGTCAACCCTAAAATATTATACTGTAAATCTTTTACCACTGTTGAACACTTCTTTTTTCTCAAACATCACTGTGCATGGATGGGGGTGGGGGAGGGGGAGAATATAACTCTGGTAGATATACATTATTTGTCGAAATACCATAAAACTGGCACAAAAATTGGATACAGCAGACAAGAGCTATATAGTTACATTTATAATCTAAGTTGAAGGATTTGTTAAAAAATAGTTCTATGAGCTGTACAAGCATTTTGTTTCACCTTAGACCTAATTTCTTTGACTGATGTAAAAATGGCTTTACCTCATATGAAATTAACAAAATACAGCTGTTTTAGTAACTATTATATTTTGTCATTTTCTTGAGATTCAACATTTTTGGAAATACTGTTAAATAATCAATTGTGTCTGGAAATACAACTTTATTGGAAACACAATCAATTGTTAGCAGAAATACAACTTTATTGGATATTCAATTTGTTTATATGGATATACAACTTATTTTGGAAATACGATTGTACAATTGTTTTTGAAATACAGCTGATTTTGCAGCTTTAACAAAATGAACAACAAACAAATGAGCGGTGTCACGACAAAACCAACATAGTGCGTTTGCGACCAGCATGGATCCAGACCAGCCTGCGCATCCGCGCAGTCTGATCAGGATCCATGCTGTTCATTTACAAACCCTATAGCAAGTATAGAAACTGATAGCGAACAGCATGGATCCTGATCAGACTGCGCGGATGTGCAGGCTGGTCTGGATCCATGCTGGTCGCAAACCCATTATGTTGGTTTTGTCGTGACGCGGCTCAAATGCTCTTAACTGAACACATGAGCAATAGACTGGGAGAACTAGCAAGTTGGTTACAAACAGAACAATATAAAAAACTCCAGTTCCCAATTATAAATGCGTGCAGAGATATACTTCTGTAGTAGATGTGTTGGAGTGCAGTGCATGGCCAATCACCTTCATCCCTGTGACAGACAACATAACTACTGGAGATATTGTCATGCCACACCCCTGCTGCAGAGATCCCCGGGGTCACACCATAAATATAGCTGTCAGCTGATGTTGTTGACTGTTTTTTCTTACCTATAGTCACACACAGTACACATCATAAAAAAAAAAAAATCAGGAAATTTAACTAAAATCGAAGATCCTACCACCTCTGTATGAATTCAATCCCCCTTTTTAATTTCATTTTTTACTAAGAGTTATGATCAACAGTTGTAAAAAAGTTACAGTCTGTTATAGTCTTTTCTTTATCAGTTAATTAAATAATTGAAATTTGTGTTCAGTCATGATAAATTTTGTTGCCCTTGGGCAATAATACTATCATCTTTTAATATACATTGTATCAAAAATATATATAACTAAATATGTATTATATTAATAGTGTGACATGCTTGTCAAGATAATAATACCTAATGAAAATTGTGTCAACCACTCTCTCCCCCCCCTATTGCCCCCTCCCACCCTTCCCACCTACATCCAGATTCTGCTTATTATTCAGCATAATAACATATTGCAATGTTTAAACGTGAAAATATAACATACGTATTGGAGGAGTAAAGTTTCCTATGCTGAAGTCAGATCTCCGCCTCCCATCGCCAAATTCTGATCCTGACAGTGAAAAAGTATCGTCAAACACTCGAGGAGGGCTGTGTTTCTGTGTGTCTAACTCTGATGATTTTAGTAAAGAAGATGGCAAACTCTGAAATGTTACAGATTTATGTAAATTTTGAGTCTTTGGTCTAAGAAATAAGAACATGTCCTCTTTCTTACCGAATAATACCGATAATCAGGTAAAAGGACCATAGAAAATTGCTCTTTGACTTTATACGTTTTGTTTTTTCTAATACTACGTAAATCTTTTTTCTGGTATAAAAATAAATACTTTTTTATACCACGGACCTTAACCTTATTTGATTTATTAATTTGGCTTACTCTGTCACTGATGGAAGTATTCTTCGTGCTTGATAGTAAAAACAAGAGCCTGGATAATGTAGAATTTTCTTAATTCAAAATGGCCATAATTCTGTCAAAAAATCCATGTTAGCGTTATAGACCTTAAAGAATACCCTCCTATTAAGCTGTTAAATAAGCGTGTGAAGTTCCAATCCATTTCCTTCAGTAATTTTGGAGATACGAACTTGCACGCAAAAATTTAACCAAAGTGTCATGCTGAAACCAACATCAATGCCTGGGTGAGTACAAAAGCTCCTGTTAAGAAACAGTGTTGTATAATAAAAATCGCTTTTTAACATTTCTGATAGGTCATATAGCCATGTACGTAACATTACCCTTGCCTAGAAGCTCCGGTTAAATATTCTTACGACTGTTTATGTTACACCATATAACCTGTTAACAAATCTTATAATGCTTTGCTTTTCATTGAATAATTGTGGCATTTATATTGATTTATATACCCAGCTGCTGTCAATTTGTGAAGAAATCGAACTTTTTTTTCTAAAAAAAATGATGCTTGCTGTATTATAAATTTGTTATAAGTATTTCTGACAGGTTATATGGCCGTAAATATGGATGTTTGCAATATAGCCTGAGCCATTATTTCCAAACAACCGTTCATATAGGACCGTGTAACACGTCAATAACCTTTATACACTCATAAAGTACATATGTACTATACCTACCCGGTCATCTTGTTCTAGTGTTGCAGTGCTGCTTACACTGTTCATGACTGGTTCCTTATCTTTCTTCTGATTGGTTCCCTGTTTCACCTTCTTTTGCTGGATATGTACATCTTGTAATCTTCAAAAATTAAATCAAAACCAAGATACTGAGATGATTTGGATTCTTCAAAAATAAAACTCCTTCAAAGTTTCTAAGACATAATTCACATCTTATAACAAACATCATTTTATATCTATGTGTATTTACACTTGAGTAATGTTTTAAGTCACAACACTGTAAATGTACTTTGGTGACTTTTCAGCTTTACTTGTGCAGGAAGACATGCCACCTAAAACAACATTTCATGTGCCAGAATACACTGGAGTAGAACCACAAACCTTTGGTACGCTACATAAATAAGCGTTCCATAACAAAATTTCAATAAAAGTACAAAATCATATCACATAAATTTTGTAAAATAACCTTTGAATTTGGATTTGTCCAACACTGATAAGAGGGATTTGAAATGCTGAAATACAAAAATTATCCTGCCAACAGTATAGTTCTGTCCAGACCAGTTCACCCTAAAGTACTAGTTAGTCCTTATAAACACCCTAAAGTACTAGTTAGTCCTTATAAACACCCTAAAGTACTAGTTAGTCCTTATAAACACCCTAAAGTACTAGTTAGTCCTTATAAACACCCTAAAGTACTAGTTAGTCCTTATAAACACCCTAAAGTACTAGTTAGTCCTTATAAACACCCTAAAGTACTAGTTAGTCCTTATAAACACTAACGTTTTTCAGGATTAATCCTTTACCTGCTGGAGCCGTAAGCGATTAGCCTTTGAAACCAGTATAAAGCCAGGCCAGCCTGTACATCCATGCAGTCTGACCAGTCTCTATACTATTGGAAACTCAATTCAGCCTTTATTTTTATTGAAATCCCTAAACATTCAAATGAACTTCTCCAAATTCAAAACAGGTTAAATTGCATAAATGAAGAAAGTGAAGGTTTTAAATGATTTGATAAACTAAACACATAAACACATAACTCACTTTACATTCCAGTTTGTCACCGACTCAGCTATAGATTTCTTCAGTAACACTATACCATCCTCGATCTCTCCGTATGTATGTTTCTGCTCACTGTTCAGTGTGAATTTCTTCAAGTCACAAGCTTCCTTCAGTAACTGCTCAATCTTCTCCTTAACACTGTGTGCCATCTCTCTAATGTGACCTTTTTCAACCTGAAGACAGAACATATTTATGAAAAAATATTATATACTCGTAGATTTACAGGCAAGAAAAGGTTGCAACATTGGAAGACATAATCATAGATGCATGAAGAAAAAGACATAATAATGATCAGGCAATAGTAGGTACTCAAGGAAGGAAAGTCAGTGGAAAACAGTGAAATATTATATATGAAGTAAGAAAAAGACACAATAATGATCAGGCAATAGTGGGTACTCAAGGAAGGAAAGTCAGTGGAAAACAGTGAAATATTATAGATGAAGTAAGAAAAAGACACAATTAATCAGGCAATAGTGGGTACTCAAGGAAGGAAAGTCAGTGGAAAACAGTGAAATATTATATATGAAGTAAGAAAAAGACACAATAATGATCAGGCAATAGTGGGTACTCAAGGAAGGAAAGTCAGTGGAAAACAGTGAAATACTATATATGAAGTAAGAAAAAGACACAATTATGATCAGGCAATAGTGGGTACTCAAGGAAGGAAAGTCAGTGGAAGACAGTGAAATATTATATATGAAGTAAGAAAAAGACACAATAATGATCAGGCAATAGTGGGTACTCAAGGAAGGAAAGTCAGTGGAAGACAGTGAAATATTATATATGAAGTAAGAAAAAGACACAATTATGATCAGGCAATAGTGGGTACTCAAGGAAGGAAAGTCAGTGGAAAACAGTGAAATATTATATATGAAGTAAGAAAAAGACACAATTATGATCAGGCAATAGTGGGTTCTCAAGGAAGGAAAGTCAGTGGAAGACAGTGAAATATTATAGATGAAGTAAGAAAAAGACACAATAATGATCAGGCAATAGTGGGTACTCAAGGAAGGAAAGTCAGTGGAAAACAGTGAAATATTATAGATGAAGTAAGAAAAAGACACAATTATGATCAGGCAATAGTGGGTACTCAAGGAAGGAAAGTCAGTGGAAGACAGTGAAATATTATAGATGAAGTAAGAAAAAGACACAATAATGATCAGGCAATAGTGGGTACTCAAAGAAGGAAAGTCAGTGGAAGACAGTGAAATATTATATATGAAGTAAGAAAAAGACACAATAATGATCAGGCAATAGTGGGTACTCAAGGAAGGAAAGTCAGTGGAAAACAGTGAAATATTATAGATGAAGTAAGAAAAAGACACAATTATGATGAGGCCATAATAGGTACTCAAAGAAGGAAAGTCGCTTTTTACAAAGATTAAGATATTTGCAACAAAGTCTATAAAACAAAATATAATCTAAATTGCAAAAACAATTTTTTTTTGGTGCGTTTTACGTCATACCAACATAGTATAATACAGTCATATGGCGACTTTCAAGCTTTACTGGTGGAAGAAGACCTCAGGTGCCCCTGTGTGCATGATCTCAGGTACAAAACAGCACCCGAGTAAAACCACCGATCGTTACCTTAGTGCAATAACTAATTAACGTCTATTAAATTTAGAAGGACCTATTCTGTTACTGCACTAAGGTGACATGATATTCCTTTACCTAGGTATCTTTCTTGCATGAAAGACTCCAAAGACACAGGTGTGGCTCGATCTATAGTGGTGAGAGGAAAGCTGTTTAAAGTCAACATCCTTAATCATTCAGCCATGGATGCCCTAATTTTACATTTAACACTAACAAGTCACCCTGGTTATGTGCACAAAAAGCTTTAATCATTTATAAATTTACATGATTTTACAGTGGTAAGTTTGAAAGAACAATTTACCTGTTGCATTGAAATGCAATCACTGACAAACTTGGCAAGATTCTCTGAACATGAATCAACTTTCATTTTAGTCATATAGTCCAAAACCACACTAAATAAATCTGTTATCCTGTAACCAATATAATATACTCATAGTTATATAATATTACTGCAATTTATAGAGTAATCAAATCTGACATTCAAAAGATAAATTTATATTCATTTTCTTGACTTATTTTCTATGAAGAAAAGTTCAAAAGAAATACAAACCAAGAGCTATCTTTAAGACAGCACAATTGACAGTGCTTGACAGAAAAAAGGGGTTTAACTCTGTGATAAGGAAACATGGAGTGCCTATCAAATCATAGACGTAAGTTTTGGAGATACCTACTGGCACACAAACACTTAGCCCAAGTGTAATGTTGCCTTGATTGAGTACAATAGCTCTCCATAGATGACAATCACTATAAAGGCCATATGGTGACTTCCCAGCTTTACTTGTGGAATAGGACCTCAGGTGCCTTTCTGTGAATTATATCAGGCATAAATGAGCACCCGAGTAGAACCACTGGCATATCGCAAACTAGCTGGACAGTCTCCTCACATGGAAGAATCTGAAGTTCCTTGCAAGATTTGAACCCGTAACAGTGAGGGACAAGTGTTTAAAGTCACCAACCTTAACCACTCGGTCACATAATTCAAGTTAACTATGGTAACACATATAAACAAAGTTTGGCAATACATGTACAAAACAAAGTTGGTCAAACAAGTATAAAACAAGGATAATACAAACTTTAATGTCAGTCTTTTCACTTCATCTTTCAGTCTATATAATATGATTGTCTCTATAACAGACTCATGACTGATTAACAGAGGTGGGACTTTTATCTCCTTTATTTTGATTGTAGAATATCTGAAAACAAAAATAAAGCATTGTCTATATGAATATCTACACAAACATTATTCTTACATTACATAAGAGGGAGGCTGTGGTGGAGTTGTCATGGGTAAGAGTATGTCCCAGAAAAAAGGCTGTCTGAGGCCCAATCCACTTTTTTCAGTTCTGGATATTAAATTTCACTTTCAATTACTGACCAATTTTATGTTTAGCTATTACAGGTTCCAGTGACCTTTCACATGAAAAATAATAAAAGGGCCATAACTCTGGAAAACTTTTGATAACTGAAAATGTGATGATATGCACAACTCGGCTTAGTATTGATCATTCCTGAAAAGTTTGGATAAAATTGCACCAGTGGTTTAAGAGCAGTCCAGGCAAGTTTTGTGACAGACGGACAGATGGACACACAGACATACAATGGAGAAGTGATCCCTATATGTCACCGCAACTCTGTAACAGGCAACAGAACAAGAGCTGTCGGTAGGACAGCACGCTCGACTATTCTAAGTGCTTGATAGTAAAAGAGCCTTGATAATGTTAAATTTTTTAAGTTCACAAAAGGGCTAATTTTTTTTTATAAATTCATGTTATAGGGCTTAGAGAGAGTCTAATAATACAGTATTGAAGGAAATGTCACAAGGGTGTTTTATTGAATATAATAATATTAATTACCTATGAATACATAAATTTGACAGAAAAGGTACAAAGGCTTGTTATTAAGATGTTTTATCAAGTAAATCACTGCTTTATTATCATGAATGCATAAAATTGTCCCAAAAAAAGGCACAAACCCTTCAGTAGTTGTTGATATAACAGCTTACAAGCAAAACTTTACCATGAATTTCTAAGTTGAAAAAAGGGGAGAAAAATCCGCCTAAATGCAAGATAGAATTATGGATCTTTGTCAGTGATCTACAATAATGACCCTAAATCATATGTGAAGTTTTAAATAAATATCTTTAATAGTTATTGAGATATGTAAAACTTGCATGTAAACATTAACCAAGAGACTAAGTAGAAAAGGGGATATGAATCAGCCTTAATGCAAGATAGAGTTATGGAACTTGGTCAGTGACATACAATTATGACCTTCCAATTATGACCCTAAGTGCATGTGTAAAGTTTCAAGTAAATATCTTTGAAAACCTTTAACCTTTAACCAAATTTCAAAGTTTCAAAGGGGCAAATAATTCTGCAAATATTGCAGGCAGAGTTATGCAATTTTGCAAACTGATGTACATTGTTACTATGAAAAAGTATTTTAAATTTCAATTGAATATCTCAAGCAATAATTGAGATATTTGACTTTACAAAAAAACTTTAACCATAATTCTAAGTTCCAAAGGGGGATAATTTTGTCAATATTGTAGGCAGAGTTATCCAACTTGTCAATCTGATGTACCTTGTTACTATAAATATGTATTGTAAGTTTCAATTGAATATCTCAAGCAATAATTGAGATATTTGACTTTACAAAAAACTTTAACCAAAATTTCTAAGTTAAAAAGGGGCATAATTCTGTCAATATTGTAGGCAGAGTTATCCAACTTGTCAATCTGATGTATCTTGTTACTATAAATAAGTATTGTAAGTTTCAATTGAATATCTCAAGTAATAATTGAGATATTTGACTTTACAAAAAACTTTAACCAACGCAGACGCGGACGCGGACGCCGGGGCGACTACAATAGCTCTCATATTCTTCGAATAGTCGAGCTAAAAACCAAACCTTAACCAAAAAGGTTTAACAACACCAATATCAAGACAATAGCTCCACTTGGAAGAAAAAAATTGGGGCATACCTTTTATACAAAAAATATTTTCATATAATCAATACATGAAAAGTTTTCAATTGAGAGCAAACACAAGTACAACAGAAAAACATTTTTGAATACCTGTGGACAGTTACCATGGCAGTAACACCTGCTTCATCAACAGTAGTTACCCAACTTTAAAAGATTCACACTTAAGACCAAGATATCCAAGACTATGATGTAATGTATAAACATATACTTACTTAAATGATGCTACAGTATCTTTAAAGCCAAAGTACTGGAAATGGTCGTGATGTAAGGAATGTGTACACGGTGGCTCTGCTCCAACTCGCCGCTGAAAATTGTTACCATGAAAACGGAATTCTAGGTATCGTGAAAATGACAGGTTCCATGTATCTGGGCTAATGGGTACCACTGGAGTGACCTGGTAAAAACAGATTTACATATTCACAATCTGCTGAAATTATCCTGTAAACTATGATAAATAATATTCAAACAAACATGATTCACACAGATACTAGCGTAAGAAATTGACAGACTTTTAAAATACATTTTAAAGGTCAATGGCCTTAATATTCAAGTGCCAATTTTAATAGGTATCACACAGATGTAAGAGTTGATACTTGTTATGTAGGTGCAACCTCAAAACCAGTAGTGACGTACATATATCCCTGTGTAAAATATTGATAGTTCATGATAACAATATTCTGCAGTGTTTATTGTAATATTATTTGCATTAAGTTTTATGCAACTATTTATCATTTAAGGGCCACAATAGTTATATTATTAGGGCCGCAATAGTTACTTCATATGAGTGTTACACCATAGATAATTCCGAAGCAACCACAAGTATAATAGCCCAAGTATTCTTTGAAAAGCTCTGATTAGAACATGTTTATTTACCTGTTTACACTTATGACACCAACTCCACACGAGGATACAGTTTTGTCCATTTGGTATAGGTTGATCCAATCTCTTCAAAACCAGGCTGATACATCCATACCCGTGTACGAACCTGCGTACATGGCGATCCATAGATGTGTTACACAAGTCAGAAGGACACACATATGAAGGTCTGATGTAAGATAAATAAATAAACCAATTAATAAAATCAATAAATATATCTTTGCAGGTATGCTCTCTTTTTTTCTTTGGAAATAAAAACTTTTAATCTTTAAAGTGTACTTGTAATTGCAACAGTATTTTTGTTCACATTAATGTTTATGAATATTAAACACACAGTATAATGAAAAAGGTGAATGATTACTATACTGTGTATCATCCCATTTTTGTTAAATGTTAACCGTCATTATAGAAAGAGACTGTACAGTTCTTTCAACTATTCTACTTTACCTAAAACAAAACCTCTCCAGAAATCCACCAAGAGTTGTATCATTCCTACCGTAAAACTCCATTGTAACCACCCTGAAAAAAATATTACATTCGGATGATTCCAAATTGTTAACATAAACATGAGCACAGCACAAAAGGGCGTAACTCAAAAAGTATTGCTTTCATAATTATGTCCCTTGCCTATCATCTGCACTTTGTCATAATAAGAAAGTATGTATATAAATTTCGTGTTGATAATTTCTAAAATGTTTGAATAATGGGCTATATATTTAAGTTTTTTGCATGATTACAACCACTACGTCAACATCACAACAATCATAATAGCCCGAGTTTTTCTTTAAACCAGAAAAGTATGAACATAAACCAATTATAATCAATTTCAGAATGAGGAAATTACTGTGAAATATACATGATAAGAAATGACGTCATCCTGAGCACACAACTCATTTGACATCAAAGTCTCGGCAGATGAGTCATATTGTGGGAAATAACTTTGCTACATGTTATATTTAACTTCACTAATTCCCTAGTACAGACATATAAGAAAATGTGTTTTTATATATCAATATCATTTATTACAGTAAATTTGTCTACTTCACATTTACATTTTTTGTCAATACATACCATGGATAGACACATGGACTTGGATGATTCTCTGACTCATAACTGAAACTACTGAACAGCACAGCTATTCTCTGATGTCTGAATGGATCGAGGCAGTCTACTTTTCTCTCTGTGCTAACTTCTGTCTCTCTCTTGCTCACATCTACTGAGAGTTGCTTCCCTTTGTTTACCAACTTTTTCGACTTTTTGTCCGACTGGGTCGGGGTATCAATAATACTGATTCTACCGCCATAGGCTCGGAATTTGGCAAGAAGGTACTGTAAAAATGTAGTTAAAATTCTAAATTTTTATCTTATTGACAATACTGTCATAGCAAAGGCTGTCCAATGGAGAACAATAGTTATGACCTTGTAAAAGCATGTCGCATGCAGAAGTAAATATGCATTCAATCCAAATTGGAGAGATTATCACTGGGCTCTTTTTAAGTTCTAAAATTTGTCTGACATTGGAAGTCACAGTATATAGGTAAAGAAGGAAAAGCATTGTATTTTGGAAGTCACAAGCCAAAATCAAGGAGTAGACTCCCACTATTGAAAGCCCTGTTATCAAATATAAATACATGTATGTTACTTCACTCTTCCAAATAAAAAAAGAAACAAGAGGGCCATGATGGCCCTGAGGTCGCTCACCTGTATATAGTCCCCCCAACCCCCACCCCCACCCCCAATGTTACAGGGTCAATTTAACCCAAGAGCTTTTATTTGCACAAACTTGGTAGACACCCATAAGAAAATGTTTCATGCTAAACATCTAAGCTCTAGCTCATTGGGCGTTTTAAAAGAAGATTTTTTTTAAGTTTTTACTATACACATATAGTTAAAAACAATGACACCCCTGGGGCCGGGCCAGTTTTGACCCCAGGGCTTTTATTTGAACAAACTTTGTAGACACTTACTAGAAGATGGTTCATGCTTAATATCTTAACTCTAGCTATTTGGTTTTTTTCAAAGAAGATTTTAAGTTTTTGCTATACACATATAAAGAAAATCTATGACCCCCTTGGCGGGGCCAATTTTGACCCCAGGGCTTTTGTTTGAACAAACTTTGTAGACACTCACTAAAAGATGTTTCATGCTTAATATCTTAACTCTAGCTATTTGGGTTTTTTCAAAGAAGATTTTTTAAGTTTTTGCTATACACATATAAGGAAAATCAATGACCCCCTGGGCGGTGCCAATTTTGACCCCAGGGCTTTTATTTGAACAAACTTGGTAGACACCTATTAGAACATGTTTGATGCTAAATATCTTAGCCATAGCTCTTTGAGTTCTTTAAAAGAAGATTTTTTAAGTTTTTACTATATGCATATAGGGAAAATCAATGACCCCCCGGGGCGGGGCCAATTTTGACCCCAGGGCTATTATTTGAACAAACTTGGTAGACACTTATAAGAACATGTTTCATGCTAAATATCTTAGCTCTAACTCTTTTGGTTCTTTTAAAGAAGATTTTTTAAAGTTTTTACTATATGCATATAGGGAAAATCAATGACCCCCGGGGCGGGGCCAATTTTGACCCCAGGGCTTTTATTTGAACAAACTTGGTAGACATCTATTAGAACATGTTTCATGCTAAATATCTTAGCTCTAGCTCTTTCGGTTCTTTAAAAGAAGATTTTTTAAGTTTTAACTACATGCATATAGGGAAAATCAATGACCCCCCTTGGCAGGGCCAATTTTGACCCCAGGGCTTTTATTTGAACAAACTTGGTAGACATCCATTAGAACATGTTTCATGCTAATTATCTTAGCTCTAGCTCTTTGGGTTCTTTAAAAGAAGATTTTTTAAGTTTTTACTATATGCATATAGGGAAAATCAATGACCCCCCCGGGCGGGGCCAATTTTGACCCCAGGGCTTTTATTTGAACAAACTTGGTAGACACTAACTAGAAGATGTTTCATGCCAAATATCTAAGCTCTAGCTCTTATGCTTTTTTAAAAGAAGATATTTAAAGTTTTTTCTTTCGTTTGCCATGGCAACCAGAGTTTCTGCATGGAATTAAATTCTTTGAACAATTTTTAAAGGTGACCACTAAAGGAACATTCCTGTGAAGTTTGGATGAAATTGGCCAAGTGGTTTATGAGGAGATGTCATTTAAAGTAAAAGTTTACGGACGGACGACGGACGGACAGACGCCGGACGAAAAGCGATCACAAAAGCTCACCCTGTCACTTTGTGACAGGTGAGCTAAAAAGAAATGCAACTGGTTAAAAAGTTAACAGGGAAATAACAATTCACTGGCTTTACCATTCTTAAAACATACATTTAGCTTAAGCCATATCTTCCAAGAACCAAGTGATAAGCCTCTGCTATCAAAACATGGTCAGGCTGGCCAGCACTTCCATGTAGTCTGACCAGGCTCTAAAATGATGGCTGACTAGCTTTAAATTTCCATCGTAATACCCCCAAAATTGATAATGGACAGTTCCAAAAAGTAGAAACTACACAATAAACACAATCCAAAGTGGCAGACAACAGACTATTCTTATCTGCTGTGTTTTGAGAAGATAACAAGCAGCAAATATCTCTGTATAAATCATAATTATGTAAAATGGCCGACAGGTCGTATATTCAACAATTATTTAAGTACCTGTGGTGTCAAAAGTCACATAAAAGTTTATATTGATATGAAGCTACGATTATGAGCTTTTCATTGGCGTAAGAATTTTAAAAATTGGACAATAAATCGCAAATAAACCAGCAGTTTAAATAAGGCCTTTTTTGTATTGTTTTAGTATTTCCAAGTTGATTTTACCCATTATTCAGGGCAGATATCTCGTGATTTTCAATCGATATTCCTAGGTCATTTACATAGTTCATATAGAAGACTGACCAGGCTCTATACTGCTGACAGTTCAATGTTTGTCTTTCCATATTGAAATCCCTTAAATTTCAAACAGACAGTTCCAAATTTAAAGCAGGGCAAATCAGTACCATATACAAATATAAAAGAGCCACGCCATGACAAAACCAACATAGCCATCAGGATCCATGCTGTTCGCTTACAAACCCTATAAGAAGTAAAGAAACTGAGAGTGAACAGCATGGATCCTGATCAGACTGCATGGATCCTGACCAGCCTGCGCATCCACGCAGTCTGATCAGGATCCATGCTGGTCGCAAACGCACTATGTTGGTTTTGTCATGGCGCGGCTCTTTAAAGAAGTCAAGGGTTATACTGAAATGTTATGCAATACCTGTGTGGATTTATCAGTTGAAGGTTTGATCAGCGGGCATCGTATAAAATCATGAGCCTCTGTAATAACAATACTAGCAGGTGCCTCCTTTTTCCTCGTCATATCAACGTCCGAATGTTTTGCTTTTGTTTTACGCTGACCTGATTTGAGACTGAAACAATAGTATGAAATATACACTGTATTGGTATTTAAGAAATGCAATTCTAACACGACCTGCATTTTTCCCTATTGAACATAGAAGAACATAAAGTGTGTGTTATTATGCTATAAAATCACTGTTTGACGTTCTATATTTAGACATGTGACGTAATCATTATACACGTGACGTAACCACTAAAAATGTGACGAGCTGACAATAAGTACGGACACAAATCAGGCGCAATTTAGCTAATTATCATGTACGGGCAGCATTTATTAGTTGATGTTGTATTAGAATCGAAATAATATATCCAAATCGGTGATTTTATTGCTTGATAACATCACTGTTTGTCGTTCGGATGCGCATCATTATATCACTCGGGCTACGCCCTCGTGATATAATTCCCCGCATCCGAACTCCAAACAGTGATGTTATTGAGCAATAAAATCACAGTTTGGGATATATTATTTCTTAAACATACATCATATTTAAGTCAATATACTAAAGTTGTGTAAATTAAAGTGTTGGTAATTGCTTAAAGCAGCACGCTTCAGATTCATGCTAATTTTCATGAATCTTTTTTAAATGTATTTAAAAGAAAAGTATTGTTAGGTGAACAAAGAAAATAATTTTTACATTGCAAACAACACTTATCCGTATTATTTACCCAAAAGATGTCAAAACATGCAAAAATAGCCTGAACTATGTTAGTAACACAGTAGAAATATGGTGAGAAATACTGCAAAATCGGTCATAAATCAAACATGACATGGAATTTTTATTACTTTTATCTTATATCTTTTTACTTTTCTTAAAATCTCAGTACTTTTTTCTCAAGTTTGATGTTCAATTCAGCTTGACAATGAAAATATCAGCACTAGTGGTCAGATTTAAAATTTTAGTGGGTATCATTATAAATCCAAACATGAACAAACTGCTAGAACTTACCAGAAGTTTGCAGACCAATAAATTTCCTCAGGGAAGTACTTCCTTAACTCACACTTGGAGCCTGTTTCTGTTTCTAGGTATGGAAGATGATACTTTATATATGGGGAAGTTGAAAGTGCAACATTGTCTAGAGCTTTCCTGAATTTTGTTCTGAAATATCAAACGCATGTATAAAATGTATTTTATCAAAAATTTGAAACAGTTTCCAATACCGTAATTAACCCTCAATCCTGGAACTGTAAGTGATCTAAAGGCCTTTGTGTGTTTTGTTTGTGTTTTGGGTTTTACGTCACATCGACACAGTATAGGTCATATCGCGACGTTCCAGCTTTACTGGTGGAGGAAGACCTCAGGTGCCCTTCCGTGCATTATTTCAGGCACGAACGGGCACCCGAGTAGAACCACCGACGTTCCGTAAGCTAGCTGGATAGCTTCCTCACATGAAAGAATCCAAAGTCCCTGTCGGGATTCGAACCCACAGAGGTGAGGGGCAAGTGGTTTGAAGTCAACGACCTTAACCACTCGCCCCCTATAAGCCTTTGCCATTAGTATAGTCTATATAGAGCCAGGCAAGTCAGCATTTCTATGTAGTCTGACCAGTCTTTATACTGATGATAGCTCAATTTTTTAAAATTTTAATGGGTGAATCCATTTCACAAATTCAGTATCTTATGGGTTAATATATACAACTAATCTAGGGTAACTCTCTGTTCTTGTTTTGGCAAAGCTAAAAAAACATAACTCTATGTAGAACAATCTATTTTTAGTCTCTGTAAACTTCACTTTTGCGCAACAAAATTAAAAGTTTTCCAAAGAATATAGCTCCTTAGGAGATACCAATACACCCACCAGCATTACAAGATATTTACTCTTTGATGTACTGTTGTACATAATATAAATTATTAAACCTAATTCACTATGTATTTTTTTGTATTCCTTTAGACCAGATATACAAAGTGTGAGATCTTACTCAAACAGGAACGTTGCTAAGTATAATCATGTACAATTTAATCAAACAAACGCACCTATGTGTAACAAGTTGTTCCTGGAATGTTATTGAAGAATGAAATATTGACTCATCCTGACTCATCTGATAACTGTACAGTGGATCAGAATGGTCAGTTAATTGTGTTATTTGTGACTTTCTTATAGGGCTTTTATCTCTATTTCCCCCTGAAGGATGTTTCTTTCTCAGTTCTGGGGTTAAACCTCCGCCTCTGTTATTATTTACATTTGGATCTAGACTAGTAACCTTTTCTTTATTATCTACATTTTCTAGGCCAAAAGTAACATTTGATCTGTCATTTACAGTGTCTGTATCAGCACCAGTTTTAGAATCAGCAGAATTTGTAACTTGATAACTTTTTGCTTCAATATTGATAAATGAAGATATCCTTTCTGAGTCAAGCACTTCTTTAGGTTCTTTAACTGTAATAGAACCAGTCTCTATTGTGTTTATTTTAGAACCAGTCTCTGCGTTACCAGCTATGCTATCAGTCTGGTTCAAAGCAGTCATTTCTTTTGTACTGGATTTCTTTACATTATCACAGACATGTGTTTGTTTATCTTGTTTGTTCACTAAATCCTTTGTATCAAAGTGATTTATACCCTTATTATTGTCATGTTCTTGTTTAACACCTATATCACTATCTATTGCACCAATTTCTGCTTTATTAACATTGTTGTTTTGTTTATTTTCATTACTATCTACAATATTGTCTGCACTATTATTCTTAGAACCGGATAAATTTCTTTTATTTCTGTCCACTGATTCTGTTCCATTGGATTCATTCTGTTCCTTTGGCTTCTTTGTTGACACCAAGGTTTGCTCGAGGTCAAAATTAAGGTCATCCTTCACTGGCGGTTTAAGAAACTCATCCATGCAGAATGCAATCTCCAGTCGGGAGTGGTACGATGCGTAAATCATGAAGTTGATAATTTTCTTCACCTAAAAGTCAGAAAATGAAACAAATCTAAAATTTTTGTTTATTGACAACTTTCAAAACTGTCCACCTGACCGTCAGTTTTCATTTTTTTTTTGTACACATGTATTTTTCAATATCAAGTGATGAACATTAATCTTTGACGCAATTATACAAGACAACAAGAGCTGTTAGTATGACAGTGCCCTCTACTATTCTCAGTGCTTAATGGTAAGTAAAGGAGCATATTTCTGTAAAAATATAAGTAATAAAGATTATAATTTCTTTTTTTTTTAAATTATGTTTTTTTCTTTTATAGCAAGTCTTTTTTGTACATTAAAGTATAAAAGCCTTAAAGAACATTTCTTCTTCCTCACAAATTTTGTAAACATGTAATACTTTTTGACATAACCTATTGTAAACCTTTATTTTCTTTAGATTGAGATGATGAAAACAAAGTTTTACAATTGTTAATATATCAAAATATTATACAAAAATTAATTATCATTAGCCAGTGACTGTCACTTACTCTTTTCAATTCTGACACAGATCCCCCTCGTAGAGTAATGGCGCATCCCAGATGTGTGGCACAGCCATCAAAGTACAGCATGTTACGAGTGTCTCCGGACGGCAAGTGAAATGTTTTCACAGAAAACGTATGACAGAAACCTAGTTTTACACCCCGTACTAAACTGTCAATTGACGCCACTATATCAGTGACCAGAAACCTTGATAATCTGTCCATAACACTCTGAAAAAGAGTTGATGAGAGAAATTAAACAAAAGGGTAAATGACGGCCTCATAACTCTCGCCTTTTTCATGTTTATTAAGTATCAAAATTTTTCAAAGTCTATCTACCCAATGCTAGGTGGGGCTTGGTTTATACAGAGTTTATTTTAGTTCTATTGTGTAGGAAGCCAGAAGCTTATAGACACACTTTCGAATCGGTTCCTTGAACGACCCGGTACTGATTGACTAGTGTTAAAATTCTTGCTAAAGGCAACAACGACTTGTCCTTGCCCATGCGGCTAGTGATCATCAGATTACTTGTCTGATGCGTTAACCAATCGGCCATGCCGCCAGAGTGATGTTGCACTTCCAAATATTTTTATTAACAGAATCCACAAAGCCCAAGTCTGCTTTGAACTATTTGTTTTTGTTTTCAAATATTGCTCTCGGGCTCCCTTTCCAATATGTTTTTACCAAACAGCTATGAGATACAAAGGAATCCGGGAACCAGTCCATAGATCTTATTGAATACATCCATTGGTTCTTTTACATGCCCAGTGTATAGCACTGATACATGTAAAGATAACCTGAGTTTCATTTCAGTATACCTCTTGGTAGGTGGGAAACACTGAAAGTGTCACAGAAAAATCTCAAGGGTGTTAACAAGGATCGACCCTGGAACCTCAGGAGTGACAGTAAGTGGTCAAACCCACTGAGCTATTGAGCCAGCTTAATCAACACATATTAACACAAGTAGTTTAATTGTTCTATATGATATCTTGATTAAACAAGGAATGATGGTTTATAAGATAACAGATTTCACTAACCTCTTTCACATTATAGATGAGGGTTATCCCGGCCTTCAGCAGAAAATCTTGAGCCAATCTAGATACCGATTTCTCCACAACTAGTACGTCAGGCTTAGGCTTTAAGGAGGTTATCTTCTTAATATTCTTACGAAGAAACTCCTCTTCCTGACAAAATAACATGTATCAAATACTCTAATATTGTAATATTAATATACAATTATTAACAATGTTACAGAGAACATTATCCACTAAAAATCTTGTGATACTGCGAATTCACTTATTTTCTTGGGCATGAAATTTCTAGGTTTTATCAAAACAGGCATTTTCGTAGGTTCTAAAATTCTTTGATTTTTAATCTCTTGTAAAAAATAAAATAAATAACCTAATGAAAAGTAATCTTACACTTAATTTTAAAGCAAGAAGTATTTGTTGGGATACAATTTCGTCGGATCTTAAATTCGTGGATTGACCTACCCACGAAAATTCGTGCCCCACGAATAATAATGATTTTACAGTACTTTTTATATTAATATTCTTTAAAAGACAGTGATTAGTCTTCGCCATCAGTATAGTGATAGTGGTGTCTAACTAGGCTCTATTCTGTCTGTGCTGATTTACTTCATATAATCATCACTCATATCCCTGATATCAGATAGTTGCAACTAAGACCCCAATGGTTACACGTTTAAATGGATTTGTTTAGATTTTCATTCATAAACGTTTACGATATTTTTACCATTTAATTGAAATGACCATATTTTCTTACAAAATATCTTAATCATTGACTGTAATCATGAATTCTATCAATTCTAATTAATTTATTCCAAAGTAAAAAACAGAAAATGGGTGTTTACAACACTTCACACAGCATTACCGTGCAATAATCGCTCGTGACATAAAACATTTTTGTAAAGTTGATTTTCATTTTATCTATCAAATAAGCGAAATGGGGATTAAATGAAGAAAATGTGTGCCGACTTAATCATGATGAGCCTTGAACATTATTTATTTGTATATGTGTTAAAATAGAAAGTAAGTCAGCAATTGGCGACTCGAATACATGGTGTAGTACAGTACATAGAAGTACCACCGTTTAAATGGCATCGTTTCGGTTCTCAACAATTGTGTAAACGTTTACAAAAAGTTGTAAACGTGGGAGCCTTAGTTGCAACAAGGCCTGTCCTTTGAACAGCATGCTTGACAATTCTCAGCATTTGATAGTAAAACAAGGGCCTGGATAATGTACAAGTTTCTAAATTCAAAAGGGGCCATAATTCTGTCAAAATCCATCTTAGATTTATGAATCATAAACAGTGACATCCTTTTATGCTCTCAAATAAGTGTGTAAAGTTTCAACCCATTCTCTGATACAAACTTGCATGAAATATGCAAACAAAGTGTGACACGGACGCCTGGATCAGTACAATAGCTACAACAGTGGTACAGGTACACAAACATACCTGTAATATCTGAGGTTCCAGGTACGAGATTTTGTTCTCGACTCTCTGATACTCTATAGAGCCTTGTAGTAGAAGAACACTTGGATTGTTTATTGTTTGTTTCATCTTCTTATGAGCCACGTTTTTTCTAAAGATGACACCATGCAGTAGTCCCGTCTCTTCTCTTGAACCGCCAGGAATCTAATTAAAAATTAACACAGGTGTGCCCATAACAATATATATCAAATTCATTTTTACATCTTTTTATATTACTAAGTTTTAAAGGGATTCAACTAACAAGGAAAAAGTCTGAAAACATAAAATTTGAATTTCTTACATAAATATAAACTTTGACACTTTAAACAGAATGATATGCAGAATAATTAAGACATATACTTGGTCTTAAATAGAAAACCATATTTTTGTGTTATTTGAAGCCAGACTTAAGTGAAAAGCATTGCCATGCTTTTCAATATTTGATCTATTTCATTATTAGAATAATTACTGAAAGTTTGTACACAAGTTACTGGTCTAGACCTTCATCAAATGGAACATTTATCTTAAAAAAATATTTCCAGTTCTGTCATGTCAAAAAACCTTAGTTGAGTCCCTTTAAGACAAAAAAATAAATAAAAAAAAGTAAGGTGCCTATCCTTGCATAATTTCAGGCACCAATAGAACACACAGGGATATTACCTTTTAATTCAATTAGTACAAGAATCATATCAATTTTGTTTTTATTTCACAAACTACAGTTTAGATTATGAAGAATGTTTTCTTTTACAAGCATATCATGAACACATCAAAATTATTATCCCCGCACCTTTTTTATATGAATGTACTTGCGTATGTCCATGTCGTCGGAGCTGTTTTTAACGTCGGGTTTAACAAACAAGCTGACACGATCCACTGTAGATATGATGATGTCAGCCCAACTTCCCGCCATATTCTCCTCAAACAATAACTGTTTAGTCATCATAGTTAAATGCTCATGGTGCTCATGTCTACAATATAAAAAAAAACATACCTCGACCATAAACATCAATTATCATAAACGTTGTTTATAAATTTCATTATTTTTTCAAACGAGTGTTTTTCACTTTTAACTCAAAACATTATTAATACTGTCAAGGTAAATTTGACGACTTTTACTGCTATAGAAAGACCTTAGTTATTCCCTTGTACATTAATCTAAGGCATAAGTCTAAGTCTGATAGAGAATAACAACCTTCATTAAGCTTGTTGAAATAGCACCGTGACAATTATAGGAAGAATCCAAAGTTGGTGGCTAGGTTCTGACATGCAAGAACAAATCTAATTAACAACATTTAGGAAATATTCCAATATAATACAAAATCAAAGTGTCAATCAAAAAGTTTAATGTTAACATCTGGATATCTAAGAGAAAAACATTTAAAATATGTACATGATTTCACTTGTTAAATTTTTATCTCAAGAAAATATCTTATTTTACAGTATTCATTTTCACTAGGTTTACAAAAGATTTACACTCACTGTAGTTTATCGAAAGTTTCTTTCTCTATAGAATCGTCAGTGACCATATTTAATGTCCTCCAAGATCCAGTCACTTCTTCTGCACATAGTGACTTCTCTGTTTCTGCACCAACATTCTCGAAGATCGGTTCGACCACAACTTCCTCGTTACCCAGTAAATTCTGACGTGGTAAAGGTTCATCAAAGTGCCTCTCATCAACTGAATTAAAGTCACAACAGAAAATGTAGTTCCAGCTTTTATATGGCAATAAACTCTTGACAACAATTTGTTACCTTAGTTCAGTAACTTGTTAACTAGTTATATAATTTTATTGGAGTTAACCAGTTATTACACTAAGGTGACAAATTATTATTTCATTTCTTTTTGTCTTTACCTAACATCAAACACATGCTATAATGCTTCAGGTAAACATTTAAAATTTGTTACATTAAAGTTGAGATCAACAAATTAAAATACATTCATTTTATCAAAATTATTCAAAAAAAAAAAACCCACTCACCTTTGATATCTCCTTTTGAATCCTCTGAGAGATCACTGTACGCCTGGCTAGCAGTTAAGCCACTGTCTCTATGTCTGTGTCCCTCACTACCTGAAAATATATATACCACTACATTTATATACTAGAGTAACAGACAACACATGTACACAGGGTCAGAGGCGACAAGAAACAAAAGCATGAACAAGAAAAAGAAAAAAAAGACAGAAAACACATCTATGTTAAATATGTTACAGGTTACCCACAGTTGCAAACAAGGTCTAAGGCAGAATATATAAACTGGGTCAAAAGTAACATGTGTAATACCCATATACAAGGTCACAGGCATCACATCTATACACTGTCACAAGCAACACTAGTTTACCAGATCAAGGACCACACATGTGCATAGTATCATGGGTAACATATGTACACAGTCATTGGCAACACATGTACACACAGCAACACATGTACACATGATCATGGGCAAAACATCAACACACCCTCATGGGCAACACATGTACACAGGATCATAAGAAACACATCTACACATGGTCATAGGCAACACATGATCATGGGGCAACACATGTACACATGGTCATCACATGTACACACAGTCAAGGGCAACACATGAACACTCAGAAATGGGCAACACAAGGCTGTGGCAACACATATACACATGGACATGGGCAACACATGTACACATGGACATAGGCAACACATGTACACACAGTCAAGGTCAACATAATTAACAGGTTATAGACAGATTTACTTTTTTAATAGGAATAAAAACAAAACATTTCAGGTTTACCTGTATAACAGTTATAACTTTCCAAGTAACTGCATACAGATGACACTTTCAAACCAATCCATAAAGACATGTGAAACATTTCTGTACAAATAACAATCTTATCAAGCAAGTCAGCTCAAGCTTTGACATTTAATGGATGAATGTTTAATAAAACTATGTTAACATTTTCTCAAAATTTCCATTCCTCTAATTTATCTCATATTCTTTTTCTTATTATTTTGCCTATTTTGTTCATTTATCATTATTTCATTCTCGATCCCTGCAATGTTCACCCTCTTTTCTTTATTATTATCTTTTACTCTGTTCCTCTATCATTATATCATAGTCTGTTCCTTTATTTTATCTCATACTCTTTTTTTCAATCATTATTGCATACATTTTCCCTTAAATATTGTCTCATACACTGTTTCTCTATTATAATCTCACACTGTGTACCTTTCTTATTATCTTATACTCTGTTCCTCTATTTATTATCTCATACTCTGATTACTCTGATCTATTATCATCTTTTACTCTGTGCCTCTTTATTTTTATCTCATACCCAGTTCCTCTTTTTATATCTTATACTCTGTTTCTCTATAATTATTTTTTCTGTGTACCTTTTTTATTATTTTATACTCTGTTCCTCTATTTATTATCTCAAACTCTGTACTATTATAATCTTAGACTCAGTTCCTCTATTATTGTCTTTTATCTCATACTCAGGTTCTCTATATCTTTTATGTTTTACTCAGTTTCTCTATTATTATCTTTTACTCAGGTCTTCTATATCTTTGATCTTTTACTCAGTTCCTCTATTATTATCTTTTACGCAGTTCCTCTATTATAACCTTTAGCTATGTTTCTTTATCATTATCTTTTGTCTAATACTCAGTTCCTCTTTTTTTATCTTTTATCTCAAACTCAGTTCCTCTATTATAATTTTTTACTCAGTTCCTTTATTATTATCTTTTATCTAACTCTCAGTTCCTCTTTTTTTAATCTTTTATTTCAAACTCAGTTCCTCTATTTTTCCATCTTTTACTCAGTTCCTCTGTTATTATCTTATACTCTCATCCTCTATGTGTTATCTCATAGTCTGTTCTTCTATCATTACCTTATACTGTTCATCTATTACTTTCTTATACTCCATTCCTCTATTATTATCTCATACTCTGGTTGCATTTCCTTCAATTTTAACTCATTGTTGAAAAAAAAATTTCTTTCTGATTTCACTAAACTTTAACAATGCATGAGTAATATTACAAATTTCCTAAATAATTTGTTAGGTTCATAAATAAATGAACAAAGTTAAAGTAACAACCATGCCTGAATACACAAAACAATCAGTCTCAAGACCATCAATAAACTTTGCAGTCAAACCATAGCGTTTTAAGAAAAACAAACGTTATTTCTATGATATATATATATTACACTTTATATTCCACCTTTAAAGAAGTGAGCTCTATTAGCTAAATTAATACATCATTTGTTTAGTGATGACCTGAGAAACAGACTTGCCTTGTCCTTATTTGTAATCTTCTTCAACTTTTAATTGTATTGATAACTTTCATAACAAAATGAGAGATAGCTTAAAATGTTATCAGTTCAATAAAGGTCACTGTCATTAAGGAGACTGGTTAATAACCTTTGTAGTTTTGTTTAAGACATATGCTCTAAACCTTTTTTTGTCTGTATTTTGAACTGTGTTTTTTTGTGGTTGATGTCAGGTGGTTTTTTGAATCATAAAAAAATGTAAAGATTTATATACAGGTTTGTTTTTGGAAGAAAACATTATGCATCTCTTCCAGGCACTATTTCAGACATCAGTGAGAACTAGAGTAGAATAAACAATCTTCAAGAAACAAAATTAAATCAAGTAAAAAAATCCAAACTCCCCGACAGGAATTACAGTGACAGGCAATTAACTGAAATTTAACCACTTAGTCATGGACAGTTATAATACACAGTGAAACTTAAAATAGATAGAGGATATTTATTTGTTTTGAATAAATATGCTATATATCACACAGAGAACAGGGAAAAGTGCAACATTTCCGTGATATTTTAGAGCGCGTAACACAAGTGAAAATGTGGATAATTTCTTACCTTTAAGTGTTTAGGTCACTGACCCATTCAAACTTCCAAAAAGGGACAAGCAAGTGATTTAAAGTCAGAAGCCTTATTTAAATGATTTAAAAATATCGTAGTGTCACATAAAGTAAGATTAGATTAGGTGTTGTAAAGTTAGCTGAGGGAAAGGTTACCTGAGATAATAAAAGGTTATGTGTTATAAAATACTATAAGGTGAAATGAGGTTATAAAAAGCAAGACTGAAATAAAGTGAAAACTTAAGATAAAGAAAGATAGGGCAGGGTGAAGTTATATTATTAGATATACAGAATTTTTAAAGGTTATATTATTAGTTATATAGGTTTTTTGTAGGTAATATGGCCATATATAAACAGTTGTTTGGAAATATATTGCAAACAACCATTTATATATGGCTGTATAACCAGTCAATAATCTTTATAATGAATCTATAATACAGCTAACTTCATTTTTAGAGGAAAACGTGAAATTACTTCATAATTTCACAGCAGCCATATATAGAGATTATATAAACATCACAGTTATTCAATGATTAGCGACATTACATCTTTATAATTTCACAGCAGCTATGTATATAGTTTGTATAAACTTCACAATTATCCAATTAAAAGTGATGTAACAAACCGTACAGTATTATAATCCATAAAAATATGTTTAAATACATACTATTGGCCTCTGAGGAGTCAGACTGTATCTCCTGGAACCACTGTGGGGCATTATCTTCATTCAGAGAATCTTCTAGATTCTCAAACTCTGGCGATAACATGTCAGAAATTGGTATCTGAAATAGATAGGAAAATAATTTGAACTATCACAAAGAATTTCCTTAAGCTTTGCTTGATTATACGGAATCATGATTGAAACAAATTGATGAAAAGAAATTTTGACGTCATCATACTACGTTTTTATTTATCTTCCCCTGAAAGTGAGTTTTTATATACCCCTGAAACAGCCTCGAACCTATTCTTAGGATATCAATCTCCCAGCAACCACCCTATCTCAGCAACCACTCTATCTCAGCAACCACCCTATCTCAGCAACCACACTATCTCAGCAACCACCCTATCTCCTTTCCTGCCCTAAACCCCCCTTCAAAAACAAACAAGATGAAAATAAAGAAAACGGGAAATATAATTGTTGTCTCAGAAATCATTTTTTAGCCATTAAACATATAAAAGTTTACATTGACTGATATAAAATAAACAACATGATTATTGTAGTGGGGCCTTATAGTACAATGTATTTATTTCAACAAAATGATTTCAAGTAAAGTTTTACCTCAGTGGGCCTGTACAGAGTGAAGTCATCTCTGAAAGGTGTGGTTATTGTGTGTATTGGGTCCAAAAAGGCTGCATCTATCAAAGCCTGTCCTATAGCTATTGCCTGCACTCTGAAAAAATAGCACATACTAATTTATTACAAATATAAATGAAGAGGTTATTGTATTACAAGTGTTCCCTTCTATTCATCAAATACATAGAGAATATTGAATGAGTGTAGATTTAATATTAAATCTACTGAACAAGTTGAATAAAATCATATTATGCCAACCTCTGGCAAGCATAATATTGTTTTATTCAACAAGTTCAATTAGTTAAGTATTGAATCTATATGAAATATATAATATTTTTCTACACAAGATGCTAGGAGTAGGATAACAAACACTTATTAATATGCTTAACACTTTTGCAAACAGACTTCAAAATTCCTTGATGTTATACTTTAAGTTATGGATCTGACAAGATTTTCTACTGACCTTTGTACTCTAAGCGTGACCCTGACCTTTAATCTAAAGGTCTAGTCTTGCACATTGAACACTGCTACACATTGGTTGAAAAAATCATTTCTTTATTTAAAAGTGAAAATTTTCCCTAAAATAGCATGGAATGGGACACAATTTAACACTGAAATTATGCTGCACAGAACAAATGAGCCGCGTCACATCAAAATCAACATAGTGCGTTTGCGACCAGCATGGATCCAGACCAGCCTGCGCATCCGCGCAGTCTGATCAGGATCCATGCTGTTCGCTATCAGTTTCTCTACTTGTTATAGGGTTTGTAAGCGAACAGCATAGGTCCTGATCAGACTGTGCGGATGCGCAGGCTGGATCCATGCTGGTCGCAAACCCATTATGTTGGTTTTGTCGTGACCCGGCTCAAATAATAAACCAGTTTCTCATGTACAAACCTATTAGCAACTTTATCTTGTTTCAGTAACCAGTCAACCACAGTATTTCCTGCAATACATTTCTGATATGTACGTAGCCTAACTCTGTAACTTTGAAACACCACACCTTTCTCCGGGTCATTCATCAGTGACCATAAGTTGCGAAGCTGTGACGAGTCCTTTAAAACAAATCATAATATAGTCATGGCACTGGTGTATATAATGTAACTGTAAAATAAGTTACAATTTAAATGGTAAAACAAGAGCCTGAATATTGTAGAGTTCAAAAAGAGCCATATTTTGTCAAAATCCATGTTACAGTTATGGACCTTGGATAGTGACCTCCTATAATGCTCTCAAATAAATGTGTGAAGTTTCAACCCATCCCTTTCATTAGATTTGGAGATAAAAACTTGCACGCAAAAACTTAATCAAAGTGTAACACCACTGCCTAGGTGAGTACAATTGCTAAACATATTCTTCAAATAGACAGGCTAAAAAGCAGAAAAGCAAAAATAAACAAGCAATTATCATAGTATTGCAAGCAATCCATAAGTCCCCTACCGGTTAGAACCCCAGCAGCATTCTGATGGGCCATTGGCCATTCAATTTTACCAGTGGATGAATGACATGAATGAACTTAAATCTTTTGAGTTCTAAGTTTGTATATATCACAGTAATGTGTTAAGTTTCCCTGCCTAGTAAGGAAATTCTGTTTATACAACCTTGTCATATTATTATGATGTGGGATTTTAAAGTAAATCCTATAAGAAATGAAGAAGTTGGAGTGAAAAATACCAATTTCTCGAAAAAAATCTAAGTTCAAGGGGGAGATAATTCTGTAAATAGTCTTGCTACAGTATTTAACTTTCTCAAAAATGTTGAGTGATAATAAGAAACATATATATGAAGTTTGAAGTAGATACATTAGGAAATAAAGAAGTTATTTAAAAAAGACAACATTTTTTTTTCATAAAAATTCTAAGTTCAAGGGAGGTAATACTAATAATTTTTGTGCTAGAGTTGTAAACCTTGTCACATATGGTGTGGTTGATGGCCAGAAACTTATATTTAAAGTTTGAAGTAAACACCTTAAGAAATAAAGAACTTATAGTGAAAAAGCTGAAAAATTTAAATCAGAAATCTTGAAATTCAGGCTATTTGTTGCCATAGCAACCGGAATTTTCAACATAGGAAGAAAAGAAAAAGATGTGCATAATCTCCAGACTGCCATCTACCCATATTTCAAGTTTCATAAAAATATTTTCAGTACTTTTTGAGTTATCACAGGATCCAGTTTATTAAGGGTGTAACGGTTTACCCGTATACCGATATATTGCAATATGAAAAAACAAATTTCGTACCGCGGTACACTTTTTGGAAAACCGGTATTTTATTAAAATCATATTTTTCCATTAATTGCCTTCTAATTTTGTACAAATTTCACATAAAATCTTTAATTGGCGAATTTGTTGGCACCAACGTAAGATAAAAGTAACCGACAACTATTACACTTAAAAAGTCAATAAGCGGCCGCATAATTTACATTGGCGGCCCAGATGTGAAAGGTCACACGCGACTAGTTTTGTTTATCAAATTGTGTGACACTTTACTTTCTATTTATTCCTTACATTTTTATTAAGTTTCTACTAAAAATATATACATATAATAATAATATATAAATGTTACTCCATCTTTACATCAAAACATATACATGACAATACGTATTGCAATATATTGCAATACGCTTCAGCAAAATGGCAATATATTGCAATACGGTTTTTGCTGTATTGTTACACCCCTACAGTTTATGTGTTAAATTTGCCATATTTTCAGACTATTTGTTGCCATAGCAACCAGAATTTTCAACATAGGAAGAAAAAAAAAAGACGTGCATAATGTCCATACTGCCATCTATCCATATATCAAGTTTCATAAAAATATTTTCAGTACTTTTTGCGTTATCGCGGGATCCAGTTTTGTGGACGGACTGACAGACAGACGGACAGACAGACGGACGGAGGGTTAACCTAAAGTCCCCTCCGGTTAAACCGGTAGGGGACTAACAACACCTAAAACAGTTTATAGTCTCCAGTTACAAAAGTGGTTTGATGAGGGTACAGAAACTAGCTTTTTTGGCCTGACCATATTACCTGTATAAGCATTTTTCTTTCAGATGAAAAGTTATCAGAAACCACAAATTCAGTCTGTGGAGTTAGATCAAATGGAGCAATACCCTCTATGCTGATATCTGGGTCACTTGGTGACCTGCAAACAAAAAAAAGTTCCAAGTTCATTTAAAGTCAAAATGTTCATTGGCATAAACAACATCAGATGTTCATCGCCAAATAGCAAGATTGGCCATTAAGAATTTTGAAATTTCCCTTTATAATGTGATCTTAAACTTAAGTCTAAAGAAGTCTCAACCCTTGCATGTAAGTTTTTAAACATTTCCTGCTCGGCTCCTTCTGTCAATACATTCAAGCCGCCTTCAGTTTTTCTTCAGGTTAAATTATGTTATTTGTTAATAAGTCGCCCTGTATAATTGTTAAATCAGAAGAATTAAGGTGGAAAAAACAAATCTGCCGACTATAATTTAAAATACATAACCAATAAGGAAACCCCTTGATACCTCTAGTCTCCTGGTTTGCTCTCTATATTTAAATAAGTAAAAGGGACGACTTGTTTCCCGATTCTTTTATTTTTAGAAACTAAAGTTACTGACATGTTATGAATAGCTGTTGGGACCAATTTTGAAGAAGGCTTTACAGTGACATGATGCAGTTTGGCAACATAAATTATCACTTAAATACTTAGTTTGAAACAACACAGAATTGTTTTTCTAACAGAATATAACAGCTGAGGGTCATTTTTTTAGGATTAAACATTATTAAAGTACTAAATTTAAAATAGAGATATGTGTAAAGCTTGAACAAAGAATTTCTATGAAAAATTTGAAATATAGGTTAAAATTATGCGATTGTATCATTTTAATTTTTTTTACCTCAAAGATGACTGAAGATCAAGTGTTGACCTTTTCTGACCTTTGACCCCAGAGTCAGGTGTCAATGATATGTCTGCTTGCAGATACTTGTTGAGGACCTCTTTTATAACATTTGGATCAGCAGAGGAGTTATCTTTCTTAGCATACCGATGCACTATCTTGAAACAGTAGTTACATACCCTGATACTTCCTAAAATATACAAATTAAAGTGGATTGTCTATAATGAGTATATTTTCAGTAAGTTTTTAAATACTGATAAAAACGATAGAAATGTTCCACTTCAATATGCTGATGAGATATATTGCTTGAAAGAAAATTTTGCTAAAGTTCTAATTTAAGAATTATATTTTATTTGGCATATCAATGAATAATTGAAACGGTAGATAATTTTTAAACACCCTGACATTTCCTGAAATTTATGAATTAGAAATTATACACATACTTAGTAAAGCTTAACAGCCTCCAAATACTTGCATTGCTATTTAAGTTGAAATTATCTGTATTTTTGTTATTAAAGTTAATTGGTTTACAATAGGCACATTTTCCATAAGTGCTTGAAATTTTGATAAAAACAAAAGAAATGTTGAAATTGGATAAAATATGTCATGAAAAAAAATGTTCATAGATTTCTAAGTGGATCACTATAGACATTTATATGATGAATAATAAGATTTTGTTCTAGAACAATTCAATATATGCTTTATATGTAATATTTAATCATAAATCTCACATATATCAACAGGCTCCATATTCAATTATTTCATGTTTTGTTATCATGTATGAATATAAACACTGTCAATATAATTTTTCATGGAATTACAGACCTTCCATGGATCAATTCACTTTATGCTTAAAACTTGTTTTTGTTTGTTTGTTTGTTTCATTTTACGCCTTTTCCCAACAGTATTTCAGTCATATAGGCGGGTAGTTTCCTAACCATCGTTCCTGGAGAGTTACACCAGTACTAGACTACCTTCCTCCGCGCTAAACTACCAAAGCATCTCCCTGGGATCAAACCCACGCCAGAGAGGTAACTGGATTAGAAGTCATCGACTCTAACGCCTCAACCACGGAGGCAGATAGAAAACAAGACAATATAATGAAGCAAAAACTTCATTCTCATACTTCATCCTGTATGGTTTTGCCATACCTTTGTAACCTATTACTTTCCCCGGCAATTCTTGACTACAGCAAGCATGGCAGAAAATTTGACCGCAGATACGACAATGGTGTCTGCGTCGGAATGTCGTAAATTTGTCATGGCACTCGTAACATTCTCTACAACTACTGTCTGGCATCCAGTACTGCTTGAAATCACTGTCCCTGTACACCTGTGGTGTCTAAAAATAGAAATGTATACATGTGTACTTTAATATGTACATTGTTATAGATTTTAAAAGGTTGATGAAGAAATATTGCTGTCATTTTTCTTTTCTGCATTGATAAGGCTTTGATTATTGTTCAGTCAAATTCTGATTTTTTAAAACTGAAAAGATGGACTGAAAATTATTCCTATTATTATCAGATTTATCTCCCTTTTAAAATCTAATATGACAGGTCTTTGTTATCATATTAATTCCTTTAAGCTGACATGTATGAAGTCTTATGACTGAATAAATCTAAATTTTTATAGTGATATCATTTAAACACTTAAACCAAATCACTAAACCAAAAACGGGCAGTTTTAAAACTGGAGCTAGACAAGTCCATTTCAGTATTTCAGCAGGTTATAAGTTAAAAATAAAATTGTTTCATGTAAAGAAACTGTTAGAAAACTTTTGATCAATGCTTGAAGTCAGTTGCAGACATGCCAAAATAATACCTAAAAATATTTACAAAGCAGCTCTTCTGTTAAAATACAGAAGAAACAACATTTAGTTAACATACCGGTGCCCTCCTTTCAAGAATGGCTGACAACCGTGTCAGGACACTACCTAGTGTTCTCTTGGTAGAGTATGTCTTGGTATCAACACCCTGAGACTCGGTCACTTCTTCACCAGTACCATCATCTTGTCGCAGTAGACAACTTTCTGTAGGAGAAAAGATTGATATGTAAACTTTGCTTTGTATCTATAACATCTGACATAGTTGCCTTAAATATCACAATAAACAAAATATTATAATGGTACTCCAGAAGAATTATAGATTATACTCACATACCCACTTTTGTCACTTGTCATCCCTTGTTTTTCTATGTTTTATTTAGATTTCCTATTTCTTTATATTACATATATGTTAAAATTTAAGCTTAGTATATCTCTAAGATATTAGACACATTATTATAACAAATACAGATTTTTTTCTCTCCAAAGCTCACCAAAGAAAAACTACATACACATATATGGACCTACATGTATAATAATTTACAGACATCAAAGTTATAAAGTAAATAAATAAGGTATGTGGCAAATTCTTTTTACCTGACTTTGTTTTTGTTGGAGAAAAATCAGGCACATGTCTGTCACTTATCTTTGAGCTCCTGTCAATAGATTGTTCCCGAGAATGTTGACTGTCAATGGAGGGCTCGCGTGAGAACCTGTCAGATGATGCCTCTCTGCTAGAAAATCTGTCAACTGAAGCATCCCTGCTTGGTGGTTTACTTCCCTCCGATGACTGATCTGATTCATCTATGCAAACAAAAAAGGTAGAATGACATTTCTTTATACCCAATACACTAGAAGAAACTGTATTGTCTAGCCGTACGGCACTTTTCAAAATTATATGGAAGTCGAACATGCATTTGTTATTTTGTGCCTCATTATTATGATTTGTTGTTTTATTTGTATGAAAGGTGTGATTTTTTGTTATTAAAGCAATGGAGAGATAATATGATCGGAGTGGATATAATAAAGACTTGAAAACAGGTGTCAGAAAGCAAAATATTGTTATTAATTTTATTGTGTGATATATTTTCAATACAGTTAGATAAATATCGACAATAAGCACATCCGTATATAAGCCTTTTAAAGCCTACCAGGACTGACAATAGAATTTTTAAAAGTGCCGTTTCATTGGACATGCAACTTTCATTCTTAATGATGAAACAAACTTCGTTACTGTCCGGTAAATTGACGCAATTATAGATCCTACAAGCAATATTTTTTCATTTTTAAGGTGTTCTAAAATTAGCTTAATTACACAAAACGAATTTATCAAACTCAAAATTTTGTAAACTATTTTCAGTCAGAGAGTTGTCCATTGACCTTGAAATGACACTTTGCCCTTCAATTTCAAAAACACTCTGATTGACCCACGGATTTTAACTGGAGGGTCAATTTTGGTTAAATCATAGATTGCCTTGTATTGATCAAAATCCCTCAGGATTTCATGGCTGATGGTGAACCCCTGTCATTGATGTTATTACTGCTTATCAGGTATTTTTCTCTTTGTAGTGGTGTTGCGCTTATAATTGATGGTGCATATTTTTCTACCTCTTCCTCTTCTGAAGGTTGAGACGAAAATTGCCAGATGACTGCCTCTGTGTAGGGGGACAATTGATGGTTAATGGATTGAGGCGTTTCATTTCCCATAGTGACATTGAGCTGGCTAAAATGCTTAAAGGATTAACTCGGACAGTCTTTAGTACGCAATTAGCATTTCTGAAATACAATTAGAAATTTTCAGATAGACAGGAATTTTTTTTTTTATTTGTCTTTTCTATTTTGGAAGTGGCTAGCCGTCGGCCCGTACGCTAGCAAAAGTTCTGCACGTACGTGAGTACACGTACGAACTAGCCAGGACACTGTATTGGCTGCCGTACGGACTTTTAATATTATATTGAGGTCGAAATGCATATTGTTATTTGTCTTTAACTAGATTTTATAATTCGCATTGTGTCCCTAGATGTATTCACTTGTAATAAAGATGCTCGCATTGTTAAAAATGAACACGACAAGCCCTTTATATCTCTTTTTGATATATTGTCAGTTGCATGTTATTGTTTAAGGTACATGATTTTCATGCTTATGATTTGTTGTTTTATTGTAGACTCTATGAAAGATGATTGTTATCATTTTGTTAATTAAGCAAATGGATCGATAAATAATTGATCGCAGGAGACTAATAATAAAATAATACTGAAAAAAAGCGACGAAACAGCAAAATAGTTAATATTTTTAAATCAGTATATAAATATCGAACTAGCACCTCAATTAATTAGGCTTTATTAAGCCTTCTGGGACTGACAATAGAATTTTAGAATGCGTTTTACGGAACATGCAACTTTCCTTTAGTGATGGAAATTTCTTAACGTTCGGTCATTGACGCAAGTATCAGAGCCAACAACAATTATTTTCAGTGTTTTTTATTTTTTCAATTGTTGAAGAATTAAACTAATGAGACAAAAGGGTCTTTTATCCAATTTTTGTAAACTATTTCAACGACTGTTATTGTTTAACTCTGCGCCAAAAGTATTTTTTCTCGACGTTTGATGACAAAATATATATTCGTTACTGTCTTTACTGTAGCACCAACGCGTTTCTCTTAAAGGACACCGAGCACAATTGGCTGTTTCTTGGTTAAAATCCTCGCTAAAGTAGTAAAACACATATGATTTTATCGATCATATAATTTTTAAAAGTGGTACGGCTGCCATTACAGTGTGCCGCAGTTCGTCGGCTATTCCGTAGTTTTTCTTTTCACAAACAACTTTCAAATTTATCTTTGTTCTTCAGTAATCCTACAAAAAAAGTTGTCTTTTTGTTCTGCTCGAAATTATCTAAAATTTCATTACACTTTAACAAACTTAAATATTCTTGGTATTCCGAACAGTCTAGTCGAATATATACACCTACAAAACAATTTGCATCATCATTTCTTTCTAATAATTACAAACACGTACCGTCAATACAGAAAAATAGATGTTTTTAACTTCAAGGAAAATAATTTCGATCGGGACCTGAACTTTTGAAAAACACACAAAATTCCCTTCCTTGTTGATCCCGTGCCTGTTTCGAATATAAATTTGTTTCGATTGTCGGCTATGAAGCCGTTGTCATACCGATTTTTTTCGATTTAGCCCTTGGGGGTGGTTTTTTTTTAACTTGATATTGCTATATGTTATGATTGATTTAATAATTTATTTTTAATGTTAGTAGTTATTCGTCGGCTACTTGAGTGAAGGGTGTAATGGGGGTGTGTGTGTTTGAAGGTGAATGATAGCGGGAGTGGGATGTGCTCCCTGTGTATGGTTGTCTTTCTTACTATTATAGACCAAAATTGCGTGTGTTACGCGTGCCGTGGGGCAGAGGGGTGGTCTGTGTGTGCGCAGTTGTAAGAGTGTTCTGGTAGGTTTATTGGTATTGTGTTAAGGTATTGCTATTGATTGATGAAGCAGTGTGTGAGAATGATAAAGAGATATTAATATTTGTGTCTAGTGTATTAATTCAAGGTCACAAAAATAATATTCTGAATCTTTAGGCAACCCTCGATCAATTCAAAAACATTTTATTGAATATAGCTAAAAGTACTTTACATAATTTCTGCAGCATTTTCATCAAATTGCATACTTTATCTTTCTGAGGTCTTCTTACGGTCAATGGTGGATAGTGTTCGAGGTGCTGTAAGTTAAGTGACTCAATGGGCATGTCTTGGGTTTTGTGGTTGTGTGTTTGTTTTTATATTGGTTTCCTTTTTTTTTTGTCTCGGTCCTACTTCTTTTTCTCACTATTGCATACAAACTGCAAGCATAGATTGCCACAGAGTCCGGTTTTTCATTGATGATCCTGTTTGTTATACAGCTAAGAACAGACACAAAAATGTTTTGAATGAAGGACCTAACTAGTGTTCACGTGGGAATCGATTATATCGCCATGTTAAAATGATTCGACCCAGTCTACAGATGTATAGTTAAAATCACCGATCAAAACACCCACCAATCAAACAGAAATCGATTGTCCTTACTAGAGACGTATGTAGTGCAAATATTGGGTTGGTTATATCACTTGTTGAGCTTTAGATAACACATAAACCAGGTCCGTCAACAGATACAAAACTCTTAACTTTATAAAAACGGAAACAAGACAATTGAAGGTTTATCTACACATTACACTGACCATTTCTGTGTCTGTAGCTCGTCGTAATGTCCCATTTACAATATACAATGAAATGGACGAGTAGGAATTGCTGTATCCTAGATCACTCCCGTCTGACACCGTTCGATTCAGCGCCACACCCAAAATTAACAGTGGTGTTCACGTGAGAAGATTGATGTCCTCATACTCATTCTATACATTATTCATTGGCATTAGAGTTTTGCTTACTTATGCCTCCTTTAGTTTACTCCTATCGGCTCACTAGAAACATAACCCCTTTCTTATAGACAATCTATATTGCATGTATGGCTATATAGTCGCATTTTAGCAAGTATGTTACATTCTTCTTTGTATTCTCTACGGTCAATGGTAACAAGTCTCCTGGAATCGTTAAGCAAGTGGTAACTATCTGTACATAGGTTTCTGATTATAGGCTGTTTCTACTTTTTAACGTTATTATTTTTGCATCTTTTTTACATAATAATTAAATTATTACTAACGGATACAAATTTAGTATAATTATAGTAACAATGATTACCTCGATTTACCACAAATATAGTTTTCAGATAAATAGATATGTATAAAATATATTCATCTATATATTCAATAAAATAGTAATTTACTGATTTTTTAGGTTTGTTAATTATCTACAGTTCCTCATTACATTATTTATAAGATAAGATAAAACACTACCACACTTGCTAATATTTGACAATAATAAATCATTTTGCAGAATGGATACCTACAAATGGTCACCATTTTTCAGAATATTTTTAAGTATTATAAAACATAAAATGATTATTCTCATATATTAAAACTTGCTGTTTCACTTGAAAATACGACTACTGATTATGTTCATTATTACTATAAATATTACTGTCTCTGTGTGTAAACACGAATACATATTACGACACAGCATCTGATCGATGGTTGAATGTATAAACGTGTTACAAATGTTATTAAGTGAATATATTCACTAATCAATATAGTACACTTATTCATAGTTAATTGAGTACTGTTCAGTGAAATATTTTTATTCATTTGTAAGTACTATTTAGTATTACTCATAGAGTATTACTTCCTTGAAAGCACACGCTATCTTCATTATATGATTTATTCAGAAGCATTTGTTTTTTGTTTGGTTTGTTGTATTTTTTTCTCAGGTTGTATAGTTCTAAGAATGAGCCTTCGTTGCTGAAGACCTTAAGGAGTCGATCAAACGTTCAACGATGAAAGTCTTTGCTCATTATTTTTTTTCTTCTATTCTTTAACGTCGTCTTTACATAAAAATTATTCCTTGTTGCTAGTTTGCTTCTGCGATTACATTAGAGTATCCTGTGAATACTATCAATGAGTACGGATTATTTTTTTGCCAACTCAGACACTCATGATGCGACAATCAAAATAGTTTCTTTATCATTTATTTTTTGTTGATTTGATTACTAAGCTGATTATCAAAACATCACTCATCATTATATTCTTAGGATGTGCAACGAATGCATTATACCAAATATGTTTTGTTTGATTCGCCATTTTGAATGTATAATTCGTTCATGATAGATGTTTCAATTACATCTGTATGGTTACAGTAGTTAGGCTCTGCAAAAAGTTGTTTTTCGTTTTTGAGATTTTTCTATTTAACAATAAATATATGTATACATGTAACCAGGGTCTTTCAAATAAAAGTCTATCTGAAAAACCCTGATGTAACTAAATAGACAATAATCAAAACTATCAAGTAATGTACATATGAATCATGTATATACATTTAGAGTTATGTTGTGGTAAATTCCGTCATATGACTCGCTCTGCGACTGTGCCTCATTATATATAAAAATAATTCTATCTATCTATCTTCCATATAGTCAAACCCCTGCTGGGGATAGGACCTAGACTTGACGCGCGTCAACTGACAAGAATGTTAGTAAAAGAGCTGAAATAAAAGAATATAAAAATAATGGAAATGAGTATATTGTTAAAAACAGGTTAAAATAGAGAAGGATTTTAGGGAGACGTATGTTCAATCGGCTTCAGCCAGATGAACTCGGGGCAGACAAGTGTATGATACCAGGTGGTAAAGCATTCCCGTGGACTATTGTTCTTGGGAGAATATGAATATTTATGTATAGTAATCAGTTTAAGTTTGGACTTGTTGGGATGCACGGGGTGGGATGTTCTTGGTGATCTTGTAGAGGGAGACGTATTTTTTGGGAAAAGGGTAGCCACTGTCATGCAAGATGTTGTGAAACATCGCCGAAGGTCAAGGCGCTCCATTGAAGGGGAAGTCAACATTGGTCAGTGACACCAATACGGCAAAAGTCTGTTTGACCCACTGCGTCCTTCTTGGACGGACTCTATCTGGTCAATGAGATTTTCCTTGTAGGGGGACCAGACGTGGAGCTGTACTCGGCTGGGGCTTGATAGTGTCTTGTATGCAGTTGATTTAACCTTTCTGTTGTGAACCTTTGATGTTTCGGCGTAGAAAACCAAGTGTTTGT